GGTTTTGGAGGTTGAGGGGGTTCTGGGAGGGTTCAGGGGTTTTTGGGGTGGTTTGGGGGTGGTTTGGGATCGGTTTGGGGTGGTTTGGGGCGGTTTGGGGCAGTTCAGGGTGGTTTGGGGTGGTTTTAGGGTGGTTTAAGGTGGTTTGGGATGGTTTGGAATGGTTCAGGGGTAGTTTGGGATGGTTTCAGGGTGGTTTGGGATGGTTACGGGGAGGCGCGGGATGGTTTCGGAGTGGTTTAGGTTGGTTTTGGGGTGGTTTAGAGTGTTTTTGGGGTGGTTTGGGGGAGTTTTAGGGCAGTTTCGGGATGGTTTTGAGGTGGTTTGGGGTGGCTTTAGGGCAGTTTCAGGATGGTTTTCGGGTGGTTTGGGGTGGTTTGGGATGGTTTCAGGGTGGTTTGGGATGGTTTTGGGGTGGTTTAGGTTGGTTTTGGGCTGGTTTCGGGTGGTTTTGGGAGGGTTTGGGGGAATTTGGGGCTCACTGACCGTTGACGGTGCAGTTCTGCCCCCAGACCACGCGGCCATCGGGCAGCACCCGCTGGGTGCTCGGGAAGCGCAGGGCGATGGAGAAGGTGGCCTGGGCGCCCGCCATGGTGGGAGCGTCGTTGCTGATGTCGAAGGTGACATCGCCACCTGCTCAGGGACACCATCGGAGGGTGGCACGGGGTCAGTGACACGGCCACCCTGGGTGGGTGTCACAGCCATCACTGGGTGGGTGGCACAGCCAGCACTGGGTGGGTGACACGGCCACCATGGGTGGGTGACACAGACACCCCGGGTGGGTGACACTGCCACCTCGGTGGGTGGCACTCACCTCGCCAGCAGTCGCGTGTCCCTTGCTGCCAGGGCGGGTACAGCGCCGTGTCCCAGGTCCGGAACAGCGCCGGCCGCCCGCTCCAGGCCGGGCTCCGGCCACGGCTCCGGCCGGGGCTGCGGCCGGCGGCTCCTGTGGGGACAGGGTGGGTGACACGGCCACCATGGGTGGGTGACACAGCCAGCACTGGGTGGGTGACAGAGCCAGCACTGGGTGGGTGACAGCCATGGGGACAGGGGCCAGCAGCGCTGCCACGTGTCCCCTGTGTCCCCCATTTTTGGAGTTGTCACGTCGCCCCTGTCCCCCATTTTTGGGGGTTTGTCATGTCCCCCCTGTCCCCCATTTTTGGGGGCTGTCATGTCCCCACATGTCCTTTATGCTCAGGGGGATGAAGAGTCCCCCATGTCCCCTGTGTCCCCCATGTCCCCAGTGTCCCCCTCTACCAGGGGTCTGCCACCCCCACCCCTGGCGTGTCCAGCCGGGTCCTCCCGACCGTGGGGACCCTGAGGGGACCCTGGGGTGACCCTGAGGGGACCCTGGGGTGACCCTGGGGGGACCCGGGGGATACCGGGGGTGACCCTGGGGGGACCCGGGGGGGACTGGGGGTGACACGGGCGGGACCGGGGGGTACCGGGGGTGACCCGGGGGGTACCGGGGGGATACCGGGGGGGACCGGGGGTGACACGGGGGTGACCCGGGGGGTACCGGGGGGGGACCCGGGGGCCGCGTGACGGGGCTCGGGTGAGCCACGCGCGGGCAAAGCCATCACATGGCCCCAAAGCCCTTTCATGTGACGCTCAGCTGAGCCGGGCCCGGCCGGGCCAGGACGGGGCGGGACGGGACGGGCACCCCCCGTGAGCCCCCAGGGTTGGGGGGCTGCGGGGGCACCCCAGGGTCGGGGGCTACAAAGTGCCCCGTGTCCCCACTCATGGGGGTCTGCAGAGCCCCCTCTGTACCCCCAAGCTGGGGGGCTACAAAGTCCCCAGTGTCCCCCCCCAAGTGTTGGGGGGCTACAAAGTCCCCCAGTGTCCCCCCAAGGTTGGGGGGCTGCCGGGTCAACCCAGGGTTGAGGGGCTGCCGTGTCCCCCGTGTCCCCATTCTCGGGGGGCTGCAGAGTCCCTTCATGTCCCCCCCCCGTCCCCACGGGGGATTTTGTAGCCCCCCGACATTGGGGTGACCCGGCAGCCCCCCAACCTTGGGGGGATACGGGGGATTCTGCAGCCCCCCGGAGCTGGTTTGCCAAGTCCCCCCGTCCCTCCACTCCCAAGACCCCCAAGTCCCCCCCAATTTTCGGGGGTCTCTCAGCTTCCCCCTGCCCCCCCCCATTTTCGGGGGTCCCTCAGGTTCCCCCTGCCCCCCCTTCACACGGGGCTGCCACTTCCCCCCATTCAAAAAACGGGGTTCCCCCCTTGACGGGGAAACCCGGACTGCGTGCCCCCCATTTCCAGCAGGGTGGAGACCCCCACATCCCGCCCCACACCCCAAAACCAACCCCGGGAACCCCAAAACCACCCCCGGGGACACCCATAACCTCTCCCAATGGGGATTATCGGGGTACAACAGAACCCCGGGAAGGATTTGGCTTTAAGGGGGGGCTTTGCACCCCAAAATATGAAGCTCCGGACACCCCCCGCACCCCAAAAAAAACCCCACTTATATGGCTAACCACTTCCAATGAGAATTTTCGGGGTACAACCGAACTCCGTGACGGATTTTTCTTTAAGTGGGGGTTCTGCACCCCAAAATCCCCAACAGATGAAGCTCCGGACACCCCCCACACCCCAAAAAAAACCCCACTTATGCCTCTAACCCGAACCCACACCCACATCCGAGGAGAATTATTGGGGTACAGCTGAACCCAGTGAAGGATTTTTCTTTAAGGGGAGGTTCTGCACCCCAAAAACCCCAAAGAATGGGACTCGGGACACCCCCGGCACCCCAAAAAAACCCCCACATATATCACTAACCACTTCCAATGGGGATTATCGGGGTACAACCGAACTCCGTGACGGATTTCCCTTTAAGAGGGGGCTTTGCACCCCAAAATATGAAGCTCCGGACACCCCCCGCACCCCAAAAAAAACTCCACTTACGCCTCTGAGCCTCAGCCAGGAGCAGGAGCACCCCAAAAACCGCGATGGCCCCGAGCCCCCTCATGGTCCCCGCTCGTCTCCCCCACGCTCGGCACGGCCGGGACAGAGGAGCCGGGCTCGGGGACAGCCCCCCAAAAAGGGGGCGCTCATTTGCATAACCCCGCCCCCCAAAAAAGGGGGGGCAGGGGCCGTGACCCCCCCAAATCCGCCCCCAAAATCCCCCCCCTTGTCACGTGGGGCCACCCGCGGTCACACGGTGCGAGCCGGCCCCGGGAGGGGGGCGGGGGGGTTTTGGGGACCCCCCCCCCCAAAACGCAGAGGGGGTTTTGGGGGACCCCCCCCGGAAATTCCGGCACGCGGAGACCCCGGGGATGGGGATTTGGATTTTTGGGGTTTGGGGTTTTTGGAGTTTTTGGGGTTTGGGGTTTTGGGGTACCCCCGGCACGTGGAGACCCCAGGGATAGGGATTTGGGAATTTTGGGGTTTGGGATTTTTGGGGTTTTGGGGATTTTTGGGGTTTTGGGGGCTTTTGGGGTTTGGGATTTTTGGGATTTGGGATTTTTGAGGTTTGGGATTTTTGGGGTTTGGGATTTTTGTCGGTTTTGGGATTTTTGTCGTTTTTGGGATTTGGGAGTTTTGGGGTTTTGGGGTTTTGGGGTTTGGGATTTTTGGGGTTTGGGGGGTCATGGGGGTGACAGCCATGGTGGGGGGGGTCCCCAATTCTGCACACAGCGGGGGGACCCCCGGTATGACACTCAGAGTGGGGGACCCCCAGTGTGGCACGGGGGGGGTGGGGACCCCAATTCCGAGGGGGTCACACATGGGGGACCCCGATGGGACAGGGGGACCCCAATCCTGGTGGGCGACACTTGGGGGGGACCCCGAACTTGTCCACACAGGGGGATCCCGAGGGGTGACACGGGGGGACCCGGATCTCGGTGGGTGACACGGGGGGACCCCGATGACACAGGGGGACCCCGAACCTGGTGAGTGACACTTGGAGGGGACCCCAAACTTGTCTACACAGGGGGACCCCGGGGGGTGACACGGGGGCACCCCGATTCTGATGGGTGACATGGGGGGGGACCCCGATTTCAGTGGGTGACACGGGGGGACCCCGATGGGACAGGGGGACCCCGATCCCTGGGGGGTCACCCATGGGGACCCCGATCCTGGTGGGTGACACGGGTCACACAGGGGGGGACACCGATCCCGGTGGGTGACACGGGTCACACGGGGGGGACACCGATCCCGGTGGGTGACCCCGATCGTTCCTGCTCCGGCCGTTTCCGTGCCCCCGGGGCTGGCCCGGTGCGCGCGGGCCCGTTTCGGTGGGGCCACGTGTGCGGAGAGCCCCGTGACCCCCGGAGAGCCCCGTGACCCCCGTGTGGCCCCCGGGGCTGCTCCCCGTGACCCCCGCGTGGCCCCCGTGTGTCCGGTTGTGGTCTGGCCGCAGCCCGAGCTGTGGTCCCGGTGTCCGGTCCCGGTGCCCGGTGCCAGTGTCCGGTCCCAGTGCCGGTGTCTGGTCCCGGTTCCGGTGCCAGTGTCCGGTGCCGGTGTCCGGTCCCAGTGCCTGTGTCTGGTCCTGGTGCCAGTGTCCGGTCCCGGTCCCGGTCCCTGTCCCCGTCCCCATCCCTGTCCCCAATGTCCCAATCCCTATCCCCGGTCCCTGTCTCTGTCCTTGTCCCTGTCCCCAGCGTCCCGATCCCTGTCCCTGTCCCCTGTCCCTGTCCCCTCCCCGCTGTCCCTGTCCCAGTCCCCTGTCCCCAATGTCCCGATCCCGGTCCCTGTCCCTGTCCCTGTCCCCAGTGTCCCTGTCCCTGTCCCGGTCCCTGTCCCCAATGTCCCGATCCCGGTCCCGGTCCCGGTCCCTGTCCCTGTCCCTGTCCATGTCCCTGTCCCTGTCCCCAATGTCCCGATCCCTCTCCCCAGTGTCCCTGTCCCTGTCCCTGTCCCCAGTGTCCCTGTCCCGGCAGTGTCCCTGTCCCTTTAAGGTATCTCCCGCCTATCCGCTGACGTCACACGGGGTTCAGCCAATGGGCGGCGGCGCGGGGGGCGTGGCCGGCGGAAAGGCGGGAAGCGGCGCGGGCGGGGCCGCCGCGGGTTTGGCGCGCGCGGGGGGGACGCGGCGGCCGCGCTCGGGACCCCCGGGAACCCCCCCCAGGGACCCCCCCCGGGACAACCGGGGACACCCAGAACCCCCCCGGGACAGCCCGGCCCCACCAGGGACAGCCCCGGGACCGGGACAGCCCCGCAGCCCCACCCCCACCCCGGATATCCCTCCCGGAGACCCCCAGAACCCCTCCGGGGCACCCCCGGTAACACCGGGACACCCCCGGGGACACCCAGAGACCCCCGGGATACCCCCGGAACCCCACCCCCACCCCGGATATCCCTCTCGGGGACACCCAGGGATTCCCGGTGACACCCCCGGTAACACCGGGACGCTCCCGGGATACCCTCGGTGACACCGGGGACATCCCCGGAACCCCACCCCCACCCCGGATATCCCTCTCGGGGACCCCCGAGGACACCCAGAGACCCCCGGGGACATCCAGAACCCCACCGGCATACCCCCGGTGACACCGGGACACCGCCGGTGACACCGAGAACACCCTTGGTGACACTCGGTGACACCCGGTGACACCGGGGACACCCCCAGACCCCCGTGCAACCCCCGGCAATCCCCACCCTTATCCCGGATATCCCTCCCTACGACCACCCCCCACCTCCGGGACCACCCCTGTCCCCGTTCCCGGTGTCCCCCCGCCACTCCCGGTGTCCCCCCCGGTGTCCCCTCCATGGAGAACTTCCAGAAGGTGGAGAAGATCGGTGAGGGCACCTACGGCGTGGTCTACAAGGCCCGCAACAAGGTGACGGGAGAGGTGGTGGCACTCAAGAAGATCCGCCTGGACACGTGAGTGGGGGTCCCGGGGGGTCCCGGGGGTCTCCCGGGGGGTCCCCGGGGCTCACGGCCACCCCCGGGCCCGGTGTCACGGCAGGGAGACCGAGGGTGTCCCCAGCACGGCCATCAGGGAGATCTCGCTGCTCAAGGAGCTCAACCACCCCAACATCGTCAAGTGAGTCTGGGGGTCCTGGGGGGGAGTTTGGGGGGAGATGGTAACGAGGAGGGGTCCCCGGGATTGTCCTGGGGGGGTTTTGGGGGGCTCTGGGCGGTTCTGGGGGGGCTTTGGGCAACAAGGAACGGTTCCCAGGGGTGTCCTGGGGGGGATTTGGGGGGAGATGGCACCGAGAGGGGTCCCCAGGATTGTCCTGGGGGTGTCCTGGGGGGCTTTGGGGGGAGATGGCACCGAGAGGGGTCCCCGGGATTGTCCTGGGGGGGCTTTGGGGGGAGATGGCAACAGTGAGGGGTCCCCGGGATTGTCCTGGGGGTGTCCTGGGAGGGCTTTGGGGGGCTCTGGAGGGTTCTGGTGGGCTTTTGGGGGGTCCTGGGGGGCTCTGGGGGGAGATGGCACCGAGAGGGGTCCCCAGGATTGTCCTGGGGGGGCTTTGGGGAGGCTCTAGGGGGAGATGCCACTGAGGAGGGGTCCCCAGAAATGTTCTCGGGGTGTCCTGGGGGACTCTGGGGGTCCTGGTGGGCTTTTGGGGGGTCCTGGGGGCAGATGTCACTGAGGAGGGGTCCCTGGAAATGTTCTGGGGGTGTCCTGGGGGGCTTTGGGGGGCTTTGGGGGTCCTGGTGGGCTTTGGGGAGGCTCTAGGGGGAGATGCCACTGAGGAGGGGTCCCCAGAAATGTCCTCAGGGTGTCCTGGGGGGGCTTTGTGGTGTCCCTGTGGCCATGGGACCCCTGGGGCTGTGGTGTCCCCATGTCCCTGTGTCCCTGTCCCCGTGTCCCCAAGCTGTCCCCAGCTGTCCCCATGTCCCCAGGCTCCTGGATGTCATCCACAGGGAGAACAAGTTGTCCCTGTGTCCTTGTCCCCATGTCCCCAAGCTGTCCTGCTGTCCCCGTGTCCCTGTCCCCGTGTCCCAGGGCTGTCCCCGTGTCCCTGTCTGTCTCCGTGTCCCCAAGCTGTCCCCGTGTCCCCAAGCTGTCACCATGTCCCCAAGCTGTCACCGTGTCCCTGTCCCCATGTCCCCGCACTGTCCCTGTGTCCCAGGGCTGTCCCCAAGCAGTCCCCATGTCCCCAAGCTGTCCCTGTGTCCTTGTCCCCGTGTCCCCAAGCTGTCCCCGTGTCCCAGGGCTGTCCCCATGTCCCTGTCCCTGTGTCCCAGGGCTGTCCCCGTGTCCCTGTCCCCGTGTCCCCAAGCTGTCCCCGTGTCCCTGTCCCCGTGTCCCCAAGCTGTCCCTGTGTCCCTGTCCCCGTGTCCCCAAGCTGTCCCCGTGTCCCCAAGCTGTCCCCGTGTCCCCAGGCTGCTGGATGTCATCCACACGGAGAACAAGCTGTACCTGGTGTTCGAGTTCCTGCACCAGGACCTCAAGAAGTTCATGGACTCCTCCTCGCTCAGCGGGATCGCGCTGCCGCTCATCAAGGTGGGGCCCTAAAACATCTGGGGGGCCCTAAAACATCTGGGGGGGCCTAAAACACCTGGGGGGGCCCTAAAACATCTGGGGGGGCCCTAAAACACCTGGGGGGATCCTAAAACACCTGGGCAGGGTTCCTAAAACCTGGGGGACATTAGGGGGACCCTAAAGCACCCTGTGTCATTGGGGTCCCCTGGGTCACTCAGGGGTCACTCAGGGGGTGACCTCGATGTCCCCAATGTTCCAAACGATGTCCCCAATGTCCCAAACTATGTCCCCAGCACTGTCCCCAGAGTCACCTGTCCCAGCTGCTGCAGGGGCCGACATTTTGGCACGTGTCCCCAAAACCCCGAACCCACCCTGGGGGTCCCCTGGGTCAGGCTGGGGTCACTCAGGGGATGTCCCCAATGTCCCAAACAATGTCCCCAATATCCCAAACGATGTCCCCAGTGTCCCCAACACTGTCCCCAGAGTCACCTGTCCCAGCTGCTGCAGGGCCTGGTGTTCTGCTGGGTGACCCCAAACCCCCAAAGCCATTCTGGGGGTCCTCTGGGTCACTCAGGGGTCACTCAGGGGATGTCCCAAATGTCTCAAACGATGTCCCCAATGTCCCCAACGCTGTCCCCAGAGTTACCTGTTCCAGCTGCTGCAGGGGCTGGCCTTCTGCCACGCTCACCGGGTGCTGCACCGGGACCTGAAGCCGCAGAATCTGCTCATCAACGCCGAGGGCTCCATCAAACTGGCCGACTTCGGGCTGGCCCGCGCCTTCGGGGTGCCCGTCCGCACCTACACCCACGAGGTGGGGCCTGCCGGGGGGTTTGCAGGGGATTTTGGGGGGTTTGGGGGGCTCAGAACCCATTTAGGGTCCCCATATAGAACTACACACACAAGGTGTGGGGTTTGCGGGGGATTTTGGGGGGTTTGGTGGGCTCAAGACCCATTTAGGGTCCTCATATAAACCCACACATACGAGGTGTGGGGTTTGGGGGGGATTTGGGGGGGATTTGGGGGTTTGGGGTGAATTTAGGGGGCTCAGAGCCCATTTAGGGTCCCTTTGTGAATCTACACGCATGAGGTGTGGGGTTTGTGGAGATTTTGGAAGGTTTGGGGGGGATTTGGGGGGCTCAGAACCCCTTTAGTGTCCCTGTGTGAACCTACACACACAGGTTGTAGGGTTTGGGGGAGCTTGAGGGGGATTTCAGGGGGAATTCGGGTGGGGATTTTGGGGTTTGGGGTGAATTTAGGGGGCTCAGAACCCATTTAGGGTCCCCATATAAAACTACACACACAAGGTGTGGGGTTTGCGGGGGATTTTGGGGGGTTTGGGGGGCTCAGAACCCATTTAGGGTCCTCTTATAAACCTACACATACGAGGTGTGGGGTTTGGGGGGGATTTGGGGGGCTCAGAACCCCTTTAGGGTCCCCATATGTAAACTTACATACATGAGGTGTGGGGTTTGGGGGGGGTTTTTGGGGGTCTTGTCCCTGACAGTGTCCTCAGTGTCCCCTCAGTGTCCCCAATGTCCCCTCAGTGTCCCCAATGTCCCCGATGTCCTCAGGTGGTGACGCTCTGGTACCGCGCCCCCGAGATCCTGCTGGGCTGCAAATATTACAGCACGGCCGTGGACATCTGGAGCCTGGGCTGCATCTTCGCCGAGATGGTGGGTGGCACTTGGGGACACTTGGGGACATTTGGGGACACTTGGCATGTGACAGAGCCTGGGCTGCATCTTCGCCGAGATGGTGGGTGGCACCTGGGGACACTTGGGAAGACACTGAGGGGACATTGTGGTCCCCAGGGTGACACATGGGTCCCCAAAGCCCCCTCAGGTGACACCAGGGGTGACACTGATGTCCCCAAAACCCCTCAGGTGACACCAGGGGTGTCCTCAGACCCACTGGGGGTGTCCCCAGTGTCCCCAGATCACCCACCTTGCCCTGTTCCCCAGTGACTCCAAGATAAACCAGCTGTTCCCATTGTCCCTGTGATGTCTCCAATGCCACATTGATGTCCCCAATACCCCATTGATGTCCCAATGATGTCCCCAATGTCCTAAATGCCCCATTGATGTCCCCAAATGTCCCATTGATGTCCCCAGATCACCCGCCGAGCCCTGTTTCCCGGCGACTCCGAGATCGACCGGCTGTTCCCATTGTCCTGATCCCGTATCTCCAATGCCACATTGATATCCCAGTGATGTCCCAAATGTCCCAACAATGTCCCCAACGTCCCTGTCACCCCCCAGATCACCTGCCAAGCCCTGTTCCCCGGGTGACTCCGACATCGACCGGCTGTTCCCATTGTGTCCCCAATGTCCCATTGATATCCCAGTGATGTCCCCAATGTCCCCAATGCCCCACTGATGTCCCAATGATGTCCCCAATGCCACACTGATGCCACATTGATGTCCCCAATGTCCCCAGATCACCCGCCGAGCCCTGTTCCCAGGTGACTCCGAGATCGATCAGCTGTTCCCATTGTGTCCCCAATGCCCCATTGATGTCCCAGTGATGTCCCCAATGTCCCCAATGCCCCATTGATGCCACATTGATGTCCCCAATGTCCCTGTGATGTCCCCAATGTCCCCCCAGATCACCCGCCGAGATTCTCGGAGTTGTGCCTGTTCCCATTGTGTCCCCAATGTCCCATTGATATCCCAGTGATGTCCCCAATGTCCCCAATGTCCTAAATGCCCCATTGCTGTCCCCAAATGTCCCATTGATGTCCCCAGATCACCCGCCAGCCCTGTTTCCCGGTGACTCCGAGATCGACCAGCTGTTCCCATTGTGTCCCCAATGCCCCATTGATGTCCCAGTGATGTCCCCAATGTCCCATTGATATCCCATTGATATCCCCAATGCCCCATTGATGTCCCAGTGATGTCCCCAAATGTCCCATTGATATCCCCAATGTCCTAAATGTCCCATTGATGTCCCCAAATGTCCCATTGATGTCCCCAGATCACCCGCCGGGCCCTGTTCCCCGGGGACTCGGAGATCGACCAGCTGTTCCGCATTTTCCGCACGCTGGGCACGCCGGACGAGGCCGCCTGGCCGGGGGTGTCGGCGCTGCCCGACTACAAAGCCACCTTCCCCCGCTGGGCCCGCCAGGACCTGGCCAAGGTCCTGCCGCCCCTGGACGACGAGGGCCGCAAGCTCCTGGCGGTGAGGGGGAAAATTCCCAATTTTCCCGGAATTTTACACAACTTTTCCTTGATTTTTCTGTGATTTTCCCCATTTTTTCCTTTATTTTTCCTGATTTTTCCCCACCTTTTCACCAAATTTCCCGATTTTTTCTGATTTTTCCCACCTTCTCTTTTATTTTTCCCACTTTTTACTTTATTTTCCCCCAAATTTTCCTTTAATTTTCCTTAATTTTTCCACTTTTCCTTGATTTTCCCACTTTTTCCTGCTTTTCCCCAAATTTTCCTTCATTTTTTCCTTCATTTCCCCACTTTTTCCTGATAGTTCTGTGATTTTTCCCAATTTTTCCTTAATTTTCCCCACTTTTCCCTGATTTTTCCTAATTTTTCCCACCTTTTCCAGATTTTTCCCACTTTTCCCTGGTTTTTCCCCAATTTTTCCTTGTTTTTTCTCATATTTTCCTGATTTTTTCCCACTTTTTCCTGATTTTCCTGATTTACCCCCATTTTTCCTGATTTTCCCCACATTTTCCTGATTTTCCCCCAAGTTTTCATTGATTTCCCCAATTTTTCCTGATTTTTCCCTGATTTTCCCACATTTCCCCCAATTTTTCCCTGATTTTCTCACATTTCCCCCAATTTTTCCCTGATTTTTTTCCCTTTTCCCCCTTTTTTTGCCATTTTCCTATTTTCCCCTTTTTTCCCCGATTTCCCTCCCATTTTCCCCATTTCCCCCCCATTTTTCCCCATTTTCCCCCCATTTTTTCCCACTTCCCCCCCATTTCCCCCCATTTTTCCATTTCCCCTGATTTCCCCCCACTTTTCCCCATTTTCCCCCACTTTCCTCCATTTTCCCCATTTCCCCCCCATTTTCCCAATCTCCCCCCTTTTTTCCTGCATTCCCCCCATTTTTCCCATTTCCCCCCAATTTTTCCCCGATTTTTTCCCTTTTTCTCCATTTTCCCCTTTTTCCCCCATTTCCCCCCAGTTTTCCCCTGCTTTTTTTTCCCTTTTCCCCCATTTTTCCCATTTCCCCCCGTTTTTTCCAAGATATTTTTCCCCATTTTTTCCCATTTTCCCCATTTTTCTCCCCAGCAAATGCTGCACTACGACCCCAACAAGCGAATTTCAGCCAAGGCCGCCCTGGGCCACCCCTTCTTCAGGGACGTCACCAGAGCTGTCCCCCACCTGCGTCTCTGACCCCAAAAATTACCCCAAAACCCCCAAAATTACCCCAAACCCCCAAAAATATCCCCCAGACCATCCCAAATGGCCCCAACCCCCCCCAAATTACCCCAAATTCCCCAAAAATGAGCCTAAATTCCAAAAAATATCCCCCAAACCATCCAAAATGGCCTCAAATCTCCAAAAATATCCCCAAAACCATCCAGAATTGTTCCAAACCCCCCAAATCAGAAAAATGACCCCAAAAATGACCCCAAAACCATCCCAGATGGCCCCAAAAGCTCCAAAATATCCCTCAAATTGTCCAAAATGCCCCAAATTCCCCAAAAAAGGGCCCCAAAATGTCCCCAAACGTCCCTAAATGTCCCCAAATCCCCCCAAATGGCCCCAAACCCCCCAAAAATGTCCACAAATCCCCCCAAAATTTCCCCAAAACGTTCCAAATGTCCCCAAATCGTCCCCAGTGCCACCCCCTCGATGTCCCCTTTGTCGCCTCCCCCTCCCCGCCCCCCCCGCAGTTTTTGGGGCCGAATTTTGGGTTTTTTGTGATTTTTTGGAAAAAAATTGTAATAAAATTTCTGCGGTTTTTAATCCCAGGGGGGGTCAGGGTGGCATCGTCACCTCCTGTCACCTCTCCCCCCCATACTGAGACCCCCAAAATGTCCCCAAAATCCCCAAAAATGTCCCCAAGAGCCCCAAAAATATCCCCAAAATCCCCAAAAAATCTCCCAAAAATGTCCCCACACCCCCCCCCAGGCTTTCCCAGGCCACGCCCCCTGACTCATGGCCACGCCCACCGCGCCGCCGGAGCCTCCCGATTGGTCCGCCCAAGCTCTGCCCCCTTCGCGAGCACGCCCCGTTCTCCACACTGTCAATCAAAGTTAGCGCCTGCTCTGATTGGGCGAGGCTTCGTCTCTCCCCGCCTTCTCATTGGGTGATGCAGCCGCGCGGCTCCGCCCCCTCCGGTCACCTTATTTGTTGTCCGTCCCGCCCTTTCACGCGTCTTTACTTTTCATTGGTCGCCAGCCGTGTCACTGACCGCAAACCCCACTTCCTCACCGCCTTTCCCCCTTCCCATTGGCCACGCTCTCTCCTCCCCTTATTGGCCGCTGTGCTATCCATCACCCCCTCCTCTCCATCCTATTGGTGCAACACGGCGGGGCGTCGCCCACCTAGTTTCCCATTGGCGGAGCACAAAGGCGGGCTCTTTTCCTATTGGCTCATTCCTCTGTTAGTCCCGCCCCTCTGGCCGTGAGGGGCTTGGCGGAGCCGCTGTTTGTGCGCCGGGAGGGCCCGGAGGTACCGGGGAGCGCCGGGGGCGGCACTGGGGGCACCGAGCCCCGGGAGGGGCCGCGCTGAGGGCAGGGCGGGAGCCACGGGTGTGGATTTCGGGTGGGGGTCGCGGTCCTGAGGGGGATCCGGTCCTGAGGGGGCTCCGTGCACGGGGGGGCCCAGAGGGGGTCCCAGCCCTGAGGGGGCTCCGAGTTCTGATGGGCTCCGTGCCTGGGGGGGCTCCCGGTCCTGAGGGGGCTCCAAACCCTGAGGGGGCTCCGGTTTCTGAGGAGGCTGCGTGTCCTGAGGGGGCTCCAAACCCTGAGGGGGCTCCGGACCCTGAGGGGGCTCTGGACCCTGAGGGGGTTCCGAGGGGGCTCCGTTCCCGGGGGGGCTCCGAGCTCTCAGAGGGTTCCAGCCCTGAGGGGACTTCATGCCCTGAGGGGGTTCCCAGCCCCAATGATCCTGTCCCAGTGACCACATCCCAGTTGGGTGACCCCATCCCGGTGCTGTTACCCCGTGCCACCATCTCTGTGTGTCCCCAGGATCACAGTGCCATTGCGCCCAGCCCATCCCAGTGATCCCAGTGTTCTGACCCCATCCCAGTTGTGTTATCCCAGTTGGGTGACCCCATTCCAGTTGGGTTATCCCAGTTGGGTTATCCCAGTTGGGTTATTCCAGTGTTCTGATCCTATCCCAGTTGGGTTATCCCAGTTGGGTGATCCCATCCCAGTTGGGTTATCCCAGTTGGGTTATCCCATTCCAGTTGGGTTATCCCAGTTCGGTTGTCCCAGTGTTCTGACCCCATCCCAGTTGAATTGTCCCAGTTGGGTGACCCCATTCCAGTTGGGTTATCCCAGTTGGGCTATCCCAGTTGGGTTATCCCAGTTGGGTTATTCCAGTGTTCTGATCCTATCCCAGTTGAATTGTCCCAGTAGGGTGATCCCATCCCAGTTGGGTGACGCCATCCCAATGATCCCGTCCCAGTGACCCCATCCCAGCTGGGTGACCCCATCCCGGTGCTGTGACCCCGTGCCACCCTCTCTGTGTCCCCAGGACCGTGGTGCCATCGCGCCCAGCCCGGCCATGGCCGCCCGCGGTGCCCAGCGGCCCAACGGGCACTCACAGCCCAGTAAGATCTGCCAGTTCAAACTGGTGCTGCTGGGAGAGTCGGCCGTGGGCAAGTCCAGCCTGGTGCTGCGCTTCGTCAAGGGCCAGTTCCACGAGTACCAGGAGAGCACCATCGGCGGTGAGACGGGATTTGGGGTGTCCTAAAGGGGTCTGGGGTTGTCCTGGGTGGGATTTGGGGTGATCCCAGGTGGGATTTGGGGTTCAGAGCTTCATCAAGGGTCAGAGCACCATTGGTGGTGAGCTAGCATCAGGGATCCCATGGGGATCTGGGGATCCCACGGAGATTTGGGGTGTCCTAAAGAGGCCTGGGGCTGGCCAGGGTGGGATTTGGGGTGATCCCAGGTGGGATTTGGGGTTCAGAGCTTTGTCAGGGGTCAGTTCCACAAGTACCAGGAGAGTGCCAGCGGCGATGAGCCGGGAACCCAAAGGGATTTGAGGATCCCACAGGGATTTGGGGTGCAGGGAGCGCTCTTTGGGAGGGTTTGGGCCACCCTGAGGTGACACTGGCTGGGTTGGTGACACTGAGGTGACACTTTGGTGGCCCTGTCCCCTGTCCCCAGCCGCCTTCCTGACGCAGTCCGTGTGCCTGGACGACACCACGGTCAAGTTTGAGATCTGGGACACGGCGGGGCAGGAACGCTACCACAGCCTGGCCCCCATGTACTACCGGGGGGCTCAGGCTGCCATCGTGGTCTACGACATCACCAACCAGGTCTGGGGGGATTTGGGGGGGATTTGGGGTGATTTGAGGGGGTTTTGGGGTGATTTGAGGGGGTTTTGGGGGGGGTCTCAGGGGGTACTACCGGGGGGCTCAGGCTTGCCATCGTGGTCTACGACATCACCAACCAGGTCTGGGGGGATCTGGGGGGGGTCCTGAAGTATCCCAGGTTATTTGGGGAGGGGTCTGTGGGTTTTTGGGGAGGGGTCTCAGGTAATTTGGGGAGGGGTCTCACCCTCCCACCCCCCAGGAGACGTTTGGGCGGGCACAGGGCTGGGTGAAGGAGCTGCAGGGGGGTCTGGGGGTCTCAGGAGATTTGATTTGAGGAGGGGTCTCAGGGGTCTCTGGCTATTTGGGGAGGGGTCTGAGGTAATTTGGGGAGGGGTCTCACCCTCCATCCCCCTCCCCAGGAGACGTTTGGGCGGGCACGGGGCTGGGTGAAGGAGCTGCAGCGCCAGGCCAGCCCCAGCATCGTCATCGCCCTGGCCGGCAACAAGGCCGACCTGGCCAGCAAGAGGATGGTGGAGTACGAGGTCAGCACAGGGGGGATTTTTGGGGCATTTTGGAGGATTTGGGGGGAATTTTGGCAATTTTTGGGGGGAATATTGGGAGGTTTTGGCATTTTTTGAGGGATTTTTGGGGGGGGGTTTGGGATTTTTTGGTATTTTGGGATTTTTTGGGGGGGGGTTGGGATATTTTTTGGTATTTTGGGGAAGCTTTGGTTTTTTGGGGGGATTTTGGTGGGTATTTTGGGATTTTTGGGGGGATTTGGGGGAATTTTTGGGGAGACTTTAGCGGTTTTTGGGTTTTTTTGGGTAATTTGGGGATTTTTTTTGAATTTTTAAGGGAATTAGGGTTTTTTTTTAATTTTGGGGGGTTTGGAGTTTTTTTGGGGAATTTTGGGAATTTTTAGGGGAATTTGGCTTTTTGGGGGGAATTTTGGGATTTTATTTGGAATTTTGGGGTTTTTTTTGGATTTTGGGGGATTTGGGGACTTTTTTGACAATTTTGGGGGGATTTTTTTTTGAATTTTTGGGGGATTTTGGGGGAATTCTCGGGTGTTTTTTTGTAATTTCTAGGGTGCTTTGAGGAATTTCTGGGGCTGTTTTTGGGAATTCCTGGGGATGTCTTCAGGAATTTCTGGGGCCATTATGGGAATTTCTGGGGCTGTTTCTGGGGCTGTTTTGAGGAATTTCTGGGGCTGTTCTGGGACTGTTTTCAGGAATTTTTGGGGCTGTTTCTGGCCCGTTCCCATGGGCTTTTTGGGGGGAATTTGGGGGATTTTTGCTGAGCTGTCCCTGCAGGAAGCCCAGGCCTACGCCGATGACAACAGCCTGCTCTTCATGGAGACCTCGGCCAAGACGGCCATGAACGTCAACGACCTCTTCCTGGCCATCGGTGAGGGGCTGCTGGGGGGCTTCTGGGGGGGTTTTGGGGGGTCCTGAGGGGTTTTGTGGGGTCTCAGGCGGGCCCTGAGGGGTTTCTGATGGGTTTTGGGGCGTCTCAGGGGGGTCTGGGGGGGGTATGAGGGGTTTGGGGGGGTCCTGAGGGGTCTCTGAGGGGTCTGGAGGGGTTCTGGGGAGGTCTGGGGGTACTCAGAGGGATCTGAGGGGTTTTGGGGGTGTCTCAGGGGGGTACTGAGGGATTTTGGGGGGTCTCAGGGTGGTTTTGGGGGGTCTCAGGGGGCTCTGATGATCCCAAATGGCCCCAGTTGAACCCAAAAAATCCCAAATGACCTGAATTGACCCCGAGTGACCCCAAATGACCCCGAGTAACCCCAAGTGACCCTTGAGTGACCCCATCTGACCCCGAGTGACCCTTGGTGACCCTCGGTGACCCCTTGCAGCCAAGAAGCTGCCCAGGACGGAGCCGCCGAGCTCGGCCGGGGCCGGGGGCCGGGGCCGGGGCGTGGACCTGAGCCAGGAGAGCCCCCGGGGCCGGGGACAGTGCTGCGGGAACTGAGGCATCCGCTGGGATCCACTGGGATCTGCTGGGATCTACTGGGATCCATCCAGCCCAAATCCTGCTGGGATCCACCGGGACTGAGCCAGCTGAGCCCCTGGGCCACGGGCAGTGCTGCAACCGAGGGATCCCATGGGATCCACTGGGATCGATCCAGTCAGAATCGCGCCTGGGATCCACCGGACCTGAGCCAGGAGAGCCCCCGGGGCCGGGGACAGTGCTGCCACTGAGGGATCCACTGGGATCCACTGGGATCCACTGGGGTCACATCACTGCTGGGATCCACCCCAGTCACAGCTGGGATCCACCGGACCTGAGCCAGGGACAGTGCTGCAGGAACTGAGATCCAACGGGATCTGCTGGCTCCTCCTGGCTCCTCCAGATCCCTCCTGGATCCACCAGGCCCCACTTGGATCTACCAGATCCCTCCTGGACCTTCCAGATTGCTCACGGATCCTCCAGCCCCCTCCTGGCTCCTCCAGACTCTGCTGGGATCCCCCAGATCCCTCCTGGATCCACCAGATCCCACCTGGACCTTCCACATTTCACACAGATTCTTCAGCCCCCTCCTGGATCATCTGGATCCCCCCTGGATCCACCAGATCCCTTTTGGATCCCCCAGACTCCTCCTGGCTCCACCAGATCCCTCCTGGATCCTCCAGATCCTTCCTGGATCCACCAGGCCCCTCCTGGATCCTCCAGATCTCTCACAGATACTCCAGACTCCACCAGAATCCTCCAGATCCCTCCTGGGTCCACCAGATCCCACTTGGACCTTCCAGATTGCACATGGATTCTTCAGGCCCCTCCTGGATCCACCAGATCCCTCCTGGCTCCACCAGATCCCTGCTGGGCCCACCAGATCCCTGCTGGATTCTCCAGATCCTTCCTGAATCCTCCAGACTCTGCTGGGATCCCCCAGATCCCTCCTGGATCCACCAGGCCCCGCTTGGATCTACCAGATCCCGCACAGAAACTCCAGACTCGGCCGGGATCCCCTCGATGTCCCCAGGTGGTCCCAGTGGTGGCCACCATGTCCCAATGGTGGCCACCATGTCCCCTCAGTGGTCCCAGTGGTGGCCACGATGTCCCAATGGTGGCCACCATGTCCCCTCAGTGGTCCCAATGGTGGTCACGATGTCCCAGTGGTGGCCCTGAGGTCCCCAGGTGGTCCCAGCCATGGCCACCCCCCAGGTGCCACCCCCAGTTTGTCCCTGTCCCCAGCCTGGCCCATCTCACTTGGCACTTTATGGTCACACGGCCCGAGGGGGTGGCACCCCAACATTGGGGACACCCCGAGGTGGTGGCACCTCAGAATTTGGGACACCCCAAAGTGGTGGCACCCCAAAATTTGGGACACCCCAACTTGGGGAACCCTGGAATTGTCCCCCCAGGCGTGGGGGTGGCGGCTGTGGGGTGGAGGGACTCGGTCCCGTGTGACACCCCTGGGGACACCTTGGGGACAGTTTGGGGACATTGCTGGGGACACCTTGGGGACATTCCCCGGGACATCTTGGGGACACCTTGGGGACATTCCCGGTGCTCCAGAGCCTCTGGAGTTGGTGACATTGATGTCCCCAGGGTGGTGACAGAGCCCGCAGGGTCCTTGCCCTGTCCCCACCCTTGGGGACACCTTGGGGACACTCCCAGGGACACTTCAGGGCCACTCCCAGGGCCACTCCCAGGGAGACTCCCAAGGACACCTTGGGGACACCTTGGGGACACTTCAGGGCTGTCCCTGGGGACACTGCCAGGGACACTCCCAGGGCCACCTTGGGGACACCTCGGGGACAATCCCGGGGCCACCTTGGGGACACCTCGAGGCCTTTCCCGGGGCCACCTTGGGGACACCTCGGTGACAGTCCTGGAGCCACCTTGGGGACACTCTGGAGACACCTGGGGCCTTTCTGGGGACACCTTGGGGACATTCCCGGGGACACTCCCAGGGCCACTTTGGGGACACTCTGGGGCCACTCCCGGAGCCACCTTGGGGACATTCTGGGGACACCTCGAGGCCTTCCCGGGGCCACCTCAGGGCCACTCCCGGTGCCCCAGAGCCTCTGAACGGGTGACATCGATGTCCCCAAAGTGGTGGCCCCATGTCCCAGCCCTGGACACTGCAGCTTCTGCCACTCTTTTATTTTCCTTTATTTTTCCCCTTTTTTTCTTTATTTTTTCCTTCCTTTCCCCCCCGTTTTTCGCCTTTTTCCTCGGATTTTTTTTTCTTTCTTTTTCCCCGTTTTTCACCTTTTCCCTCGGATTTGATTTTTCCTTCCGCTCCGGTTTTTTCCCTGCCCTTGGGGCCGCTCCTCCCTCGCGGTGAAATAACGATCGTGGTAACCACAGGCTCGGGTCGCTGATTCACCCGTGTATTTAATGTAAAAAAGTAAAAAAAAAAAACAAACAACAAGGACAAAAAAAAAAAAAAAAAACAAGGAAAATAATCCCAAAAAACCAAAAATTCCCAACTGTTTTTTGTGTACTCAAGGAGGGGACAGGCGACAACACCGAGGCCACCCGGTGCCACCAGCTGCCAGATGGTGCCCTGCCCTGATAAGGCTTATCAGAGCTGGCAGCTGCTTGGCAACTCCTGTTTTTTGCCGGGTTTTTTGCCTTTTTTTCCCGTTTTTCCCCCAAATTCCCAGCGGGAAATTGGGGAGCGGCGTTGCCCTTTTAAATCCGTGTGGCCGCTTTAAGACCCCCGCGGTGCTCGGGGCGGTGTTGCCCCTTTGAGCGGGCGGCGGTGGGGCCCACCCTGAGCGAGGCCACGCCCACTTGGCCCCCGTTAAAGTAAACGGAGGGGGCGTGGCCGGGCGGGTCGCGCCTGTTCTGAGGCCACGCCCATCGCCCCCCTCTTAAAGCGGCCGCGCCCGCGGGGACATCGCTGGACCGGAACCGTTACGCAGGTGGGCGGCGGGGACAACCGGGAACCGGGACAACCGGGAACCGGGACAACCGGGACAGGAATGGGACGAGAAAAGCGGGAGAGGGATGGGGCTGAGGGCAGGGAGAAGCGGGACTCAGTTGGGGCTGGAGGGAAAACAACCGGGACCGGGAGAGGTTTGGGGACAACCGGGACTGGCCTGGGCCTGTGGCGGGGACAACCGGGAGCGGACCGGGCTGGGAACAACCGGGATGGGGTTGGGGACGGCATAACCGGACCGGGATGGCGCTGGGGGCGGGACAACAGGGATGGGGCTGGGGACAGGATAACCGGGACCGGGATGGCGCTGGGGGAGGGGACAACCGGGAGCAGACCGGGCTCGGAACAACCGGGACCGGACTGGGCTGGGGACAACCGGGCCCGGGATGTGCTGGGGACAACCGGGACCGGACCGGGCTGGGAACAACCGGGACCGGGATGGGGTTGGGGACAACCGGGACCGGACTGGGCTGGGGACAACCGGGCCCGGGATGTGCTGGGGACAAGCGGGACCGGACTGGGCTGGGAACAACCGGGACCGGGATGGGGTTGGGGACGGGATAACCGGGACCGGACTGGGCTGGGCACGGGATAACCGAGACCGGGATGGCGCTGGGGGAGGGGACAAGCGGGACCGGACTGAGCTGGGGACAACTGGGACCGGGATGGGGTTGGGGAACGGACAACCGGGGCCGGACTGGGCTGGGGACAACCGGCACCGGTCTGCGGGGTCGTGAAGAGGGACCGAGCTGGGACACAACGAGCACCGGGCTGGGTCTGGCGCGGGGGCAGAACCGGGACCGGGCTGGGGTTGCGGAGGGGCAGAACCGGAGCGGGAACCGGGCGCGGTTGTGTCGCACCGGAGATCCCTGATTGTCGCTTTCCGCACCAGCGTCACCGGAGCCGTTTCCCGGTCCCATCCCGCCGCCGCGATGCTGCTGCTCCGGGCCATGGCCGGCCGCAGGTAGGAGCGGCTCCGCCGGGGCTCCCGGGGTCCCCCGGTGTCCCCCGGTGTCCCGGGACCGCTGTGACCCCGCTGTGACCCCGCAGGCTCCCGCCGCTGATGCAGCTGCCCCGCGGCTGCTCCCGGTTGGCCGCCGGTAGCACGGCCCCGGAGGGACACCGGGGAGCGGCCCCGGCCCCGGAGGGACACCGGGGAGAGGCCCCGGGGCGACACCGCGGATCGATTCCGGTGCTGGCGGCGCTGCTCGGGCTCGGGACCGTCCTGGCCTACGGAGAGCGGCGGCGGAGGGTGAGGGACACCGTAGGAACACCGTGGGGGACACCGCGGGCGGTGGCACCGGGTGGTGGCACCGGGAGGGGGGTGGCGACACCCTCGGGGTCCTTCACCCCACGGGAGCACCGGGGTGGGGCCGGATCGCGGCGGGAGGCGGCGCCTGAGGGGCGGATCCCGGTGAGAGGTGACACCGGGACAGCGGGAACGGGGAGCGGGGGGTGGCACCGGGGGGTGGATCCCGGGGGAAAGGGGTGGCACCGGGAAAGGGACAGCCCGGGGACCGGGTGGCAACGGGGGAAGGATCCCGGGGGAGGGTGTGACACCGGGACAGCTGGATCCCAGTACGGGGGGTGACAACGGGACAAGGGTGACAGCGGGAACGGGGAGCGGGGGGTGGCACCGGGGGGTGGATCCCGGGGCAGGGGGTGGCACCGGGCCAGGGGTGACATCGGGCCAGGGGGATCCCGAGGCAGGAGGATCCCGGGGCGGGGGTGACACCGGGACAGGGGAATCCCGGTACGGGAATGACACCGGGACAGGGATCCCGGGACAGGGGATCCCGGGGCGGGAGTGACACGGACACAGGGGGTGACACCGGGACAGGGATCCCGGGACGGGGCAGGGATGACGCCGCGATCCCGGGAGCACGACGAGGGGAATCCCACTGACCCTCCCGGTACCCGCAGACCGCCGAGGCCGCGCAGGCCCCCCGTGCCCCGCGGTACCCCCGTTACACCCGGGCGGAGGTGGCGCAGCACCGCACCCCGAGCGAGCGCGTGTGGGTCACGTACGGCACCGAGGTGTTCGATGTCACCGAATTCGTGGAGTTACACCCGGGGGGACCGGACAAAATCCTGCTGGCGGCCGGCGGCGCCCTGGAGCCTTTTTGGGCTCTTTACGCCGTCCACAGCCAAGCCCACGTGCTGGAGCTGCTCCGTGACTACAAAGTTGGCGAGCTGAGCCCCGACGAAGCCTCGCCACCACCGGGCGACACCGGCGACCCGTTCGCCGGTGATCCCCCGCGCCACCCGGCGCTGCGGGTGAACAGTTTGAAGCCTTTTAACGCCGAACCTCCCCCGGAGCTGCTGACCCAAAGTTTCCTGACGCCCAACGAGCTTTTCTTCACCCGTAACCACCTCCCGGTGCCCGCCGTGGAACCGGGATCTTACCGGCTGCGCGTGGAAGGTCCCGGTGGCCGCGCCTTGTCGCTGTCGCTGGCGGAGCTCCGGCAGCGCTTCCCGAAGCACGAGGTGACGGCCACGCTGCAGTGCGCCGGTAACCGGAGGTCGGAGATGAGCCGGGTCCGCCCGGTGAAAGGCTTGGCGTGGGATATCGGTGCCATCAGCACGGCGCGGTGGGGCGGGGCGCGGCTCCGCGACGTGCTGCTGGCCGCCGGTGTGCGCGACAACACCGGCGACAGCACCGGCGACGACAACGAGTGGCACGTGTGCTTCGAAGGGTTGGACGCGGACGCTTCGGGGACGCCGTACGGGGCGTCCATCCCGTTAAAACGGGCGCTGAGCGCCGAGGCCGAAGTGCTGTTGGCGTACGAGATGAACGGGACGGAGCTGCCGCGGGATCACGGATTCCCGGTGCGCGTGGTGGTGCCCGGTGTGGTCGGGGCGCGGAGCGTGAAGTGGCTGCGGAGCGTGGCGGTGTCACCGGCGGAGAGCCCGAGCCACTGGCAGCAGAAGGATTACAAGGGGTTCTGTCCGTCCGTGGATTGGGATTCCGTGGATTTCGGGGCCGCCCCCGCCATCCAGGAGCTGCCGGTGCAGTCGGCGATCACCGAGCCCCGGCCCGGGGCTGCCGTGGCCGCCGGGGAGCTGACGGTGAAGGGATACGCGTGGAGCGGAGGAGGAAGGGAGGTGGTGAGGGTGAGTGGGGGAATGGGGACGGGAAATGGGGGGAATGGGGTGGGGAGTGGGGGGGAATTAATGGGGATGGGGGAAATGGAGATGGGGAATGGGGATGGGGAATGGGGGAAATGGAGATGGGGAATGGGGGGAATGGGGGGAATGGGGATGGGGAATTTGGGGGAATTAATGGGGATGGGAGAAATGGGGGGAAATGGGGTGGGGGAATGGGAAAATGGGTGGGGGGGAATGGAGATGGGGAATGGGGATGGGGAAATGGGGGGAATTAATGGGGATGGGGGAAAATGGGATGGGGGAAATGGGGAAATGGGGAATAGGGTGGGGAAATGGGGTGGGGAATGGGGGGGAAATGAATGGGGATGGGGAAATGGGGGGAAATGGGGAATGGGGTGGGGAAAATGGGGATGAGGGAAATAGGGTGGGAGAAATGGGGTTAGGAATGGGGTGGGGAAAATGGGATGGGGAATGGGGGGAAATGGGGGGAATTAATGGGGTGGGGGGAAATGGGGTGGGGAATGGGGGAAAATGGGGATTGGAAAAATGGGGGGGATGGGGTGGGGGAATGGAGGAATGGGGTGGGGAATGGGGGAAAAATGGGGTGGGGGATTAGGAAAATGGGGGGAAATGAATGGGGTGGGGAAATTGGGATAGTGGGGAATGGGGGGAAATGAACGGCACGGGGAAATGGGGATAGCGGGGAACGGAAATATGGGAATGCGGCTCTATGGTAACGAATTAACGCTCATTAACACTAATTACCCGGGCAGGTGGACGTGTCCCTGGACGGCGGCCGCACGTGGCGCGAGGCCGAGCTGGGCCCGCGGCCGGAGCGCGGCCGGGGCTGGGCCTGGGCGCTGTGGGAGCTGCGGGCGCCGGTGCCCGCGGGTGCCCGGCTGGACATCGTCTGCAAGGCCGTGGACCGGAGCTACAACGTCCAACCCGACAGCGTGGCGCCCATCTGGAACCTGCGCGGGGTGCTCAGCAACGCCTGGCACCGCGTCAGCGTCAGCGTCACCCGCTGAGGGACACCGGGGTATGGGGACATTGGGGCATGGGGGACATTGGGGACATCAGGGACATTGGGGACATCAGGGACATTGGGGTATTGGGGACATCTGGAGCCTCAGCAACGCCTGGCACCGCGTCAGTGTCACCGTCACTTGCTGAGGGACACCGGGGTATGGGGACATTGGGGACATCAGGGACATTGGGGACATTGGGGACATCTGGAACCTCAGCAACGCCTGGCACCGCGTCAGCGTCACCGTCACCCGCTGAGGGACACCGGGGTATGGGGACATTGGGGCGTTGGGGACATCTGGAACCTCAGCAACGCCTGGCACCGCGTCAGCGTCACTGTCACCCGCTGAGGGACACCGGGGTATGGGGACATTGGGGACATTGGGGACATTGGGGACATTGGGGCATCTGGAACCTCAGCAACGCCTGGCACCGCGTCAGTGTCACCATCACCCGCTGAGGGACACTGCGGTACTGGGGACATTGGGGACAGCAGGAACATTGGGGACATCGGGGCATTGGGACATTGGGGACAGCAGGAACCTCAGCAACGCCTGGCACCGCGTCAGTGTCACTGTCACCCGCTGAGGGACACCGGGGTATGGGGACATTGGGGACATGGGGGCATTGGGGACATCGGGGCATTGGGGCATTGGGGGACATCTGGAACCTCAGCAACGCCTGGCACCGCGTCAGCGTCACTGTCACCCGCTGAGGGACATTGGGGTATTGGGGACATTGGGGACATGGGGGCATTGGGGACATCGGGGCATTGGGGCATTGGGGGCATTGGGGACATTGGGGACATTGGGGGACATTGGGGGACATTGGGGACATTGGGGACATTGGGGGACATTGGGGGACATTGGGGCATTGGGGACATTGGGGTATTGGGGACATTGGGACATTGGGGACATTGGGGACATTGGGGACATTGGGGGACATTGGGGACATTGGGGGCATTGGGGCATTGGGGGACATTGGGGACATCAGGAACATTTGGGGACGTTGGGGGACATTGGGGTATTGGGGACATTGGGGACATCAGGGACATTGGGGACATTGGGGTATTGGGGGCATCTGGAACCTGAGCAACGCCTGGCACAGCGTCCCTGTCACCGTCACCCACTGAGGGACATCATCAGGACATTGGGGACATTGGGGACATCAGGGATCCCTGGAGATCAATGGGATCTGTGGATCCTAAAGGGTTCCATGGCCCCAAAATGTTTTACAGACCCCAAAAATGTCCTACAGACCCCAAATGTCCTACAGACCCCAAATGTCCTACAGACCCCAAAACGTCCTGCAGACCCCAAAATGTCCTGCAGACCCCAAATGTCCTACAGACCCCAAAAATGTCCTACAGACCCCAAATGTCCTACAGACCCCCAGCTTCTACTGACCCCGAAAGATTCCACAGACCCCAAAAGGATTTTATGGACCCCAAAAAGGTTCTGGAAACCCCAAAGGGTTCCACAGACCCTAAAAGGATTTTACGTCCCCCAAAGGATTTTATGGACACCAAAAGGGTTCTGGAAACCCCAAAAGGATTTTAGGGCTCCTCAAAGGATTTTATGAACCACAAAGGGTTCCACAGACCCCAAAAGGATTTTATGTACTACAGAAGGATTTTATGGACCCCAAAAGGATTTTATGTACTTCAGAAGGATTTTATGGACCCCAAAGGGTTCTGGAAACCCCAAAAGGGTTCTGGAAACGCCAAAGATTTCCACGGCCCCGAAGGACTCTGCGGGTTCCTGCAGCTCGAAGGTCAGCGGGGTTTTATGGCCACGGGGTTTTATGGCCCCACGCGTTTATGGCCCCACACGTTTATGGCCCCGCATTTACACCCCAATGTGTGAAAGTGCCTCCTGCCATAAAGATTTGGGAACTTTTATGAGGTCGGCGCCTTCCTGGGGCAGCGAGGGCGGTGTGGGGTGGGGGGTGGGGGAACTTCTGCGACCCCCTGACCCTATAGGAACCCATGGGACCCCCAGACCCTATGGGACCCCCTGACCCTATAGGGGCTCTGTGACCCTGTGTAAGTCCCTGACCCCAAATAACCCCTGACCCTACAGGGGCCCAATGACCCTATGAGACCTGCTGACCCTAAATAACCCCTGACCCTATAGGGACCATGGGACCCCCCCCACCCCGATCCTATAGGGACCCCCTGATCCTATAGGAACCCCTGGGACCTCCTGACCCCATGGGACCCCCTGACCCTATAGGAACTCACGGGACCCCTGACCCCATGGGACCCCCTGACCCTATAGGGATTCCCTGACCCTATGGGAGCTTGTGACCCCAAATACCCCCTGACCCTACAGGGGCCCGATGATTCCATTATCGATCCTGTTATAGATCCCGTTATCAATCCCGTTATCGATCCCGTTATCAATCCCCGTTATCAATCCCTGTTATCAATCTCGTCATTAACCGCCATTTATCCATTCCGTTATCAATTCCCGTTATCGATCCCGTTATCAATCCCCGTTATGAATCCCGTTATCGATCCCGTTATCGATCCCGTTATCGATTCCGTTATCAATCCCCGTTATCGATCACCCCCCCTGCCCATCGACTCTCTCGGCGCTCCCCTTCCCGCCCTGCCCCGCTCGATGCTCTCGGCGTGCCCGGTAGCACCGGGGGCGGTGCCGGAAGCGGCGGGGGCGGTGCCGGAAGCGGTGGGGGCGGTGCCGGAAGTGGCCGGGGCTGGGGGGGGGCCCGGGGCCTCCTCAGGAGCCGCCGCCGCCGCCGCCCCCGAACCGGCCCCGGGACCCCCCGGAGCCCCCCGGACCCCCCCCGGGGGGGCTCAGAGCCCGCCGGTGAGTGGGGGGGCGGCCGGGGGGGGCGGGGTCCCGGTTCGGGGGGTCCCGGTTGCGGGGGGCTCGGTTAAATAGGGGTGGCGACCCCCCGGAGGGGCTCAGGGGGTTCGGGCGGGATCGGGAATTGAGGGGGGGCGCTGGGGCTGCCTGAGGGTCTCGGCTGGATTTGGGGGGGGGGGTCTCGATTTTTGGGGAGTGTCAGGGCTGGATTTTGGGGAGGGGTCGTGTCCCCCTGAGGGTGTCAGCGCTGAATTTTGGGGGGGTCTCGATTTTTGGGGGGGTCTCAGGCTGGATTTGGGGGGGGTCTCCCCTTTTTGGGGAGGGGTCGTGTCCCTCCCCTCAGGTCTGGTTATTTCTGGGGGGGTCGTGTCCCCTCAGGGGTTTTGGCGGGATCGGAATTTGGGGAGGGGTCCCTGGTCCTACCTGGAGGTCTCAGGTTGGATTTGGGGGGGGTCTCGGCTGAATTTGGGGGGGGTCGTGTCCCCCTGAGGGTCTCAGCGCTGAATTTTTGGGGGGGGGTCTCTCCTTTTTGAGGGGAGGTCGTGTCCCCCTCAGGGGTTTTGGCGGGCTCGGGAATGGCGGGGGGGGGGCGCTGGTGCTGCCTGAGGGTCTCGGGGCTGAATTTGGGGGGGGGTCTCCCCTTTTTGAGGGGGGGTCGTGTCCCCCTGAGGGTCTCAGGGCTCGATTTTGGGGTGGGGGTCTGGTTATTTTGGGGGGCTCTCTGAGGGGGGGTCGTGTCCCCTCAGGGGTTTTGGCGGGCTCGGGAATGGCGGGGGGGTCCCTGGCCCCACCTGAGGGTCTCGGGGCTGAATTTGGGGGGGGGTCTCCCCTTTTTGAGGGGGGGTCGTGTCCCTCCCCTCAGGTCTGGATTTTTGGGGGGATCGTGTCCCCTCAGGAGGTTTTGGCGGACTCGGAATTTTGGGGAGGGGTTGTTTCCCCTCCGGGGGGGTGTTCTGAGGGGGGGGTCGTGTCCCCTCAGGAGTTTTGGCGGGCTCGGGAATCGGGGGGGGCTCCCTGGCCCTACCTGAGGGTCTCGGGGCTGGATTTGGGGTGGTTTCGGCTGAATTTGGGGTGTCTCGGCTGGATTTGGGGGGGGTCGTGTCCCCCTGAGGGTCTCAGGGCTCGATTTTGGGGTGGGGGTCTGGTTATTTGGGGGGGGCTCTCTGAGGGGGGGTCGTGTCCCCTCAGGGGTTTTGGCGGGAATTGCGGGGGGGTCCCTGGCCCCACCTGAGGGTCTCGGGGCTGAATTTGGGGGGGGTCTCAGGGCTGGATTTTGGGGGGGGTCTCAGGCTGGATTTGGGGAGGGGGTCGTGTCCCCCTGAGGGTGGCAGCGCTGAATTTTTTTGGGGGGGGGTCTCAGCTGTATTTGGGGGGGAGTCTGGTTCTTTTTGTGGGGGTTGTGACCCCTCAGAGGTTTTGGCGGGATCGGAATTTGGGGGGGGGGGGGTCCCTGGCTCTACCTGAGGGTCTCAGGGCTGGATTTTTGGGGGGTTCTTGGGTGTATTTGGGGGGTCTCAGGGCTGGATTTTAGTGGGGGGGCTCGATTTTTTGGGGGTCCCAGGCTGAATTTGGGGGGGGAGGGTCTCAGGCTGGATTTGGGGGGGGTCTCAGGCTGGATTTTGGGGGGCTCCTTTTCCCTTTTAGGGGGTCTCTGGTTTTTTAAGGGGGTTTCAGATTTTTGGGGTCTCTGAATTTTGGGGTCTCGGATTTTTGGGGTCGCTGATTTTGGGGGGGGGTCTCTGAGTTTTGGGGTCTCTGAATTGTGGGGGGTTTTTTTTTGGTTTTTTTTTGTTTTTTTGGGGGGGGATAATGAAAAATTTTGGCAAATTTGACGAGATTTTCCAGGAATTTTTGGGGGGAATTTCCCCTCAAATCTCAAAATTCCCCAAAATTTTCCCTCCAAAAAAAAAAAAAAGGGATTTTTCCTCTTTTGGATTTTCGGGAATTTTTGGGGATTTTGGGGGATTTTTTCCACCTCTGATCCCTCGGGAATTTTGGGATTATCTGAGGCCACCGAGGAGATTTTTTTGGGATCTCATCCCCAGGGAGCTGCTCCAGTTTGGAATTAAAATTAAAAAATAATTAAAAATAAATTGGAAAAAGCAGCTGGAGCCTCTTCCCAGAATATCTTGGAATTGTTTTTCCTGGGATTTATCCCAAAAAAATTCAAAATAAATTGGAAAAAGCAGCTGGAGCCTCATCTCAGAAATTCCTGGAATTATTTTTCCTGGGATTTATCCCCAAAAATGAAAATAAATTGGAAAAAGCAGCTGGAGCCTCATCCTGGAATTGTTTTTCCAGGTTTTTTTCTGGGATTTATCCCCCCCAAAAAAAGAAAATAAATTGGAAAAAGCAGCTGGAACCTCATTTTGGAATATCCTTGGAATTGTTTTTCCTGGGATTTATCCCAAAAAAATTAAAATAAATCCAGGATGGAGCAGAATCCCAAAAATCCCAGATATTTTTGGGGGGATTTGGGGATTTTTGAGGGGATTTTGGGGTTTTTCTGGGATTTTCTGGGATATTTTTGAGATTTTTTTGGGGGGAGTTTTGGGGGATTTTTAAGGGATTTTTAGGGATTTTTGTGGGGATTTTTGTGGGATTTTTTGGGAGATTTTTGGAATTTTTTGGGGAGTTTTGGGGGATTTTTGGGATTTTTTGGGGGGATTTTGGGGGTTTTTGGGAAAAAAAAAATTGGACATCTGGGAAAAAAAGTGGAAAAATCTGGGGAAAAAAGTGGGATAAATTGGGAAATTGTGGGAAAATCCCTGGATTTTAAGGTGGGAGAGGGGGAAAAGTGGGAAAAAGTGGAAAAATCTGGAGAAAAAATGGGAAAATCCCTGAATTTTAAGGTGGGATGGGGGAAAAAAGTGGGAAAATCCCACGATTTTAAGGTGGGAGAGGGGAAAAGTGGAAAAATTTATGGATTTTAGTGGAAAAAAATGGGAAATCTGGGAAAAAAGTGGGAAAATCTGGGAAAAAAATTGGGGGAAAATTGGGAAAATCCCCGGATTTTGCAGTCTGGGATGGATTTGAGGGAATTTTCCTGAGCCGATCCCAGAATTCCTCGGGATGAGGGTCTGGGGGGATTTAATTGGAATTTTTCCCGAGGGTTTTTTGTGGTTTTTTTTTTTTTTTCCCCCCTGGAATTTTCCCAGCTGAGGAAAAGTCCCGGATTCGGGGCTGCCCCAATTCCCAAATTCCCGAGGGGTTCCTGGCCTGATTTTCCTGGGAATTTCTCCCGGGAATTTGCTTTTTTTGGAGTTTTCTCCTAAAAAAACCTCCCAAAAATCCAGGAATGAGTTCAGGGATGGAGGAGTTGAAGGAATTTGGATTTTTCCTGGTTTTTAGGCCCGAGGAATCTCCAGGATTTTCCAGGGAATTTCCAGGAATTCCCGAGGGGTTTTCCTGAATTTCCCAAGGAATTTTCAGGAATTCCCGAGGGATTTTTCCGGGATTTCCCAAGGAATTTCTGGGAATTCTGAGGTTCCGTTCCCGTTGCAGGTGGTTCCGGGGCCATGGACGTCGAGGAGTGCAGCGCTCGGTCCTACATCACCGGTGAGCTCTGGAATTCCCAATTTTCCTGAATTTTCCTAGAATTTCTGGGATTTTCCTGGGATTTCTGGGATTTTCCTCATTTCTGGGATTTTCCTGGATTTTCCTCAGTTTTTCTGGGATTTTCCTGGATTTTCCTCAGTTTTTCTGGGATTTTCCCTGGGTTTTCCCCCATTTTCCCTGGATTTCCCCTGGATTTTCTGGGATTTTCCCTGGAATTTCTGGGTTTCCCCCCATTTTTCCTGGCATTTCTGTGATTTTCCCCATTTTTTTCCTGGAACTTCTGGAATTTTCCCCATTTTTCCTGACTTTCCCCCATTTTTCCTGGATTTTCTTGACTTTCCCCCCACTTTCCCTGGATTTTCCCCATTTTTCCTGGATTTCCCTGAATTTCCCCCCATTTTTCATGAATTTACTGAGATTTCCCCCCATTTTCCTGGAATTTCCCCCCATTTTTCATGAATTTCCCCACATTTTTCCTGGATTTTCTGGGATTTTCCCCCATTTTCCCCATTTTTCCCCATTTCCGCCCATTTTTCCATTTTCCCCCCAGTTTTCCCCATTTTTTCCATTTTTTTTCTAATTTTCCCCATTTTTCCCCATTTTTCCATTTTCCCCAGTTTCCCCCCATTTTTTTCCCAGTTTTCCCTCATTTTTCCCATTTTTTTTCTAATTTTCCCCATTTTATTCCCATTTTCCCCCATTTTTTCAGGATCCCAGGCAATCCCAAGGGACTTTGGATGTTCCATCCCAAAAATCCCGATTTTTCTGGGATTTATCCCAATTTCCACTAAGCTGCAGCAGAAATTCCAGAATTTTTCCAGCTTTTCCTGGAAAATCCCCAGGGAATTTTCCCAGGGGTGAAAATCCAGGAATTGAGGGGAAAAAAAATCGAGAATTGGGGTGGGAAAATGGGAATTAGGGGGAAAAAAATGGGAATTGGGAGGGGGAAATTGGGATTTGGGGGGTGAAAAATGGGAATGAAAGGGAAAAAAATGGGAATTGAAGGGAAACATTTGGAATGGGGGGAAAAGTGGGAAATAGGAGAGAAAAAATTGGGAATTGGGGGGGGGAAATGGGAATGGAGGAGGAAAAACGGGAATTGAGGAGAAAAAAGGGAATTAAGGGGGGAAAAACAGGGAACTGAGGAGAAAAAACTGGGAAATAGGGGAGAAAATTGGGAATTGGGGGCGGAAAACTGGGAATTAAGGGGGAAAACCGGGAATTGGGGGGGAAATTGGGAATTGGGGGGAAAATCCAGAATTTAAATGGGAATTAGGGGGAAAAACCGAGGATTGGGGAGAAAAAACAGGAATTGAGGGGGGGAAATCGGGATTTTGGGGGGGAAATGGGAATGAAAGGGAAAGAAATGGGAATTGGGGGGGGGAAATAGAGATTTTGGGGGGGGGAAATCGGGAATTGGGGGGGGAAATTGGGAATTGGGGGGGAAAGGAATTAAGGGGAAAAAAACAGGAACTGGGGGGGGAATTGGGAATTAAGGGGAAAAAACAGGAATTGGGGGGGAAAATCAGGAATTGAGGAGAAAAAAAACAGGAATTGGGGTGGAAAAAAGGGAATTGGGGGGAGAAAAAGGGAATTGGGGGGGGGGGGGGGAATGGGAATTGGGAGGAGAAAAAACCGGGAATTGGAGAGAAAAAACCGGGAATTGGGGAGAAAAAAAAACGGGAATTAAGGGGGAAAATAGGGAATTTGGGGGTGGGAAATGGGAATTAAGGGGAAAAAAAACAGGAATTGGGGCGGGGGAAAGTCGGGAATTGAGCAGAAGAAACCGGGAATTGAGGAGAAAAAACCGGGAATTGAGAAAAAAACCCCGGGAATTAAGGACAAAAAAACCGGGAATTGGGGCCCGCGGGTGGGAAATTCCCGCTTGGATCGCGGCTGGAATTTCCAGGAGGGGCGGGAAGGGCTCAAATTCCTTCCTGGCAGGAGGGGAGGGGAGGGCGGGGATGAAATCCAGGAAAATTCCATCAGGGAGAAGCTTTGGAATGTTCCCAGGGAAGTTTGGAATGTTCCCAGGGCGGGGATGGGGGGAGGGGAGGGAGGGGAAGGGAATTTTCCGCCTCCTCCGGGAGGATCATCCCAAAAAAATGGGGGAAAAATGGGAAAAATGGGGATGGAGGAAAATTTCTGCAGGGGAGGGAGGCCCTGGGTCCATCCCAAATTCCCGAAATAATGGGGTTGGATTGGAATTCCTGCTTGGGGAGGGAGCCCTGGGTCCATCCCAAATCCCAAATTCCCGAAAAGATGGGGATGGAGCAAAATTCCTGCTGGGAGAGGGAGCCCCCCGGATCCATCCCAAATTTCCTGGATCCATCCCAAATCCCAAATTCCCTGAATCCATCCCGGGTCCTTCCTGAGCCCCTGGATCCATCCCAAATCCCAAATTCCCTCAATCCGTCCCAAATTCCCAAAAAATTGGGGCTGGAGCCGAATTCCTGCTGGGGGAGGGAGCCCCTGGATCCATCCCAAATTCCCGGAATCCATCCCAAATCCTTCCCGAGCCCCTGGATCCATCCCAAATTTCCTGGGTCTGTCCCAAATCCCAAATTCCCGGAATACATCCCAAATCCTTCCCGAGCCCCTGGATCCCTCCCAAATCCCAAATTCCCCTGGATCCATCCCAAATCCCAAATTCCCCGAATCCATCCTGGGTCCTGCTGATTCCCTGGGTCCATCCCAAATTTCCTGGGTCCATCCCAAATTCCCCAAATCCCAAATTCCCCAATTCCATCCCAAATACCGAATTCCCGGATCCCTCCCTGCTGTCCCTTCCCACATTCCCAGCTCCATTCCCACTCCCCGAATTTTGGGAATTCCCCATTTCCCACCCCAGTCCCACTGAAATTTGGGATCCTGCTCTGCTGCCCTGCCCACATTCCCGAATTCCCGAGTTCCCACATTCCCGAATTCCCACATTCCCATCCCTCCTCCCCTGCCTCATTCCCAGCTCCGATTCCCGATGGAATTTCCACTCCCTGATTTTTGGGAATGCCCCAACTCCCACCCCCATCCCACTAAAATTCCCGGAATTCCACTAAAACCTTGGAATTCCTCCCTCCCACATTCCCACATTCCTGAATTCCCACATTCCCGAATTCCCACCCCTCCTCCTCCTCTTCCTCCCCTCTCCCATTCCCGGGACAATTCCCGATGGAGTTTCCACTCCCTGATTTTTGGGAATGCAGGAATCCATCCCCAAAATCCCTGAAAAACCCTGGAATTTCCACTAAAATCCCGGAATTTCCACTAAAACCTTGGAATTCCTCCCACATTCCTGAATTCCCACATTCCCACCCCTCCTCCTCCTCCTCTTCCTCCCCTCTCCCATTCCCGATGGAATTTCCACTCCCTGCCTTTAAAAATTCCCCATTTTCCCATGAAAAACCCTTGAATTTTCACTAAAATCTTGGAATTTCCATAAAATCCTGGAATTTCCCTAAATCCCAACTCCCCCCCCTCTGTCCTCCCTCCTTTCCCACATTTCTGACCCGGTTTTTTCCCGGGATTTTCCCGGATTTTTTTAGGGATTTGCTCCCCGTGGAAGGTGAGCGGCGCCGCCCCGCGCCCCGCGGGGATCCCGCGCTGCTTCCCGGGAATTCCCATCCAGGGATCCGCGGGATTTCCGCCCCAGCAAGGTACGGATTCCAAAAAAAAAAAAACCAAAAAAAGGGAAAAATCAATCCCAAAAAAATCCTGAAAGAAAAAAAAAAATGCCCAAAAAATCGCAAAAAAATCCTGAAAAATGCCTAAAAAAATCCTGAAAAAATGGCAAAAAATCCCCCCCCAAAAAAACAAACCAAAATATCCTGAAAATATCCTGGAAAAAATCCTGGAAAAAAAAAATCCCCAAAAAATCCGCAATATATCCTGGAAAAATCGCAAAAAAATCCCAAGAAATCCTGAAAAATTGGCAAAAAATCCCGAACCCCCCCCCCACCGCCCAAAATATCCTGGAAAAAAATAGCAAAAAAAAAACCCTGGGAAGAAAGCCTCTAAAATCCCATAGAAATCTCAAAAAAAAAAAAAAAAAAAAAAAAAATCCTGAAAAAATCTCGGAAAATGCCTCAAAAGACCTGAAAAAAAATCCCCAAAAATTCCCCCTAAAATCCTGAAAAAATCCTAAAAAATCTCAAAAAAATCAAAAAATGCTCCAAAAATCAAAAAAAAAGTCCTGAAAAAAAATCCCCAAAAATGCCCCCAAACCCCCCCCAAAATCCCAAAAAAATTCCAAAAAACCCCCAAAACCCCTCCAAAAAATCCAAAAAAAACCCCCAAAAATAGGGGGAAAAAAATAAAAAAATCCCCCCTAAAAATCTCAAAATATCCCCACCAGAAGCCCAAAAGAACTTGAAAAAAGCCTAAAAAAAATCCCCCCAAAAAAAGAATCTGAAAAAAATTGGGAAAAAGCCCCCAAAACCCCCCCAAAACTTCCCCAAAAATCCCCATAAAAACCCCCAAAACCCCCTCAAAACATCCTAAAAAATTCGCAAAAAACCCCCAAAAAATCCCCACTAGAGCCCCCAAAAAATCGAAAAAAATCCTAAAAAAACCCCCTAAAAAGTCCCCCAAAAATAAAAAGAAATCCGAAAAAATCCCCCCAAAAAACCCCAAACCTCCCAAAATCCCCAAAAATCCAAACCTTCCCCTCCAAAAAACCCCCAAAACCCCCCAAAAAAACCCTTAAAAAAAACCCCGAAAAACTCTCGTGGTTATTTCTGGGTTAAAACCTCGCGTGGGATTTGCGGAATTCCCGGTTGGAATTTCGGGAGGAGGAGGAGAAAAAAAACCGGGAAAGCTCCGGCCCCGCCCCTGGGCGGGATTTTGGGATTTTTTTGGGATTTTTTTTTTTTTTTTTTTTGGGATTTGGGAGGAGCCGGAGATTCCCGGAGCGCCTCCGGGATTTGGGGATTTGGGGCTGCTGCGCTCGGAGCGGGATCGGGATGAGGCTCCAGGAGATTCCCAAAGGTCGGTCCCGGGAAAATTTGGGAATTTTGTGTGTTTTTGGGAATTTTGGGGTTTGGGATTTGTCCCTGGAATGGGATTTGGGGTCCTGGAATTTCCTTTTTCCATGGGAAAATCCCTTTGGGGTCGGATCTGAGCCGGGCGGGATCGGGGTGAGGCTCTGGGATCATCCCAAAATTTGGTCCCGGGGGATTCTTGGGAATTTGGGGAATTTTGGAGCTTTTGGGGTCTCTGGGAATTTGGGATTTTTGGGGTTTTGGGTTTTTGAGGATTTGGGGATTTGGGAGGAGCCGGAGATTCCCGGAGCGCCTCCGGGATTTGGGGATTTGGGGATTTGGGGCTGCTGCGCTCGGAGCGGGATCGGGATGAGGCTCCAGGAGATTCCCAAAGGTCGGTCCAGGAAATTTTGGGATCTTTTGGGAATTTTGGGGTTTTTGGGATTTAGGATTTGAGGTCCTGGAATTTCTTTTTTCCATGGGAAAATCCCTTTGGGATCGGATCTGAGCCGGGCGGGATCGGGGTGAGGCTCTGGGATCATCCCAGAATTTGGTCCCGGGGGATTTTTGGGGTTTTTGGGGAATTTTGGGGTTTAGGATTTGACTCAGGAATGGAATTTTGGGGTCCTGTAATTTCCTTTTCCATGGGAAAATCCCTTTGGGGTCGGATCTGAGCCGGGTGGATCGGGGTGAGGCTGTGGGATGATCCCAGAATTTGGTCCCGGGAGATTTTTGGGAATTTTTGGGGATTTTTTTGGGAATTTTGGGGTTTTGTGGGATTTGGGGATTTGGGAGGAACCGGAGATTCCCGGAGCGCCTCCGGGATTTGGGGATTTGGGGCTGCTGCGCTCGGAGCGGGATCGGGATGAGGCTCCAGGAGATTCCCAAAAGTCGGTCCCGGGAAAATTTGGGAATTTTTTGGGTTTTTGGGAATTTTGGGGTTTGGGATTTGTTCCTGGAATGGGATTTGGGGTTCTGGAATTTCCTTTTTCCATGGGAAAATCCCTTTGGGGTCGGATCTGAGCCGGGCGGGATCGGGGTGAGGCTCTGGGATCATCCCAAAATTTGGTCCCGGGGGATTCTTGGGAATTTTGGGGGTTTTGGGGTTTGGGGATTTGGGGTTTTGTGGAATTTTTTTTGGGATTTGGGGCTGCTGTGCTTGGAGCGGGATCGGGATGAGGCTCCAGGAGATTCCCAAAGGTCGGTCCCGGGAAAATTTGGGAATGTTGGGATTTTTGGGGTTTTTTGGATTTAGGATTTGGGGTCCTGGAAGGGTTTTAGGGACTCTGGAATTTCCTTTTTCCATGGGAAAATTCCTTTGGGGTCAGATCTGAGCCGGGTGGATCGGGGTGAGGCTCTGGGATCATCCCAGAATTTGGTCCCGGGGGATTTTTGGGAATTTTTGGAAATTTTGGGGGTTTTTGGGATTTGGGATTTTGCTTTGGAATAAGCAGAGATGGGATCTGGGATCCTGGAATTCCCTTCCCAGGACAGAGGAGTCAGATCCAGCTCCAGAGGGAAATTTGGGAATTCTGGAGAGAAGAAATTTGGGAATTTTGAGGGGAATCTGAGGACCCTGGAGAGGGAAATTTGGGGATCCTATACAGGAAAAATTTGGGAATTCTAAAGAGGAAAATTTGAGAATCCTGAAGGGGAATTTAGGGATGCAGGAGAGGGAATTTGGGAATTTTGGAGAGGAGAAATTTGGGAATCCTGGAGAGGAAAAATCTGGGAATTTTGGAGGGGAATTTAAGGACCCTGGAGAGCGAAATTTTGGGAATTTTTGAGGGGCATTTGAGGATCCTGGAGAGGAAAATCTGGGAATCCTGGAGAGAGAAATTTGGGAATTTTGGAGGGGAATTTGAGGATTCTATAGAAGAAAAAATTGGGAATCCTGGAGAGGAAAAAATGGGGAATTTTTGGGGGGGATTTTAGGATCCTGGAGAGGGAATTTAGGGATCCTGGAGTGGAGAAATTTGGGAATCCTGAGGGAGAATTTGGGAATTCGGGATGGAACTTTAAAGATCCTGGAGAGGGAAATTTTGGGAATTTTGGATGAGAGTTTAAGGATCCTGGAGAGGAAAAATTTGGGAATTCTGGATGAGACTTTAAGGATGCTGGAGAGGAGAAATTTGGGAATCCTGGAGAGGGAAATTTGGGAATCCTGAAGGGGGATTTAGGGACCTTGGAGAGGAGAAATTTGGGGATTTTGGAGGGGGATTTGGGGATATTTAGGGATAATTCTGGAGAGGGGAAGTTTGGGAATTCTGGATGGGACTTTAAGGATCCTGGAAAGGGAATTTAGGGACCCTGGAGAGAATAAATTTGGGAATCCTGGAGAAGAAAAATTTGGGAATTTTGGAGGGGGATTTGAGGATCCTGGAGGGGGAAATTTGGAAATTTTGGAGAGGGATTTGAGGATGCTGGAGGGGGAAATTTGGGAATTCAGGAGGGGGAAGTTTGGGAATTCTGGATGGGACTTTAAGGCCAAAACCCCTGAGAAATCCCAATTTTTTTTTTTCCCTGGAATATCCGGAATTTCCAGCCCTGGCTCCCCTCTCCCTTCCCCCACCTCGGGCTCAACATTCCCAACATTCCCCGGGATGGGAACGGCTCCTCCCGGCCTTTCCCAGGCTTTTCCCGGGAATTTGGGAATTTTCCAACCCCTCCCCCTCCCTCCCCCTCCCCTCGGGAGATTTTTTTTTTTCTTTTGGGAATGTTTTGGGAAACTCCCAGGGAGATTTTCCCGGGAGTTGGTTGGGTGGTTTTTTTTTTTTTTTTTTTGGCTAAGAGAAAAATTCCAGCTGGGCCGGAAAAAAAAAAAAAAAAAAAAGTTTTGGAAATCTCATTCCCAGCTGCTCCAGGGGGAATTTTCCAGCCCCAAAAAATTCCGGCTGTTCCCACGGAAGGGGGGGCGAGGGGAGGGGGAGGGGATTTAGGGGGAAATTTGGGGTTTGGGAGGGAGATTTGGGATTTTGAGGGATTTGGGATCGGAATTTGGGATGGGGAGGGAATTTGGGAAGGGAATTTGGGATTGGGAGGGGGAATTTGGGATTTGAGATTGGGGGGGATTTGGGATTGGGGAAAGGGAATTTGGGAATGGGGGGATTTAGGGGGAAAATTTGGGATTTGGGGGGCAAATTTGGGATTTGGGGGGCAAATTTGGGGTGGGGGAGGAAATTTGGGAATTCCAGATCCTGGGAAAGGGGCAGGGGGGGATTTGGGGAGTTGAGATGGGGGAAATTCCCAGATCCAGGAGGATGAAATTCCCAGATCCAGATGGGTGAGATTTTGGGATTGGGAATTCCCAGAATTCCCAAATCCAGGTGAGAGTTTGGGATTGGGAATGGGGGAAATTCCCAGATCCAGGAGGAGATTCAGGATTGGGGGAAATTCCCAAATCCGGGTTTTGGAATTGGGATTCAGAATTCCCAGATCCAGGTGAGAGTTTGGGATTGGGAATTCTCAGAATTCCCAAATTTGGCTGATTTGGGATTGGGAATTCCAGGATCCATCCCATTTTTCCATTTTTCCAATTTTTCCCATTTTCCCATTTTTCCCATTATTTTTCCCGGTTTTCCCGTTTTTTCTCCATTTTTTCCCCATTTTTCCCGTTTTCCCCATTTTTCCGTTATTTTTCCTGTTATTTTTCCCATTTTTCCCGTTTTTTTCCTGATTTTTTTCCCATTTTTTTCCCCATTTTCTCATTATTTTCCCCGTTATTTTTCCTGTTATTTTTCCTATTTTCCCTATTTTTCCCCCTATTTTTCCAATGTTTCCCATTTTTCCCTTTCTTTCCCATTTTTCCAGGCCGCGGGGATTCCCCCCTGGAGCAGGAATTCCGCTCGGCCGTGGGGGGAGGGGCAGCTCGGAGCCCCCCCAGCCCCCGCTCGTCCCCGCGCTCGCCCGGTGAGTGTCCCAAAATTCCCAAAATATTCCCCAAATATTCCCAGGATAGTCCCAAAATAGCCCCTAAATATTCCCAAAATATTCCCTAAATAGCCTCAGAATATCCCCAAAAGATTCCCAAAATATTCCCAGAATAGCCCTTAAATATTCCCAAAAGTTTTCCAAAATATTCGCAGAATGTTCCCTAAATATATCCAGAATATTCCCAAAATATCCCCGAAATATTCCCAGAATATTCCCAGAATAGCCCCTAAATATTCCCAAAATAGTCCCAGAATATTCCCAAAATATTCCCAGAATATCCCTGAAATAGTCCCAGAATAGTCCCAGAATATTCCCAGAATATCCCCAATCCAAGGAATCTGGGAATTCTTTGGGAATTCTTTGGGAATTCTCTTTATTTTCCTCCTTTTTTCTCCTGGAAAAGCCTTGGGAGCTCTGGAAATTTGGGAATTTTGGGAATTCTCAAGGGTGGCTCCGCAGGAATTCGGGAGGATCCCTCTGGAATGTGACCCCTCCCAAATTCCCGGGAATTCCCAAATTCCCGAGGGGGAGGGAGGAGAAATTCCGGGAATTGCCGGGAGGGGCGGGGGAGGGGGAGGATCCCGGCCCAGATTCCCAAATCCCAAAATCCCTCCCCTGATTCCCAAATCCCAAAATCCTCCCCAGATCCCTTCCCGGATTCCCTTCCCTGATTCCTTTTCCCAAGTCCATTTCCCCATCCCATTTTCCCCTCTCTTGATCCCATTTTTCCCATTTCCCCTCTCCTGATCCCATTTTTTCCCCATTTTTTCCCCATTTTCCCCCTTCCCATCCCATTTCCTCCTCTCCTGATCCTATTTTTCCCCCATTTTTCCCCCATTTTCCCTTCTCTTGATCCCATTTTTCCCCATTTTCCCCTCTCCCGATCCCATTTTCCCCTCTCCTGATCCCATTTTCCCCCATTTTTCCCCCATTTTCCCCATTTCCCCCTCTCCCAATCCCATTTTTCCCCATTTTCCCCCTCTCCCAATCCCCTATTTCCCGATTTCCCCCTCTCCCAATCCCATATTTCCCCATTTTCCCCTCTCCCAATCCCATTTTTCCCGATTTCCCGCCTCTCCTGACCCCGTTTTCCCGGGAATTCCCCGCAGCCAACTCCATCAAGGTGGAGATGTCGTCGGACGAGGATTCCCCGGGCCGGGCGCTGTCGCAGGAGGAGCGGGAGGCGCTTCCCGAGGATTCCCTGCCGGAGCCGTTCCCGGAGCAATTCCCGGAGCAATTCCAGGAGCAATTCCAGGAGCAATTCCCGGAGCCGAACTCGCCGGGCGGGATCCGCCTGCCCAACGGGAAACTGAAATGCGACATCTGCGGCATGGTCTGCATCGGCCCCAACGTGCTGATGGTGCACAAGCGCAGCCACACCGGTGAGCAAATGGGGGAAAACGGGCAAAAAATGGGAAAAATTAAAAAAAAAAAAAACAAGAGAAAATGAGAAAAAACGGAGAAAAAATGAGAGAAGACGGAGAAAAAATGGGAAAAAACGGGGGTAAAACAGATTAAAAATGGGAAAAAACGGGGGTAAAATGGGAAGACGCCAGGGGAAAATGGGGAAAAAATGGGAATAAGGGAGGAAAAATATGGGGAAAAAGGGCAAAAACAGAGAACAAAATGGGAAAAATGGGGAAGAAATGGGAAGAAACAGAGAAAGAATAGGAAAAACAGGAAAATGGGGGAAATGGGACAAAACGGGGAAATGGGGAAAAAATGGGAAAAAACAGGGAAAAATGGGAAAAACTGGGGAAAAATGGGGAAAACACGAGGAAAATGGGATAAATGGGGGTAAAATGGGGAAAAACAGAGAAAAAATGGGAAAAAACGGGCAAAATGGGAAAATGGGAAAAAAAGGGAAAAAGAGGGAAAAAACGGGAAAAAATGGGAAAAACGGGGGAAATGGGGAAAAGCAGGGAAAAACCAGGAAAAATAGGGGGAAATTGGAAAAAAATGAGGGAAAAATGGAAGTAATGGGGAAAAAAACGGGGGGAAATGGGAAAAAAACCTTGGAATTCTGGAATTCCCATTGGGATGCATTACCGTGGGAATTTTGGGGTTTACCAGGGTTATTATTTGGGTTTTTTGGGATCCGTTCCCATGGGAATTTTGGGAAATTTGGGAATTTTGGGATTTGTTTTCCAGGAGAACGCCTCTTCCAGTGCCAGCAGTGCGGGGTTTGAGATTATGAGCTGGGGTCCGTTCCCATTGGGATTTTGGTGTTTTCCAGGATTGATATTTGCGGTTCTTGGGACCCATTCCCATTGGAATTTTGGGAAATTTGGGAATTTTGGGATTTGTTTTCCAGGAGAACGCCCCTTCCAGTGCCAGCAGTGCGGCGCCTCCTTCACGCAGAAGGGGAATTTGCTGCGCCACATCAAGCTGCACTCGGGGGAGAAACCCTTCAAGTGCCCCTTCTGCTCCTACGCCTGCCGGCGCCGCGACGCCCTCAGCGGCCACCTGCGCACCCATTCCGGTGGGAAATCCCGGAATTCCGGGAATTTCGGGAATTTCGGCAATGGGGGCGGGAATAACGGCGGGGATAGTGGGGCCCAGCGCCGTCCCAGCGAAGCCGTTGGGGTTGGAAAAGGGAATTTTTTGGGGTTGCCAGAGGTTTTGGGGTTGTCAAAGGGAATCTTTTGGGGTTGCCAGAGGTTTTGGGGTTGGTAAAGGGAATTTTTTGGGGTTTTGGGGTTGTTGGGGTTGGCAAAGGGAATTTTTTGGGGTTGCCAGAGGTTTTGGGGTTGTCAAAGGGAATTTTTTGGGTTTGCCAGAGGGTTTGGGGTTGTCAAAGGGAATTTTTTGGGTTTGCCAGAGGGTTTTGGTGGGGGTGGAGGAAGGTGGGAAATGGGGAGAATCCTAAAGGAATCGTATTTTCCATAGTCAATATCCCAAATCCTGACCCCAAATCCCACATCCCTTTGCAGTTTCCTCCCCCGTGGTGGGGAAGCCGCACAAGTGCAGCTCCTGCGGCCGCAGCTACAAGCAGCAGAGCAGCCTGGAGGAGCACCGGGAGCGCTGCCACGGCCACCGGCACCGCCGCAGCCCCGCGCCCGCAGGTGGGCTGGGAACCCTCAAAATCCCGGGAAAATTCCCAAAAATATCCCAGAAAAATCCTGGGAAAATCCTGGAAATATTCCGGAAATAGCCTGGAAAAATCCCAGTGAAATCACAGGAAAATCCCAGAAATATCCCAGAAAAATAACAGAAATATCCCAAGAAAATCCTGAAACCATCCCAGAAAAGTCCTGGAAAAATCCCAGAAATATCCCAGAAAAATCCTGGGGAAATTCTGGAAAAATCCCAGGAATATGTCAGGAAATTCCCAGAAAAATTCCAGAAATATCCCAAGGAAATTCGGGATCCCAAATCCATGGATAGAGGGAGCGCTGCCACGCCCAGCGGCACCGCCGGAACCCCGCACCCACAGGTGGGCTAGGAATCCACAAAATCCCGGGAAATATCCCAAAAATATCCCAAAGAATATCCTGGGAAAATCCCGGAAATATTCCCAGAAAAATCTCAAAAATATCCCGGAGAAATCCCAGATCCCAAAGCCCTGGAGCCAAGGAATGGGATCCCAATTCCACCGGCACCGCCAGAACCCCGCGCCAGCAGGTGGGCTGGGAATACCCAAAGTCCCAGGAAATATCCCAAAAATATCCCAGAAAAATTCTGGAACTATCCCAGAGAAATCCCAGAAATATCTTGGGAAAACCCCATAAAAATCCTGGGAAAATTCCCAGAAGAATCCCAGAAACATCCCAGAGAAATCCTGGGAAAATCCTGGGAAAATCCTGGAAATATCCCAGAAAAATCCTGGGAATGTGATTCCAAATCCATGGAAAAGTGTGGGAAATTTTGGGAATGTGATCCCAAATCCATGGAAATGGGGTTGGGAATGTGATCCCAAATCCATGGAAAAGGCCTGGGAAGTTTTGGAATTTGTGATCCCAAATCCTTGGAAAAAAGGATTGGGAATGGGATCCCAAATCCACAGAAAAGGGCTGAGAAGTTTTGTAAATGTGATCCCGAATCCATTGAAAAGAGGGTTGGGAATGTGATCCCAAATCCATGGAAAAGTGTTGGGAATGAGAGGATTGTGATCCCAAATACATGGAAAAAGAGTGGAAAATTTTGGGAATGTGATCCCAAATCCACAGAAGAAAGGGTTGGGAATGTGATCCCAAATCCATGGAAATGTGGGAAATTTTGGGACTGTGATCCCAAATCCATGGAAAAGGGCTGAGAAGTTTTGGGAATGTGATCCCAAATCCTTGGAAAAGGGTTGGGAATGTGATCCCAAATCCATGGAAAAGAGGGATTGGGAATGAGAGGATTGTGATCCCAAATCCACAGAAAAAAGGGTTGGGAACGTGATCCCAAATCCATGGAAAAGAGGGTTGGGAATGTGATTCCAAATCCATGGAAAAGAGGGTTGGGAAGTTTTGGGATCATGCTCCCGGTGCCATGAGTTGACGCTCCCACATCAGATTTTTGGGAATATTTTAATTTGGGATTCCCAGGATTTGGGGCCATTCCAGAGCGGGATTTTTGGGAATGTTCCCATTTGGGATCCCATTTCAGAGCGGGATTTTTGGGAATATTCCCATTTGGAATTCCCAAGATCGGGGCCCATTCCAGACCGGGATTTTCGGAAGCAGGAACATTCCTAATTAGGATTTTTGGATGCAGGGGCCATTTCAGACTGTGATTTTTAGGATCAGGGAACATTCCAGACCTGGATTTTTAGGATCAGGGATCATTCCCAAGCAGGATTTCTGGGATCAGTGACCATTCCACACTGGGGGACCATTCCTGAGCAGGATTCCCAGGATCAGTGAGCATTCCAGACCGGCATTTTTAGGATTAGTGACCCTTCCTGACCTGGATTTTTAGGATTAGGGATCATTTTAAAGGAGGATTTTTAGGATTAGGGATAATTTCAAAAGAGGATTTTTAGGATTAGGGATAATTTCAAAGGAGGATTTTTAGAATTAGGGCCCATTCCTGAGCAGGATCTCCAGGCTCAGTGACCTTTCCTGACCAGGATTCCCGGGATCAGTGACAATTCCTGGTTGGAATCCCTCCGCTCAGGCACCATTCCAGACTGGCATTTTTAGGATCAGTGACAATTCCTGACCGGGATTTTTAGGCTCAGTGACCCTTCTCGAGCAGGATTTCCGGGCTCACGACCATTCCAGACTGGGATTTTCAGGATCAGGGATCATTTCAAAGGAGGATTTCCAGGATCAGTGACCACTCCAGACTGGGATTTTTAGGCTGAGGAACCATTTCACACCAGGATTTTTAAGCTCACTGACCCTTCCTGGGCAGAATTTACAGGACCAGCGACCATTCCAGACTGGGATTTTCAGGATCAGGGATCATTTCAAAGGAGGATTTCCAGGATCAGTGACACTCCAGACTGGGATTTTTAAGCTCAGGAACCATTTCACACCGGCATTTTTAAGCTCACTGACCCATCTCGAGCAGGATTTCCGGGATCGATGAGAATTCCAGACCGGGATTTTTAGGCTCAGTGACCCTTCCCGAGCAGGATCTCCAGGATCCGCGACCATCGCTGGCTGGAATCCCTCAGCTCAGGCGCCATTCCAGACCGGCATTTTTTAGGATCAGTGACAATTCCCGACCGGGATTTTTAGGCTCAGTGACCCTTCTCGAGCAGGATTTCCGGGCTCACTGACCATTCCTGACCGGCATTTTTAGTCTCAGGAACCATTTCACACCAGGATTTTTAAACTCACTGACCCTTCCCGGGCAGGATTTCCGGCCTCACCGCCCATCCCCTCACGCAATCCCCCAGCCCGGGCCCCATCCCCAGCCGCTCTCGGCGGGGCCATGGCGGGGCTGGAGCCCTGAAGCCGCCTCCTCTCCCTCCCCTCACACACCGCTACGAGCAGGAGGGATCCGGGAGCGGCTGCCGCAGATCCCGTCCCGCCCCGCTCATCTCGTATTTTTCTTTTTTTTTTTTGTTTTTTCCGTCTTTGTTTGCCTTCCGCAGGAGAGGAAATCCGGGAGCTGGACATGGTGCCCGAGGCGTTGCTTCATCCTGAGCGCCCCACCTTCATCGAGCGTTTGGCAGGCAGCTTTACTAAAAGGAAACGATCCACGCCTCAGAAATTTGTGGGTAAGGAAAAAGATGGAAAAGGTGGAAAAAAAAAATGGAAAAGGTGGAAAAATTCCCTCAGCGGGAAGTGAGGGGCGGACTCAGGGATGGGCGAGTGAGGGGGGGAGCGGGAAGGGATTCCCCACACAAAGGCCTCAAATTAACAAAAATCCGGCTTAAAAAGAAAAATATATTCAATTTAAAAGTAAAGCATCCCTTTAAAAAAACAGAAAAAATACTATTAAAAAGTTTTCCCCTCACACTAAAAAAAAAAATGCCCTTAAAGGGAAAACATACCCGCAAAATAACAAAAAAAATTTCCTCAAATCAGCAAAAATCTGAGAGGAAATTCTCCAAGCCGCAGAAATTTGTGGGTAAGGAAAAGATAGAAAAGATGGAAAAGGTGGAAAAAACGAAAAAATTCCCTGGGCGGGAATTGAGGGGCGGACTCAGGGACGGCCGGGTGGAGGGGGGGGAGCGGGAGGGGATTCCCCACACAAAGACCTCAAAATGGAGCTCAGATTAACAAAAAAAGGTTCCAAATGAAAGATAAATGCAAATATTTTAAAAAGCATCCCTTTAAAAAATCAGAAAAAATATTATTAAAAAATTTTCCCCTCACACTAAAAAACAATTCCCTTAAATGGAAAAATAGCCGTAAAATAACAACAATAACAAAAAAAATCCTCAAATCAGCAAAAATCCGAGAGGAAATTCTCCAAGCCACAGAAATTTGTGGCTAAGGAAAAGATGGAAAACGTGGAAAAAAGGGAAAAATTCCCTCAGCGGGAAGTGGGGGGTGGCCTCAGGGATGGGCGGGTGGGGGTGAGGGGAGCGGGGAGGGATTCCCCACACAAAGCCCTCAAAATGGAGCTCAGGTTAACAAAAAAAAGGGCTTAAAATGAAAAATATGAATTCAAATTAAAAGAAAAACATCCCTTTAAAAAACAAAAAAATTATTTAAAAATTTCCCCCTCACATTAGCAAAAAATCCCCCTTACATGAAAAAATACTTGCAAAATAACAAAAAAATTTCCTGAAATCAGCAAAATCAGAGAGGAAATTCTCCAAGCCGCAGAAATTTGTGGGTAAGGAAAAGATAGAAAAGGTGGAAAAAAATGGAAAAATTCTTTGGGTGGGAAGTGAGGGGCAGCCTCAGGGATTCCCCGCACAAAACCCTCAAATTAACAAAAATTCGGCTTAAGTTGGAAAATATGAATTCAAATTAAAAGAAAAGCAACTTATTTTTAAAGAAGCTTTAGTTAAAGAAAATTCACTTTATATTAAAGGAAAAAAAACCCTTTAAAATAAAAAATACCCGCAAAATAACCCACAAAATGGAACTCAGATTAACAAAAAAAAAAATCTCGAAATGAAAAATACTAATTCAAATTAATAGAAAAGCAAACTGTTTAAAAAAAAATAATTTAAAAACAATTCCCTCACAGGAAAAAAAAACTCTTAAATTAAAAACTACTCGCAAAATAACAAAAAAAAATCTTCAAATCAGCAAAAATCCAAGGGGAAATACTCCAAGCTGAAGAAATTTGTGAGTAAGAAAAAATATAAATTCAAATTAAAAGAAAAGCCAGTCATTTTTTTAAAAAAGCTTTAATTAAAGAAAATTTCCCTCACATTAAAAAACCAACACTTTAAATTAAAAAATACCCACAAATTACTGTAAAAAACTCTCAAATTAACAAAAGACCAGCTCGAACTGGAAAATAAAAATTCAAATTAAAAGAAAGCCGCTCATTTAAAAAAAAAAAACTTTAATTCAAGCGAATTCCTCTCACAATAATCAAAAAGCTCCTTAAATTAAAAAATATCCGCAAATTAATGAAAAAACCTTCAAATTAACAAAAAAACCCCCTCAAATTTAAAAAAAACTCTTAAGTTAAAAAAATCCCCTCTCAAATTAAAGAATTCTGCCTTCAAATTTTAAAAAAACCCTTAAATTTACAAAATAAAACCCCCTAAAATTGAAAATACGTCTCAAATTAAAAAATTCTCTCCTCAAATTAACAAATCCCCCCCTCAAATTCCAAATTTTTCCCCTCAGAATAAAAAATTAACCTTAATGAAAACCCCTTAAGTTAAAAGCAGCCCCTCAAATTAACAAAAAAACCCTTTTTTAATTTGTAAAAAAATTTTAAAAGCCCGAATTTGGGTGTCCTCGTTCCATCCCAACCCCTCTGTTTGATTTTGGGGTTCCCCCATCCCACCCTGACTCCTTGTCAGAGATTTTGGGGTGTCATGAGGGTGTCCCCCACCCCTCTCTCAGTGATTTTGGGGTGCTCCCATCCCACCCCAATCCCTCTCTCTGATTTTGGGGTGCTGTGATGGTGTCCCCACAATCTCTCTCTCTGATTTGGGGTTCCCCTCTCTGATATCGGGATTCCATTCTCAGATTCGGGGTTCCCTCTCTGATTTCGGGGTTCCCCTCTCAGATTTCGGCGTCCCCCTCTCAGATTTTGGGTTCTGCTCTCTGATTTCAGTGTTCCCTCTCAGATTTTGGGGTTCCCTCTCAGATTTTGGGGTTCCCTCTCTGATTTTGGGGTTCCCCTCTCACATTTCGGGGTTCCCTCTCAGATTTGGGGTTCCTGTCTCAGATTTCAGGGTTCCCCTCTCAGATTTCGGGGTGCCCTCTCTGATTTCGGGGTTCCCCTCTCCCTGTCTTTGATTTTGGGCGTTCTCCTCTCAGATTTTTTTTTTTCTGTCTGATTTTGGGGTGCCGCTCTCAGATTTCGGGGTTCTCCTCTCAGATTCCGGGCTTCCCCTCCGATTTCGGTGTCCCCCTCTCAGATTTTGGGGTTCCCTCTCCGATTTTGGGGTGCCCCTCTCACATTTTGGGGTTCCCGTCTCAGATTTCAGGGTTCCCCTCTCCGATTTTTTTTTTTTGTCTGATTTCGGGGTTCCCCTCTCCCTGTCTCTGATTTTGGGCATTCCCCTCTCAGATTTTTTTTTTCTGTCTGATTTTGGGGTGCCGCTCTCAGATTTCGCGGTTCCCATCTCAGATCCCTCTCAGATTTTGGGGTTCTCTCTCCGATTTCGGAGTGCCCCTCTCAGATTCCAGGGTTCCCTCTCAGATTTTGGGGTGCCCCTCTCAGATTCCAGGGTTCCCTCTCAGATTTCGGGGTTCCCCTCCGATGTCGGGGTCCCCTCTCAGATTTCGGGGTGCCCTCTCTGATTTCGGGGTTCCCCTCTCCCTGTCTCTGATTTTGGGCGTTCCCCTCTCAGATTTTTTTTTTTTTCTGTCTGATTTTGGGGTGCCGCTCTCAGATTTCGGGGTTCTCCTCTCAGATTCCGGGCTTCCCCTCCGATTTCGGTGTCCCCCTCTCAGATTTCGGGGTCCCCCTCTCAGATTTCGGGGTCCCCCTCTCAGATTCCAGGGTTCCCTCTCAGATTTTGGGTTCCGCTCTCCGATTTCAGGATTCCCTCTCAGATTTCTGGGTGCCCCTCTCAGATTCCAGGGTTCCCTCTCAGATTTTGGGGTTCCCCTCTCAGATTCCAGGGTTCCCTCTCAGATTTTGGGGTGCCCCCTCTCTAATTTCGGGGTTCCCCCGCAGGAGAGAAGCAGATGCGCTTCGCCCTCTCGGAGCTGCCCTTCGATGTCAGCCCCGCGTTCGACAAGGACGTGGAGGTGCTCCCGTCCCGCGCCCACTCCCTGGAGCCGCCCTACGCCGGGCCCCTCTCCCTGCTGGGCTCCGCCGACCCTCTCCGCCCGCTCCGCCTGGCCACCAACTGCATCACCGAGGTCACCCCGGTCATCAGCTCCGTCTACACCCAGATCCAAGCCCTGCCCGCCCGCCTCGAGCTGCCGCGGGGCCGCGGCGACTCCTCGGAGGACGGCGCTGAAGGGATCCCGGTGATTTTCCGCAATTCCGCCGGCGGGGGATCCCCGTCCAACGGCTGCCACGACTCCACGGACACCGACAGCACCCAGGAGGAGCGAGCGGGCGGCGGCAGCAGCCGCCACAGCCCCGCCTATGCCAAGGAGGAGCCTAAGGAGGATCCGGATGGAGCGGCGAGGTGTTTCCCCAAGGAATCGCTGCGGGTGCTCAACGAGGAGGGCGAGCAGCTGCGGGCGTTCTGCTGCGAGCACTGCCGCGTGCTCTTCCTGGACCACGTCATGTTCACCATCCACATGGGCTGCCACGGCTTCAGGGACCCTTTCGAGTGCAACATCTGCGGCTACCGCAGCCAGGACCGCTACGAGTTCTCCTCGCACATCGTGCGTGGGGAGCACAAGATCTGAGGTGGGAAAAGTTTGCCCTTTCCTGCCTTCGATTTTCTGATTTTACCCCGGTTTCACCTCGGTTTTCCCCTCCTAAATCGTGCGTGGCGAGCACAAAATGTGAGATGGGAAAATCTCCCTTTTTCCTGCCTCCAATTTTCTGATTTCACCCCGGTTTTTCCCTCCAAAATCGTGCTCAGCAAACTCAAAATCTGAGATGGGAAAATCCCCCCCTTTTCCTGCCTCAGATTCCCCAGTTTTCCTCCTCCTAAATCGTGCTCAGCAAACAGAAATGCGAGATGGGAAAATCCCTCTTTTCCTGCCTCCAATTTTCTGATTTTACCCCGGTTTCACCTCGGTTTTCCCCTCCTGAGTCGTGCGTGGCGAGCACAAGATATGTGTGGGAAAAGTTCTCCCCTTTTCCTGCCTCAAATTCCCTAATTTCCTCCTAAATCGTGCTCAGCAAACACAAAATGTGAGATAGGAAAATCCCCCCCTTTCCTGCCTCCAGTTTTCTGATTTCACCCCAGTTTTCCCCTCTTAAATTGTGCGTGGCAAGCACAAGTTCTGAGGTGGGAAAAGTTCGCCCTTTCCTGCCTTCAATTTTCTGATTTCACCCCAGTTTTCCACTCCTAAATCGTGCTCAGCAAACACAAAATGTGAGATGGGAATAGTCCCCCTTTTCCTGCCTCAGATTTCCCAGTTTTCCCTTCCTAAATCGTGCTCAGCAAACTCAAAATGTGAGATGGGAAAATTCCCCCTTTTCCTGCCTCAAATTCCCAAATTTTCCCCTCCCAAACACAAAATGTGAGTTTGGAAAATTCCCCATCCTCAAATTCCCTTTTTTCTCCTCCCATTTCCTCTCCCACATCATGGTCAAAATGTGAGGTTGGAAAAAAAAAATCTCCCCTGCCTCAAATTCTCTTTTTTCCCCTCAATTTTCCCCTCCTATTTCCCCTTTTTTCCCCCTCCCATTTTCCCTTTTTCCCCTTGATTTTCCCCTCCTATTTTCCCATTTTCCCCTGATTTTCCCCTCCTATTTCCCCTTTTTCCCCCCTCCTATTTTCCCTTTCCCCCCCAATTTTCCCCTCCCACATCGTGCGCCACGAGCACAAAATGTGAGGTTGGAAAAATTCCCTCAAATTCCCCTTTTTTCCCCCCAGTTTTCCCCCTCCCCTCCCCTCCCATCCTTATAGGGCGTGGAACTGTTGGGTTGTGTTATTTTTATTTTTATTTTCTTTTATACTCCTTTGCACTGACTTTGGCTAGAAAAAACAACAAAACAACACAAAAAAGTATTTAAAAACAACAACAAATAACCCCAAAAAAACCTCAAAAACCCGACCAGCCCCACCTAGGGGGAGCCCTTAATCCTCCTTTTTATAAACAAAGTTATTTAAATATTGAATAGGAACTTTTTTTCTGCTTTTTATTTCCCTTTCCCCTCGTTATTTATTAAGCTTTTCCGTTGCTCTTTTGATAATTCTTGGGGTTTTTCACCCAAAAAAAAAAGACAAAAAAAAAGACAAAAAAAAGGTCTCACTTGAATTTTTGGAGACTGTTCCCCCCCTTGCCCTGCTCCCGCCCGTTCCCGGGCTAAAGGAACCTCAAAATTCGGTGCTAAACCCCCCCCCGGGGACCCCCCAAAATTCAGCCTGACCCCCCCCAGCCCGGGGGGAGCTGCCCCATCCTCAGCTTTAACCGGGGTACCCCGGAATGGGACGTGGGGACCCCCAAATCCTTCCTTAAATACTTCCCTGAATCCTCTCCCAAATCCCAAAAATATTCTCCCCCAAATCCTCTCCCAAATCCCCCAAATCCTCCCCCAAATTCTCCCCGAAATACTTCCCTAAATCCTGCAAAAATTCTCCCCCAAATTCCCCCCAAATCCTTCCCCAAATTCTCCCCAAAATCCTTCCCCAAATCCCCCCAAAATTTCCCCCCAAATCCTCCCCCAAATCCTCCCTAATTCTTCCCCAAATCTCCCCCAAATCTTCCCCCAAATTCTTCTCCAAATCCCCCCCAAATTCTTCCCCCAAATCTCCCCCCAAATTCTCCCCCCAATTCTCCCCCAAATCCCCCAAAAATTCTCCCCCAAATCCTCTCCTGACCCCCCTAAAATGAGGATGGGGGTCCTGGGGTCTCCCCCTCCTCCTGGGCACAGCCAGGGTGGGACCCCCAGATTTGGGGGATCCCCCAAATTTGGGCTATGACCAAGGGGGGGGACCCCAATCCCCACCCATGGGGGACCCCCAACCCCTCAGATTTGGGGGATCCCCACACATGGGGTCCCCCACCCCATTTCCCCCCACATTTTGGGGGTCCCCCCACCCCATTTCCCCACATTTTGGGGGTCCCTCCACCCCCAGCCCCATTTCCCCCCATTTTGGGAGTCATCCCCCCCCATTTCCCCCAATTTTGGGGGGTCCTTCCACCCCACTCCCCCCACTTTAGGGGTCCCCCAGCCCCATTTCCCCCCACACTGGGTGGTCCCCCCACCCCATTTCCCCCCATTTTGTGGGTCCCCCCCACCCCACTTTCCCATTTTAGGGGTCCCCCCCATTTCCCCCCACATTTTGGGGGTCCCACTCCCCCCCCATTTCGGGGGTCTCCCCAGTTCCCCCATTTGGGGGTCCCCCGGCCCAGGACGAACCAAACCAAAGCCGTTCCCTCGTGGGGACACCCGAGCACCTCAGCAGCGCCCGCTGCCCCCCCCCCCCCCCCCCCAAATTTTGGGGACTTTTCCCCTCCCCCACGGCGCTCAGGGGGGTCCCCCCATTTTTGGGGTACCCCCACCCCTCCCCCAGCGCCGGAACCAACCCAAAAAAGGGGCTTTGAACCCCAAAGAAGGGTTTGAGTTTTGGGGACTTTTGGGGACTTTTCCTCCTTTCCCCTTCCCCCACGGCGCTCAGGGGGAAACCCCCCCAATTCCCATCCCCATTTTTGGGGTGCCCCCACCCCTCCCCCGGCGCCAGAACCGACCCAAAAAAGGGGTTTTGAACCCCAAAAAAAGGGTTTGAGCCCCAAATGGGGCTTTCCCTTTTTTCCATTATTTTGCCCCCTTTTTTCTCCCACATTTTCCATTTTATTTTCCTTTTTTCTCCCCTTTTTCATTTTATTTCCCTTTTTTCCATTCTTTTTCCCATTTTCCCCCCCTTTTCCATTTTATTTCATATCCCCCTGTTTTCCCCCCTTTTTCTCCCCCTTCCCTATTTTATTTCCATTTTTCCCCTTCTTCTCCGCCTTTTCCCTTTTTTCTCCACCTTTTCCATTTTAGTCCCCTTTTTCCCATTCTTTTTTCCCCTCTTTTTTCTCCCCATTTTCCATTTTATTCCCCTTTTTTCCATTCTTCCCCCCCCTTTTTATCCCCCTTTTCCATTTTATTTCCCTTTTTTCCATTATTTTCCCCCCTTTTTTTCCCATTTCCATTTTATTTCCCTTTCCCCCCTTTTTTTCTTCCCTTTTCCATTTTATTCCCCTTATTTCCATTCTTTTCCCCCCCATTTTCTCCACTTTTCCATTTTATTACCCCTTCCCCCCCTTTTGCCATTCTTTTTTCCTCCATTTCCATTTTATTCCCTTTTTACCATTCTTTTCTCCCCTTTTCCATTTTATTTCATTTTCCCCCTTTTTCTCCCCCTTTTTTCCTCCCTTTTCCATTTTATTTCCCTTTTTTCCCCCTTTTTTCCTCCGTTTCCCATTTTATTTCAATTTTCCCCCTTTTTTCTCCCCCTTTCCCATTTTATTTCCATTTTCCCCCATTTTTCTCCCCCTTTCCCATTTTATTTCCATTTTTCCCTTTTTTTCTCCCCTTTCCCATTTTATTTCCCTTTTCCCCATTATTTTCCCCCCCATTTTCTCTCCCTTTCCCATTTAATTTCCATTTTATTTCCCTTTTTTTCCACTTTTCCCCCCATTTCCCTCCCTCCTATTTTTCCCCCCACACCCCCGAAACTGTAGGAATTTAAGAATTTAGGAAATTTAGGAATTTTCTACGACCTCCAGGTGGCTTTACCCTGTAAATATCTATTTTTTAAACCCGACAGATGAAGAACAAAACGAGGATGTGCAATACCCCCAAACCCCCCCAAAAAAAATCCCGAGGAATTCATGGATTTGCCGTTGGTTTTTTGGTTTTTTTTCCTTTTTTTCCCTTTTTTTGTGAGGTTTTTGAGCCTTTCTTTGCCCCCCTTTTCCCGGGAGCTTTTGTAGCTGTAAAATATTGTAATTAATGACTTGTTGTTAACGAGATCTGCTGTAAGTTTTGTACTGTAACTGCCCGAGGCTCGGCTTCCAATTAAACGGGAATAATTTAATGTGCCCCAAAATTCCAGGGCCTGCTTGGGGACACTGGGGACAGACTTGGGGACATTGGGGACATCCAGAAATGGGGATAAAGGGCACAAAAATGGGCATAAAGGACGCAGAAATAGGAATAAAGGACACAAAAATGGGAATAAAGGACACAAAATGAGGGATAAAGGACACAGAAATGGGGACATTGGGGACATCCAAAAATGGGGACAAAGGACACAGAAATGGGGACAGTGGAGACAGAAACGGGGACAGGGGACATGGGGGACATCCAGAAATGGGGATAAAGGAGGACACAAAAATGGGGGTAAAGGACACAGAAATGGGGACATTGGGGACATCCAAAAATGGGCACAGGGGACATTTGGGACATTGGGGACATCCAGAAATGGGGACAGGAATGGGGACAATTGTGGACATCAAGAAATGGGGACAGGGGACAGAAATGGGGACAATGGGGACAGGGGACAATGGGGACAGGGGACACTGGGGACATCCAAAAATGGGGTCAAAGGACACAGAAATGGGGATGGGGACAGGAATGGGTACATTTGGGACATTGGGGACATGCAGAAATGGGGACAAAGGGCAGAAATGGGGACACTGGGGACAGCCAGAAATGGGGACTGGAAACACTGGGGACAAGGGAGAGAAATGGGGACAGGGGACACAGAAATGGGGACAGGGGACATTGGGGACACCTGGGAATGGGGACAAAGGACACAGAAATGGGGACAGGGAACAGAGAAATGGGGACGGGACATTGGGGACACTGGGGACACCCGGCCTTGGGGACACCCAGGGAGGGACAGGGGACACTGGGGACATTGGGGACACTGGGGACACCCGGCCTTGGGGACACCCCCACGTCGCCGTTGTCCCCCAGAAATGGCGGCGGGGACACCGCCCCATGCCGGACTCCATTTCCCAGCACCCCTCGCGGCGCGCACGCCCTGCGATGACGTCACACGCACAGCGCGGGAGCTTTTCTCCACGTGCGCGGCGCGGATCCCTCCTCCTACCGCAGGAAAAATAGTCCCTAAGCCCATCCCCGCTCCCGTTAATTCCCCCGCCGCTCTCCGCCCACCTCACCCGCTCCGGTGCCTCGGGTGGAGCCTCTGCGAGCTCTTCTGGGGTATCCCGTGAGAAGCGAAGCGGAGGGAGCGGCGCTTCCCGGCGGAGGGAGCTGAGGGAGCGGAAGAATATAAGAGCGGCGGTGCTGCGGCCGCGCCTCTTCCGGTTCTCCCTCAGAGCCGCCATGGTGAGCGCGGCGTGGCCGGGAGCTCCCGGGGGGCTCCGGGGGGCTCGGGAGGGACCGGAGGGGATCGTGGGGGGCTCGGGGGCCTCAGAGGGACCCTCTGGGGGGGTGTGGGGGAGAGGCGGGGGGGCGGGGGAGGGGTTTGGGGGGGGGATCGGAGAGGGGTGTGGGGCTGGGGGTGCTGACGGGGGATTTGAGGGGGATTTGGGGTTTGTGTGGGGCAGGGGATGCTGAGGGGGATTTTGTGGGGGATTTGGGGGCAATCAAAAAGGGATTTGGGGTCTGTGTTGGGCAGGGGGGGATTTGGGGGGGATTTGGAGTCTCCAGAGAGATTTGGGGGGCGATCAGAGAGGGATCTGAGGTCTATGTGGGGCAGGGGGTGCTGAGGGGGATTTGGGGGGAATTTGGGGTCTCCAGAGAGATTTGGGGTCTGTGTGGGGCTGGGGGGGATTTCGGGTCTCCAGGGAGATTCTGGGGGGGATTTTGGGGACGATCAGAGGGATTTGGGGTCTATGTGGGGCGGGGGGTGCTGAGGAGGATTTGGGAGGTGGAGGCTGCTGAGGGGGATTTGGGGGACACAAAGAGCGATGTGAGTTTTTGAGGCTGATGCAGGTGAGTTTTTGGGGTTCTATGGGGCTGATCCGGGTGAGTCTGTGGGGTATTTCTGAGCTTGATCCAGGTGAGATTTTGGGACTTTTCTGACACTGATCCAGATGAGTTTTTGGGGTTTTTATGAGCCTGATCCAGGTGAGTTTTTGGGATTTTTCTGAGCCTGATAAAGAGTCTCTGTGGGTTATTTCTGAGCCTAATCCAGGTGAGATTTTGGGATTTTTCTGACACTGATCCAGATGAGTTTTTGGGATTTTTCTCACAGTAATCCTGGTGAGTTTTTGGGATTTTTCTGAGCCCGATACAGGTGAGTTTTTGGGGTTTTTTTTGGGGCTGATCCGGATGAGTTTTTGGGATTTATTTGAGCCTGATCTAGATGAGTCTGTGGGGATTTTTGGGGGTGATCCAGGTGGGTTTTTGGGATTTTTCTGAGGCTGATCCACGATTTCTCTGGGGCATTTATGAGCCTGATCCAGGTGAGTTTTTGGGATTTTTCTGAGCCTAATCCAGGATCTCTCTGAGGTATTTCTGACACTGATCCAGGTGAGTTTTTGGGATTTTTCTGACACTGATCCAGATGAATTTTTGGAATTTTTTAGCCTCACCCACTGGAAATTTCGCTATTTTTCTCACACTTCACCAAATCCCCCCCAGCATTTTCCCACCTTCCAACCTCTCATTTTTTCCCCCTTTCAGACCAAGAAGAGGAGGAACAACGGGCGTGCCAAGAAGGGCCGGGGGCACGTGCAGCCCATCCGCTGCACCAACTGCGCCCGCTGCGTGCCCAAGGACAAGGCCATCAAAAAATTCGTCATCAGGAACATCGTGGAGGCTGCTGCAGTCAGGGACATCTCCGAGGCCAGCGTCTTCGACTGTGAGTCTGGGGGAACCCCAAAATCTGTCTCTGGCGGGCCTTGAAATGAGAGGTGTCGGTACCCCAAATAGCTCGCGCTGTTCAGCTGGAAAAATTGTTATTGTGCTTTTTAAATTGGCAGCATCGAGCCCGAAAAGTAGCCAATCTGTTACTCCAAAACAGTGTTTCTATCACCCCCAAAACAGCCCCATTGTCGCCCCAAAATAATGCCTCTGTCACCCCCAAAAAATAGTCCATGTCACCCCAAAAAACAGTCCCTGTCCCACCCTAAAAAATAGTCCTGTCACCCCCAAAAAGTAGTCCTTGTCATCCCAAAAAATTAGTTAGTTACCCCAAAAAATAGTCCTTTTCACCCCCCAAAAATAGTCCCTGTCACCCCCCAAAAAACAGTCCATGTCACCCCCAAAAATAGTCCATGTCATCCCCAAAAAGTAGTAACTGTCACCCCAAAAATAGTCCTTATCACCGCCAAAATAGCCCTGTTGTCACCCCGAAATAGTGCCTCTGTCACCTCAAAAAGTAGTCCGTGTCACCCCCAAAATAAAGTCCTTTTCACCCCCCAAAAATAGTCCCTGTCCCACCCCAAAACAGTGCCTCTATCACCCCAAAATACAGTCCTTGTCTCACCCCAAAAATAGTACATGTCACCCCAAAAAATAGTCCTTGTCATCCCAAAAAAATAGTCCATGTCACCCCAGAAAATAGCCCTTGTCACCCCAAAAAATAGTCCTTTTCACCCCCCAAAAATAGTTCTTGTCATCCCCAAAAAATAGTGCCTTTGTCACCCCAAAATAGTGCCTCTGTCACCCCCACTCTGTTTTTGGGGGTCCCTGGCTGTGTTTTTTGGGGTTTTTGGTGTCCCTGGCTGTGTTTTAGGGTTTTTGGGGTCCCTGAGTGTCATTTTTAGGGTTTTTGCCATCCCTGGCTGTGTTTTTTGGGGTACCTAGGTTTGTTTTCTGGGATTTTTGGCATCCCTGGAGGTGTTTTTTAGGGTTTTTGGGGTCCCTGGTTACATTTTTGGGGTCCCTGAACCCCTTTTTTCCCCTCCCAGCCTACGTGCTGCCCCAGCTGTACGTGAAGCTGCATTACTGGGTGTGTTTTTGGGGTCCCTGGGTGTGTTTTTTAGGGTTTTTGGGGTCCCTCGATGTGTTTTTTGGGGTCCCTGGGTTTGTTTTTGCTGTCCCTGGATGTGGTTTTCAGGACTTTTTTGCATCCCTGGGTGTGTTTTTTAGTTTTGTTTTTGCTCCCTGGGTTAGTTTTTTGGGGTTTTTGAGGTCCCTGGTTACATTTTTGGGGTCCCTGGGTGTATTTTTGGGGTCCCTGAACCCCTTTTTCCCCCTTCCCAGCCTACGTGCTGCCCAAGCTGTACGTGAAGCTGCATTACTGCGTCAGCTGCGCCATCCACAGCAAAGTGGTTCGCAACCGCTCCCGCGAGGCCCGCAAGGACCGGACCCCCCCGCCCCGCTTCCGCCCCGCCGTGAGTCTGGGGGGGGATTTGGGGAGTCCCGAGGGGTTTTGGGGGGTCTGTGGGGTTCCTCGTGGGGTTTGGGGGGTCCCAGGGGTGTTCAAAAGGAACCTGGAGGGGTTTAGGGGGCTCCCAGGGGGGTTTGGGGGAGTCCCTGAGGGGTTTGGGGGGTCCCAGGGGTGTTCAGAAGGGTCCTGGAGGGGTCTAATGGCACCCCGAGGGGTTTTGGGGGAGTCCCTGAGGGGTTAGGGGGACCCCCAAGGGGTCTGGGGGTGTCCCTGAGGGGTTTGGGGGGGTCACAGGGGGGTCTTTGGGGTCCTTGAGGGGTTTCAGGGGTGTTCAGAAGGGTCCTGGAGGGGTCTAATGGCGCCCCGAGGGGTTTTGGGGGAGTCCCTGAAGGGTTAGGGGGATCCCCAAGGGGTTTGGGGGGGTTCCCCGAGAGGTTTGAGGGGTCCCAGGGGCTTGTGGGGGGTCTGGGGGTGTCCCTGAGGGGTTTCAAGGGTGTTCGGGAAGGTCCCGGAGGGGTCTAATGGCACCCCGAGGAATTTTGGGGGGTCCCTGAGTGGTTTTGGGGGGTCCCGGGGGTATTCAGAAGGTACCTGGAGGGGTTTGGGGGGATCCCCAAGGGGTTTGGGGGGGTCCCAAAGGTGTTCAGAAGGGTCCTGAAGGGGTTTGGGGGGGTCCCCAAGGGGTTTGAGGGGTCCCAGGGGCTTGTGGGGGGTCTGGGGGTGTCCCTGACGGGTTTGGGGGGGTCCTTGAGGGGTTTCAGGGGTGTTTGGGAGGGGTCTGGGGGGGTCCCTGAGGGGTTTAGGGGTGTCCAAGGTGTGTTTGGGGGGGTCCCTGAGGGGTTTGGGGGTTCCCAGGGGGGTTCAGAATGGTCCTGGAGGGGTTTGGGGGGATTCCTGAGGGGTCTGGGTGGGTCCCTGAGGGGTTTGGGGGTCCCAGGGGTGTTTGGGGGGGTCCTAGGGGTGTTCAGAAGGGACCTGGAGGGGTCCCAAAGGGGTTTTGGGGGGGTCTGGGACTACCTGGAGAGGTCTCAGGGGGGTCTGGGGGTACCTGGATGGGTCTCAGGGGGTTTTGGGGTTCCTAAAGGGTCCTGGGGGAGGTTTGGGGGGGTCCTGGAGGGATCTGGGGGGTCCTGGGGGGGGGGGGGTCTCAGGGGGTTTTGGGGGGTTCTGGAGGGTCCCAGGGGATGTTTGGGGGGTCCCACACATTTTTGGGGCTCCCTGGGGGTTGTGGGGGGTTCCTGGGAGGGTTTTGGGGGGGGGGGGGCCCATGGGTCTGTGCTCCCCCCCCAAGCCCCCCTAATTTTGGGGTTCTCTCTGCAGGGAGCTGCCCCCCGGCCCCCCCCAAAACCCATGTGAAGACCCCCAGAGAGGACCCCCGGAACCGCGGGACCCCCAGAGCAGCATCAATAAAGGATCTGCCCCAAACCGCTCGTTTTTTGGGGGTTTTGGGGTGTCCTGAGGGCGTCTCTGGTCTCACTCTGGGGAATTTGGGGGGAAATTTTGGGGTGCTCTGATCCCACTCTGTGTTTTTGGGGGATTTGGGATTTTGGGGGGATCCTGAGGGGGTCCCAGGATCTGCCCCAGCCCACTCATTTTTGGGGGGATTCGGGGTTTTGGGGGGATTCGAGATTTTTTGGGGGGAATTCGGGGTTTGGGGGTGTCCTGAGGGGGTCTCAGAAGATTTGGGATTTTTGGGGATCCTGAGGGGGTGTCTCAGGATCTGCCCCAGCCCGCTCGTTTTTGGGGGGATTCGGGGTTTTGGGGGGTCCTGAGGGGGTCTCTGATCCTACTCCCTGTTTTTGGGGATTTGGGGGGCTCTGGGTTCCTCCAGTGTGGGCCTGGGGGTGTTTGGGGTCAGACCCCCCCGTTTTTGGGGGTGTTTGAGATCAGAACTCCCCGGTTTTGGGGTCAGACCCCCCCGGTTTTGGGGGATTTTGGGGCCAGATCCCCCCCACCCCCCGTTTTGGGGCGGGGGGCTTTAATGGTTCCTACCCCCCCACACCCCCGTCCGTTTTTTGGGGAGGGGTCTCGGTGGGACTGGGGGTGCACCGGGGGTCCGGAGGGGGCGAACCGGGACCGGGAGATGTGAACGGGGCTGGGGGGGCACCGGGGGTCCGGAGAGGGCGAATTTGCTCCGGGACCGGGACCGGGGGGGCGGCAGGACCGGGGGATGTGAACAGGGCTGGGGGGCACCGGGGGCTCGGAGGGGGCGAATTGGGACCGGGACTGGGGGATGTGAACGGGGCTGGGGGGTACCGGGAACTCGGAGAGGGCGAATTTGCTCCGGGACCGACACCGGGACCGGGCTGGGGGCGTCGGTGCTTCATTTGACCGGACCGGAGCGCCCCGGGCCGGGCTGGAGGCGGCGCACGGGGCCGGTCCCGGCCCGGCGGGGGCGGCCGGTGCCGGTGCCACCGCCCCGGGCGCGGCGGGCGGGTCCCGGGGAGGGGCGGGGAGGGGAAGCGGGGTGTCCTCCCCCCCCCTCCGCCATCCCCGGAGCTGCCCCGCCCGGCCCGGCCCGGCCCCGCCCGCCCCGCGGCCCCGCGCCAGGTGCATTCCCGGGCACGCTCCGCCGCTACCGGCGCGCCGCGATGGAGCCGCACCGGGAGCGGCACCGGGCGCTGCTGCTGCTGCTGCCGGTGCTGCTGCTCCGCGCCCCCGCGCCCGGCTCCGCGCAGGCAGGTCAGCACCGGCACCGGCACCGGCACCGGCGGGGCACGGGGGGAGCGGGGCTGCGCCGCGGGATCGGGCAAAGGGGAACCGGGAAAACACCGGAGCGCTCGGGGCTCCCGGGATGGGCGGCGGGAGCGGGAGCGCTCGGGGGTCGCGGCGGTGCTGCTGTCCCGATTCCGCCGGTACCGGACCCCGGTCCAATCCCGGTAATTCCCGCGGGTGTTTCCGCCGCAGGAGCGTCCCAGGATCCCCCGGTGCTGCTCCCGGGGGACCGCACGGCTCCGGGGGCACCGGGACCGGCACTGAGACCTCCCCGGGACTGCGGCTCCGGCGGGGCTGGGGCTCGGTGGCCGCTCCCGGGCTCGGTCCCGGAGCTCGGTGACTTTCCGGGACTCGGTCCTGGGCTCGGTGGCCGCTCCTGGGGTCGGTCCCGGGGCTCGGTGCCCCTTCCCGGGGCTCGGTGCCCCTTCCCGGGGCTCGGTTCCCCCTCCCTGATTCGGTCCCGGGGCTCGGTGCCCCCTCCCGGTCTCGACACCTGCGGCCCCGCAGCTGCCCGCGCTAATTTTAGGCTGCGGGGCCGCTCCCGGCGATGCTTTTGGGATCCGGGCGGGACCCCCGAGGGGGGACGGGGGTGGGGGGGATCCTTCAAGGGGGGGACCCCCGGAGAATCCCCCCGGTCCCGTCCCGCGAGGCCGCCCCGCACCCCCGGTACCCCGGAAGGGCCGCGGCCGCCCGGGAGTTGTTTTTCAATCCCCAAAGGAAAAACACCGAGGGCTGGACGCGCAGGTGGGGCCGGCGCCGCCCCGAAACACCGGGGGATGCCCGGGGGAGTGCCCGGGGGGTGCCCGGGGGGTGCCCGGGGGTGGGGGGCTCACCGGGGGGACCCCCTGGCTGTGTCCCCCGCTCCACGTGCCACCGGCGACGCTTCGGGTGCCACCCACGGGCTCCGAATCCGAGGGGACAGAGGGAACATCGGGGGGCTCGGGGACATCTCGGGGGGCTCGGGGAAATACCGGGGGCTCGGGGAAATACCGGGGGGCTCGGGGACACCCCGGGGACACCCCGGGAGCGGCCCCAGCTCTGCACCCCCCAAAACCCCGTGTCTGAGAGCCCCCTTTGTTCGGGGCCCGGCGCACACACAGCCCCCTTTGTGCCGCCGCCGGGACCGAGGGCAGGAGGTCGCTCCGAGCCCCTCCCGGTACCCCCCCCCTCCCTCCGGTGCCCCCCCGGTGCCCCCGGTGCTATTCCTGGCGGCGGGGGCCGCGGTGGCACGCGGTTGATAGCGGGGACGTGCCGGAGCTGCCAGCGGGGCCCCGCGCTGATAACGCCCGGTCCCGCCGCCGCCGCGGCGCCCGGGAGAGAACCGGGGGGGGCGGGGGGTCCCAGCATCGCCGCCCACCCCCGCGGGCAGGTGCAACCGGGGGTCGCGGCCCCCCAAAATCCCCCCGTGGGACCCTCGGAGCCTTGAAGGTGCCGGTGAATCATTAACGGAGGGTCCGGGGGGAGGGCTGGATGTTGCCCCCCAACATCTTGGGGACCCCCCGGTGTTTCATGGGGGTCGCGGCACCCCCCGGTCCGGGCTCCCCCCGTGCCCCTCCCCGGTGCGGCGGGGCCGGGGGCCGCTGCCGTCGCAGCTGGGACCTTTTTATAGCCCCGTTCCCTGCTCAAATCGCCCGGGCCGGACCGGGGGGGCCCTTCCCGTGCGTGCCCCGAGCTCCGCCGCCGCCCCCGGAGGGGTCCCGGGCCGGACAAAGCCGCCTTTGACCGCAGCCCCCCCTCCCCGCGCCCCGGCCTGAGTCACGTCTGGCGGATTCGGGGGGGCCCCCGCACCCCTCGGTGCCCCCGGGGGTCCCGGTTTGGGGGGGGGGGGTTCGGCGTCCCCCGCCACAATCGCGGCTTTGTGCGGTGCCAGCCCCGCGCACAAAGGGGGCCCTGTGCGCCCGCACGACAACCGGGAGGACCCCGAGCCCGCCGCCCCCGCCGGGACCCCGCGCCCCCGGGGCGGGGGTGGTCCCGGGGCTCGGCCCGCGGGGCGGCGGCGGCGGCGGGGCCGAAGTCCGGGCGGGCGTGGCGGGGCCGTGCCCGAGGCGCCCGCCTTGCGCAAGGCTCGCCCGGCCGGTTCGGGCACCGGGAGCGGGGAGGGACCGCGAGGGAGCGGCGGGGGAGGACCCGGGGCGGGGAGAGCGGCGGGGACGGGGACAGGGAGGGGACAGGGACACCGCGGGCTGGGTGACATGGAGGGGACAGGGCCACCATGGAGGGGACAGGGACACCATAGAGGGGACAGGGACACCATAGAGGGGACAGGGCCACCATGGAGAGGACAGGGCCACCATGGAGAGGACAGGGACACCATGGAGGGGACACGGCCACCATGGAGGGGACACGGCCACCATGGAGGGGACAGGGCCACCGTGGAGGTGACACCACCACCATGGAGGGGACAAGGATGCCAATGGAGGGGACAGGGCCACCATGGAGAGGACAGGGCCACCATGGAGAGGACAGGGACACCATGGAGGGGACACGGCCACCATGGAGGGGACACGGCCACCATGGAGGGGACAGGGCCACCGTGGAGGTGACACCACCACCATGGAGGGGACAAGGATGCCAATGGAGGGGACAGGGCCACCATGGAGGGGACACGGCCACCATGGGGACCACCACAGGCAGGACATGGCCAGCTCTGAGGGGACAGGAGTAGTGACCATCCAGGGGACGTTGTGAGCACTGAGGAGGTGACACCGCCATCATGGGGACCGTGGCCAGCAAGAGCTGGACGTGGCCAGCTCGGAGGGGGTGGGGACATCAAGGGGATGGCATGGCCATGAGGAGGTGACACAACCACCACGACCGTGGCCACCACCACGGGCAGGACATGGCCAGCTTGGAGGTGACATTGCTGTGGCCATGCAGGGGTGGTCCTGGTGGCCCCGGTGGCCCCGGTGGCCATGGTGGCCCTGGTGACCCCAGTGGCCCCGGTGGCCCCGGTGGCCGTGGTGGCCCCGGTGACGCGGTGGTGCCCGCAGTGTGCGCGGGGACGCTGAACGGGCTGAGCGTGACGGGGGACGCGCAGCACCAGTACCAGACCCTGCACAAGATGTACAACAACTGCGAGATCGTCATGGGCAACCTGGAGATCGTCCTCATCGACCACACCCAGGACCTCTCCTTCCTCCAGGTGACCCCCGGGGGACACGCGGGGGTGGCCGCTGAGGGGGGGACGGGGCCAGCTCCGAGGGGACGGGGACCTCAGAGGGGACATCGCTGCGGTCATCAAGGGGAGGATGTGGCCAGTTTGGAGGTGACATGTCCACCATGGGGACCATGGCCACCATGTGCAGGACATGGTCAGTTTGGAGGTGACATATCCACCATGGGGACAGTGGCCATCAAAAGGAGGACATGGCCAGTTTGGAGGTGACACAGCCACCATGGGGACCCTGGCCATGGCTGCCATCTGAAGGACATGGCCAGTTGGACATGCGGACATGGGACCATGGTCATCAAGGGGAGGATGTGACCATTGAGGTGACACGGCCACCATGGGGACAGTGGCCATCAAATGGAGGACATGGCCAGGAGGACATGGCCAGGAGGACATGGCCAGTTTGGAGGTGACACAACCACCCTGGGGACCATGGCCATCAAGGGGAGGACGTGACCATTGAGGTGACACGGCCACCATGGGGACAGTGACCATCAATTGGAGGACATGGCCACTTTGAGGGCCACATGTCCACCACGGGGACAGTGGCCATGGCCACCAGGTGACCCCGAGCCCCCCGCAGACCATCCGGGAGGTGACCGGCTACATCCTGATCGCCATGAACGTGTTCGCGGCGCTGCCGCTGCAGAACCTGCGCGTGATCCGCGGCACGCAGTTCTACGAGGAACGCTTCGCGCTCTTCGTGCTGCTCAACTACAACCCCAACACCACCCACGCCCTGCGCCAGCTCGGCCTCAACCAGCTCACGGGTGGGACACCGGCATGGGGACATCAGTCAGGCTTGGGGACATCGTGGTGGGCTGGGGGACACCGGCCTGGGGACATCATTGAGGGTTGGGGACGTTGTGTGGGGTTGGGGACGTTGTGTGGGGTTGGGGACATTGTGTGCGGTTGGGGACATCATTGAGGGCTGGGACATCGTTGAGGGTTGGGGACATCCTGGAGGGTTGAGGATATCACAGGGGGTTGAGGACATTGCAGAGGCTGGGGACATTGTGGGGTTGGGGACATCAGGGGGGTTGGGGACATTGTGGGGGTTTGGGGACATCATGGAGGGTTGGGGACATTGTGGGGTTGGGGACATTGTGGGGTTGGGGACATCATGGAGGGCTGGGAACATTGTTGGGGCTGGGGGTGCCTGTCCCCCCTTGTCACCCCCTTGTCACCCCCCGGTCACCCCGTTGTCACCCCCGTCCGCAGAGATCCTGGCGGGGGGGGTGTACATCGAGAAGAACGCGCAGCTCTGCCACGTGGACACGGTGGAGTGGAGGGACATCATGAGGGACTCGCGCCTGGAGCCGCTCGTCCGGGACAACGGCCGCGGCTGTGAGCAGGGCACCCCGGGTTTGGGGGGCTTGGGGGCACCCATGGGTGTGGGGGCACCCCGGGTTTGGGGGCTTGGGGGCACCCCTGGGTGTGGGGGCACCCCGGGTTTGGGGGGCTTGGGGGCACCCCTGGGTGTGGGGGCACCCCGGGTTTGGGGGGCTTGGGGGCACCCCTGGGTTTGGGTAGTTTTGGAGTCACCTCTGGGTTTGGGGGGCTTTGGGGTCACCCCGGGGTCACCCCTGGGTTTGGGGTCACCCCTGGGTTTGGGGTGCTCAGGAGTCCCTGTGGGTGCCCCCATTTTTGGGGTCCCTTTGAGGTACCCTCATTTTTGGCGCGCCCCATTTTTGTGGTCCCTTTGGGGTGTTCTGTTTCTGGGGTGACCCTTTGGGGTGCCTCATTTTTGGGATCCCCTTTGGGATGTCCCTGGGGGTGCCCCATTTCCAGGGTCTCTGGGGTGCCCCATTTTTGGGGTCCCTTTTAGGTACCCTCATTTTTGGCGTGCCCCATTTTTGTGGTCCCTGGGGGTGCCCCATTTTTGGCATGCCCCATTTTTGTGGTCCCTTTGAGGTACCCTCATTTTTGGGGTGCCCCATTTTTGGCATGCCCCATTTTTGGGGTCCCTGGGGGGTGCCCCATTTTTGGGGTCCCCGGGGTGACCCCCTGCTCTGTCCCGCAGGTGCCCCGTGCCACGAGAGCTGCGGCGGGCACTGCTGGGGGCCGGGCCCCAACGACTGCCAGAAACGTGGGTACCGGGGGCTTTGGGGGGGGGATTTGGGGTTTGGCCGGACCCTCCCCGGCCCCGGTGACCCCCGGTGGTGACCCCCGGTGACCCCGGTGACCCCCGGCGGTGTCCCCGCAGTGACCAAGACCATCTGCGCCCCGCAGTGCAACGGGCGCTGCTTCGGCCGCGCGCCCAACGAGTGCTGCCACGAGGAGTGCGCGGGCGGCTGCACCGGCCCCCTGCGCACCCACTGCTTCGTACGTCCGGCCGTCCGTCTGTCTGGCCACCCCTGTGTCCGTCTGTTTGTCCATCTGTCCATCCATCCCCGTGTGCATGCGTCCATCCATCCATCATCCATCATCCATCATCCATCCATCCATCCATCCATCATCCATCCATCATCCATCCATCCATCATCCATCATCCATCCATCCATCCATCATCCATCCATCCATCCATCCATCATCCATCATCCATCCATCCATCCATCATTCATCCATCCATCATCCATCCATCATCCATCATCCATCCATTCATCCATCCATCATCCATCCATCCATCATCCATCATCCATCATCCATCCATCCATCCATCATCCATCATCCATCCATCCATCCATCCATCCATCATCCATCCATCCATCCATCCATCATCCATCCATCCATCATCCATCATCCATCATCCATCCATCCATCATCCATCCATCCATCCATCATCCATCCATCCATCCATCATCCATCCATCCATCATCCATCCATCCATCCATCATCCATCATCCATCCATCATCCATCCATCCATCATCCATCATCCATCCATCTATATATCCATCCATCATCCATCCATCATCCATCATCCATCATCCATCATCCATCATCCATCATCCATCATCCATCCATCATCCATCATCCATCATCCATCATCCATCCATCATCCATCATCCATCATCCATCCATCCATCCATCATCCATCATCCATCCATCATCCATCATCCATCCATCCATCATCCATCCATCATCCATCCATCATCCATCATCCATCCATCATCCATCCATCATCCATCCATCCATCCATCATCCATCATCCATCATCCATCCATCCATCCATCATCCATCATCCATCCATCATCCATCCATCATCCATCCATCATCCATCCATCATCCATCCACCATCCATCATCCATCATCCCTCCATCATCCATCCATCATCCATCATCCATCCATCATCCATCCATCATCCATCCATCCATCATCCATCCATCATCCATCCATCATCCATCCATCATCTATCCATCCATCCATCCATCCATCCATCCATCATCCATCATCCATCATCCATCCATCATCCATCATCCATCATCCATCCATCCATCATCCATCATCCATCCATCCATCATCCATCCATCCATCATCCATCCATCCATCATCCATCCATCCATCCATCCATCCATCCATCATCCATCATCCATCATCCATCCATCCATCCATCATCCATCCATCATCCATCCATCCATCATCCATCCATCATCCATCATCCATCCATCATCCATCATCCATCCATCCATCATCCATCATCCATCCATCATCCATCATCCATCCATCCATCATCCATCATCCATCCATCATCCATCCATCCATCCATCCATCATCCATCCTCCATCCATCCATCATCCATCCATCCATCATCCATCCATCCATCCATCCATCATCCATCCCACATTCATCTGTCCATCCCCTGTCCATCCGTCCATCCCTGTGTCCGTCTGTCCGGCCGCCCCTGTGTCTGCTCTGTGTCCGGCTGTCTGTCCATCCATCCATCCGTCCATCCCCGTGTGCGTGCGTCTGTCCATCCATCCCATGTCCAACTGTCCATCCCATGTCCATCTGTCCATCCCATGTCCATTTGTCCATCCCATGTCCACCTGTCCATCCCATATCCATCTATCCCATGTCCATCTGTCCATCCCATGCCCATCTGTCCATCCCGTGTCCATCTGTCCATCCCATGTCCATTTGTCCATCCCGTGTCCATCTATCCCATGTCCATCTATCCCATGTCCATCTGTCCATCCCATATCCACCTGTCCATCCCGTGTCCATCTGTCCGTCTGTCCGTCCCCAGGCCTGCCGCCACTTCAACGACAGCGGTTCCTGCGTGCCGCTCTGCCCGCAGCCGCTCATCTACAACAAGCTGACCTTCCAGCTGGAGCCCAACCCCGACACCAAGTACCAGTACGGGGGGGTCTGCGTGCGGGAGTGCCCCCGTGAGTTTGGGGGGTCTCTGGGGGGTTCTGGGGGTGCTTTGGGGGGGACGCCGAGTGACCCCCGAGGTGTCCCCCCAGACAACTTCGTGGTGGACCAGAGCTCGTGCGTGCGCGCCTGCCCCAACGACAAGATGGAAGTGGAGAAGAACGGGCTGAAGATCTGCGAGCCCTGCGCGGGGCTGTGCCCCAAGGGTATGGGGGGAGTTTTGGGGTCCCCCATGGGGGGGTCTGGGGGTGGTGAGACCCCCCTGACCCCCTGCCCACGCCCTGCAGCCTGCGAGGGCACCGGCGCCGGCAGCAAATACCAAACCGTGGACTCCAGCAACATCGACACCTTCATCAACTGCACCAAGATCCTGGGCAACCTCGACTTCCTCATCACGGGCCTGGAGGGGTGAGGGATGGAATTTGGGGGGCTCATGGGGGGTTTAGGGGGTGCAGCCCCCCTCCCCATCCCCGCTGACCCCCCCGGCCCCACAGGGACCCCTGGCGCAACATCTCGGCGCTGGACCCGGAGAAGCTGAACGTGTTCCGGACGGTGCGGGAGATCACGGGTGAGCAGCGGGGTTGGGGGTGCTGGGACTCCCCCCGGAGTCTCCCCGAGACCATCCGGGACCCCCCTGAGCCCTTGGTGCCCCCGCAGGGTACCTGAACATCCAGTCCTGGCCCAAGCACATGCACAACTTCAGCGTCTTCTCCAACCTCGAGACCATCGGGGGACGGAGCCTCTACAAGTGAGGAGCCCCTGTCCAGCATCCCCCATCCCTGAATTTCCCATTTTCCGATCCCTGAATTCCTCCTTTTCCCCATCCCTGAATTTCCCCTTTTCCCCATCCCTGAATTCCTCCTTTTCCCCATCCCTGAATTTCCCATTTTCCCGATCCCTGAATTCCCCCTTTTCCCAATCCCTGAATTCCCCGTTTTCCCCAATTCCTGCATCCCCAGCATCCCAAATCCCCGAATTCCCCATTTTCCCTAATTCCTGCATCCCGGCTCCCGGAGCATCCCCCAGTCTCTCATTCCCGGTTCATCCCCTGGCTCCCGGTTCGTGCCCCGGGTCCTGGAGCATTTCCCGGCTCCCGGAGCACCCCCGGCTGCTCATTCCCCGTTCACCCGTGGCTCCCGGTTCATCCCGCGGCTCCCGGAGCCGCTCTCGTCATTCCCGGTTCATCCCCCGGGCTCCCGGAGCATCCCCCGGGCTCCCGGTTCATCCCTCGGCCGCTCATTCCCGGTTCATCCCCCGGCTCCCGGTTCATCCCCTGCCGTTTATTCCCGATTCACCCCCGGTCTCCCGGTTCCCCCCGGGTTCCCACTTCATCCCCGGCCGCTCATTCCCGGTTCCCCCCGAGCTCCCGGTTCCCCCCGGTCTCCCGGTTCACCCCCGGGCTCCCACTTCATCCCCGGCCTCTCTTTCCCGGTTCCCCCCGGGCTCCCGGTTCCCCCCGGTCTCCCGGTTCCCCCCGGTCTCCCGGTCGATCCCCGGTCTCCGGTCGCCCCGGGAGCCGGCGGAACTCCTCTCTCGGTTCCCGCAGCCGCGGTTTCTCGCTGCTGATCATGAAGAACGAGAACGTGACGTCTCTGGGGCTGCGCTCGCTGCGGGAGGTGAGCGCGGGCCGCGTGTACATCACGGAGAACCGGCGGCTCTGCTTCCTGCACACCGTGCACTGGGCCGCGCTGCGCCGCAGCCGCGCCGACCTCGACATCCGCAACAACCGGCCCCGCAGCAAGTGCCGTGCGTGGGCCGGGCTGGGGAGGGGGCGTGGGACCCCCCCGGGACCCCTCGGGCACCCCCAGACCCTGAGAGAGGGTCCTGGTCCTTCCCTCCGGGAGGGGTCACCGGGACCCCCAACAACCGGCCCCGCAGCAAGTGCCGTGCGTGGGACCCCCTCGGGACCCCCAAATCCCGCACTGAACCCCAATCCCTGACACAGGGAGGGGGCGTGGGACCCACTTGGGGACCTCAAGACCCACTCTGAGCCCAGGGGTGACCCCAGCCCCCCCTGACCCCCAGAGTGACCCCAGCCCCCCCTGACCCCCAGCTCCCCTGACCCCCAGAGTGACCCCTGCCCCCCCTGACCCCCAACCCCTTCTGCCCCCAGCCCCTCTCTGCCCCCCTGGTGACCCCAGCCCCCCTCTGACCCTCAGGGTGACCTCAACCCACCCTGCCCCCCAACCCCTCTGACCCCCAACCCCTCTGCCCCCCAGCCCCATTCTGAGCCCCTGGGTGACCACAGCCCCCCAGCCCCCCAACCCCTCTCTGCCCCCCGGTGACCGGTGCCCCCCAGCCCCCCGTGCCCCCCGGTGACCCCAGCCCCTCTCAGACCCCCCGGTGCCCCCAGCCCCTCTGCCCCCCGGTGACCCGTGCCCCCCAGCCCCCCGTGCCCCCTGATGACCCCAGCCCCTCTCAGACCCCCCGGTGCCCCCAGCCCCTCTGCCCCCTGCTGACCCGTGCCCCCCGGTGACCCCAACCCCTCTCAGACCCCCCGGTGCCCCCAGCCCCCCGTGCCCCCCGCTGACCCGTGCCCGCTGCCCCCCCAGAACAAGAGGGCAAGGTGTGTGACCCGCTGTGCTCGGCCGAGGGCTGCTGGGGGCCCGGCCCGGCCCAGTGCCTGTCCTGCCGCCACTACAGCCGCAGGGGCGTCTGCGTGCCCACCTGCCGCTTCAGCCAGGGGTCAGCGGGCACGGGGGGCACGGGGGGCATGGAGGGTATGGGGGCACGGGGGGCACGGGGGGCACGGGGGGCACGGGGGGTATGGGGGGTATGGAGGACATGGGGGGCATGGGGGGCACGGGGGGTATGGGGGGCATGGAGGGTATGGGGGGCACGGGGGGTATGGGGGGCACGGGGGGGCTTGGAGGGTATGGGAGGCACGGAGGGCACGGGGGGCACGGGGGGCACGGGGGGCACGGGGGGCATGGGGGCATGGAGGGCATGGGGGGCATGGGGGGCACGGGGGCATGGGGGGACATGGGGGGCACGGGAGCATGGAGGGTATGGGGGGCATGGGGGGCATGGGGGGTATGGGGGGCATGGGGGGGGCATAGGGGGCATGGAGGGCACAGGGGGCATGGAGGGCATGGGGGGCATGGAGGACATGGGGGATACGGGGGGCACGGGGGGCATGGGGCACTTGGGGGGCACGGGGGGACACTGGGGGACAAGGGGGGCACAGGGGCACGGGGGGAGGACACGGTGGGGGGGGGGGCACCGGCCCTGTCACCTCGGGGTGTCCCTGTCACCATTGGGGTGTCCCTGTCACCCCCGGGATGTCCCTGTCACCCCCGGGATGTCCCTGTCACCTTGGGGTGGGCACGGAGGGTCCCGGGGCAGGACAGAGACCGGCAGGGGCACCTCGGGGTGTCCCTGTCACCTCGGGGTGTCCCTGTCACCATTGGGGTGTCCCCATCACCCCCGGGCCCCCCGTCCGACCCCTCGCGTGTCCTCAGGGAGCCGCGGGAGTTCTCGCAGGGCGGCGAATGTCACGAGTGCCACCCGGAGTGCCAACCCGTGGAGGGCGGTGCCACCTGTAACGGCTCGGTACGGCCCCGCCACCCCCCCGGCGCTGTCCCCACGCGGGTGTCCCCACCCGTGTCACCCAGCCCACCCCCCAAACCGCAGGGTGCCGACACCTGCACGCGCTGCGCCCACTATCGCGACGGGCCGCACTGCGTGGGGCGATGTCCCGACGGGGTCCTGGGCGAGCGCGGCCCCATCTTCAAATTCCCCGACGGCAGCCGCGAGTGCCGCCCCTGCCACGAGAACTGCAGCCGCGGGTGGGTGCGACCCCCGGGGGGCTGCGGGGGGCTGGGGGGGCGGGACCCCGCTGGGACCCCCTACAGGGCAGGGTGGGGGTCCTGGGGTGTCACTGGGGGCAGGGTGGGGGTTCCAAAACCCATTTGGGGCATGGTGGGGGTCCCAAAACCTCTTTGGGAGAAGGGTGGGGGTCCTAGGGCATGATTTAGGGCAGGGTGGGGGTCCCAAAACCTCTTTTAGGAGGAGGGTGGGGGTCCTGGAGCATAATTTAGGGCAGGGCGGGGGTCCCCAGACCTCTTTGGGGAGCGTCTTTGGGAGCCCCAGGGCATCATTTGGGGCAGGGTGGGGGTCCCAAAACCTCTTTGGGAGAAGGGTGGGGGTCCTGGGGCATCATTTGGGGTATGGCTGGGGTCCCAAAACCTCTTTGGGGAGCAGGGTGGGGGTCCTGGTATGTCACTGGGGCATGGTGGGGGTCCCCAAACCTCCTTAGGGTGCGTCTTTGGGAGCCCCGGGGCATCATTTGGGGCATGGTGGGGGTCCCAAAACCTATTTGGGGAACGGGGTGGGGGTCCTGGGGCATCATTTGGGGCAGGGTGGGGGTTCCAAAACCCATTTGGGGCATGGTGGGGGTTCCAAAACCTATTTGGGGAGCAGGGTGGGGGTCCTGGGGCATCATTTAGGGCAGGGTGGGGGTCCTCAGACCTCTTTGGGGAGCGTCTTTGGGAGCCCCAGGGCATCATTTGGGGCAGAGTGGGGGTCCTGGGGCATCATTTGGGGCAGGGTGGGGGTCCCAAAACCTCTTTGGGGAGCAGGGTGGGGGTCCTGGGGCATCATGTGGGGCAGGACTGGGGGGCCCGGGCCCTCCCTGGTGGCATTTTGGGGTCCGGGGACCCCAGGAGGGGCGGACTGAGGGGTCTGAGCCATGGCTCAGGGCAGGGTGGGGGTCTGGGGACCCCGCGGGGCACAATTTGGGGTCCTCCTCCTCTTGGGGGGGGTCCGCCAGGGTCTGAGGCCCATCTCCCACCCCACAGATGTGTGGGGCCGCTGCTGCGGGACTGCCTGGGGGACCCCCTGCCCGTGGCCAGGTACGGGGGGGGCTCGGGGGGCTTGGGGGGGCTCGGGGGGGCTCGGGGGGTTCGAGGGGGTTTAGGGGGCTCCAGGGTCTTGGGGGGCTCCGGGGGCTCGGGGGGCTCGGGGGGCTCCGGGGGCTCGGGGGTCTGGGGGCTCCGGGGGCTCGGGGGGGCTCGGGGGGGGGGTTGGGGGGATCGGGGGGCTCGGGGGGGCTACAGCGACCCCGAGGGGCTGCGAGGACCCTAACCCGGTGCTTCTCCCCATCCCCGTCCCCATCTCCGTCCCTTGCCCGTTCCTACCCCGGTCCTGCCTGTTCTCGGTGCCTCTCCCGGTGCCGTTCCCACCCCGCTCCCGGTGCCTCTCCCGGTTCTGCTCTCGGTGCCATTCCCACCCCGGTCCCGCCCGCTCCCGGTGCCGTTCCCACCCCGCTCCCGGTGCCGCTCCCGGTGCCGCTCTCGGTGCCGTTCCCACCCCTGTCCCGCCCATTCCCGGTGCCTCTCCCGGTGCCACTCCCGGTGCCGCTCCCGGTGCCGCTCCCGGTGCCGCAGGCGGACACCGACGCTGATCGCGGTCATGGTGGTCGGGGCCGTGTTCCTCTCGTGCTCGCTGGTGCTGCTGGCGCTGCTCTACTGGCGGGGCAAGAAGATCCAGAAGAAACGGGCGATGCGGCGCTACCTGGAGCGGGGCGAGGTCAGCGCCGGGACTACCGGAGCGGCCCCGGAGCGGCCCCGGGGCGGCGGGGAGGGGTTGGATCCCGCGTCCGGGCCTCGCCAGCCCCGTCCCCGTCCGGCCCCGTCCCTCTCCAGCTCTGCTCCCGTGCCAGTCGCTCTGTCCGTGTTCGTTCCTTGTCCCTGTCCCTGTCCCCATCCCTGTCCTTGTCCTTGTCCCTGTCCCTGTCCATTCCTGTCCCCATCCCTGTCCCCACGCCGTGTCCCCATCCCCACGCCATGTCCCTGTCCCCATCCCCGTCCCCATGCCGTGTCTCTGTTCCCACACCATGTCCCCATCCCCATGCCATGTCCCTGTCCCTGTCCCCGTCCCCACACCGTGTCCCTGTCCCTGTCCCTGTCCCCATCCCCACGCCATGTCCCCGTCCCCGCGCCATGTCCCTGTCCCTGTCCCCATCCCCATCCGTGTCTCCATCCCTGCCCCATGTCCCCATCTCCGTCCCCACGCCGTGTCCCCATCCCTGTCCCCACGCCGTGTCCCTGTCCCCATCCGTGTCCCCATCCCCACACCGTGTCCCCCACGCCGTGTCCCCATCCCCACACCATGTCCCTGTCCCTGTCCCTGTCCCCACGCCGTGTCCCCATCCCCACACCATGTCCCTGTCCCTGTCCCTGTCCCCATCCGTGTCCCCATCCCCACACCGTGTCCCCCACGCCGTGTCCCCATCCCCACACCATGTCCCTGTCCCTGTCCCTGTCCCCACGCCGTGTCCCCATCCCCACACCATGTCCCTGTCCCTGTCCCTGTCCCCATCCGTGTCCCCATCCCCACGCCGTGTCCCCCACGCCATGTCCCCATCCCCACACCATGTCCCTGTCCCTGTCCCCATCCGTGTCCCTGTTCCCACGCCATGTCCCCATCCCCACACCGTGTCCCTGTCCCGCAGAGCCTGGAGCCGCTGGACCCCAGTGAAAAAGCCAACAAGGTCCTGGCCCGGATCTTCAAGGAGTCGGAGCTGAAGCGCCTCAAGGTGCTGGGCTCGGGCGTCTTCGGCACCGTGCACAAGGTGGGCTTGGGTGCCACCCCATAGATCCACCCATAGATCCACCCCATAGATCCACCCCATAGATCCACCCATAGATCCACCCCATTGATCCACCCCATTGATCCACCCCATAGATCCTATCAATCCATCCCATTGATCCACCCCATAGATCCACCCATTGATCCACCCCATTGATCCTATCAATCCATCCCATTGATCCACCCCATTGATCCACCCCATTGATCCACCCCATTGATCCTATCAATCCATCCCATTGATCCACCCCATTGATCCACCCCATTGATCCACCCCATAGATCCCATCAATCCATCCCATAGATCCCACATTGATCCCACCCCATCGATCCACCCTATTGATCCTATCAATCCATCCCATTGATCCACCCCATAGATCCACCCCATTGATCCACCCCATTGATCCCATCAATCCATCCCATAGATCCACCCCATTGATCCATCCCATTGATCCCATCAATCCATCCCATAGATCCCACATTGATCCCACCCCATTGATCCACCCCATTGATCCTATCAATCCATCCCATTGATCCTATCAATCCACCCCATTGATCCACCCCATAGATCCACCCCATAAATCCCGTAAATCCCACCTCAAATCTGATCCCATCCCATCAATCCCATCCCAAATCCCACCCATCCCATAAATCCCGTAAATCCCCCGATCCCGTTATCCGACCCCGCAGGGGATCTGGATCCCGGACGGGGATTCCATCAAGATCCCGGTCAGCATCAAGGTGATCCAGGGCTGGAGCGGGCAGCAATCCTTCCACGCCGTCACCGACGTGAGCGCCGGCCACCGGGCACCGGGGGGCACCGGGGGCACCGGGGGGGCACCGGGGGGTTTGGGGGCACTGGGGTACCGGGGGGTCTGGGGGATCCGGGAGCACCAGGGAATTCAGGGGCACCAGGGTGCTCCGGGGACCCTGGGGGTGCTCTGGGGGTGCTTTGGGGACACTGGGGGTGCTCTGGGGGTGCTTTGGGGACACCCTGGGGACACTCTGGGGGTGCTGACCCTGTCCCCATCGACGCCAGGGTGATTTGGGGGTGCTCTGGGGACCCTGGGGCTGCTGTGGAGACCCTCTGGGGACACTCTGGGGACCCTGGAGGTGCTGACCCTGTCCCACCGAAGCCGGGGGTGCTCTGGGGACCCTCTGGGGACACTCTGAGGACCCTGGGGATGCTCTGGGGACACTGGGGGTGTTCTGGGGACCCTGGGGGTGCTCTGGGGACCCTGGGGGTGCTCTGGGGACCCTCTGGGGACACTCTGGGGGTGCTGACCCTGTCCCACCGAAGCCGGGGGGGATCTGGGGACACTCTGGGGACCCTGGGGGTGCTCTGGGAACCCTCTGGGGACACTCTGGGCATCCTGGAGGTGCTCTGGGGACACTCTGGGGACACTCTGGGGACCCTGGGGGTGCTCTGGGGGTGCTCTGGGGACCCTGGAGGGTGCTCTGGGGACCCTCTGGGGACACTCTGGGGGTGCTGACCCTGTCCCACCGAAGCCGGGGGTGCTCTGGGGACCCTCTGGGGACACTCTGGGGACCCTGGGGGTGCTCTGGGGACCCTGAGGGTGCTCTGGGGACCCTGGGGGTGCTCTGGGGACCCTGGGGATGCTCTGGGGACCCTGGGGATGCTCTGGGGACCCTGGGGGTGCTCTGGGGACCCTCTGGGGACACTCTGGGGACACTGGGGGTGCTCTGGGGACCCTCTGGGAACACTCTGGGGACCCCGGGGATGCTCTGGGGACACTGGAGGTGCTCTGGGGACACTGGAGGTGCTCTGGGGACCCTCTGGGGACACTCTGGGGACCCTGGGGGTGCTCTGGGGACCCTCTGGGGACACTCTGGGGACCCTGGGAGTGCTCTGGGGACCCTCTGGGGACACTCTGGGGACCCTGGGGACCCTGGAGATGCTCTGGGGACACTCTGGGGACCCTCTGGGGACACTCTGGGGACCCTGGGGACACTCTGGGGACCCTGGGCTGCTGTCCCTGTCCCCCCAGCACATGCTGGCCATCGGCAGCCTGGAGCACTCGTACATCGTGCGGCTGCTGGGCATCTGCCCGGGCCCGCAGCTGCAGCTGGTGACGCAGCTGCTGCCGCTGGGCTCGCTGCTGGACTACGTGCGCAAGAACCGCGGCAGCATCGGGCCCCAGCTGCTGCTCAACTGGTGCGTGCAGGTGGCCAAGGTCAGTGCCGGGCTCCTCACCGCCTTCCTGGCCCGAAAACGGAGAGGGGATGGGGGGATGAGGGGTTTGGGGGGCTCCTCGCCTTCCTTCCATAATAATATAATATAATATAATATAATATAATATAATATAATATAATATAATATAATATAATATAATATAATATAATATAATATAATATAATATAATATAATATAATATAATATAATATAATATAACGTAATATAATATAACGTAATATAATATAACATAATATAACGTAATATAACGTAATATATTACTTATTTTTCCTATATTATATTATGTTATACTACTTTACATTATATTATATTATATTACATTATATTACGTTATATATTATATTATATAATATCTATTATATTCTATTACTTATTTTACCAATATTACATTATGTTATATTACATTACTTTATATTATATTATATAACATTATATTATATATTATACTATATAATATCTATTATATTCTATTACTTATTTTACTTATATTATATCATATCATATCATATCATATCATATCATATCATATCATATCATATCACATTACATTACATTATATTACATTACATTACATTATATAAAAAATATATCCCATCCATAACTATCAACACAATATAACAAACACAACATTCATCATCCACAACAACACAAAATACCACCACGACATACCTCCAAACCAACACCATCCATCCCACCAAACAACACCTAAACCAACATAACATTTTACCATTTTCCTTTGTTTTTAATACCCAATTTTTTCCCCACAAAACCCCAAATTCCCCATTTCCTGGCAGGGCATGTACTACCTGGAGGAGCACCGCATGGTGCACCGCAACCTGGCGGCGCGCAACGTGCTGCTGAAATCGCCCAGCCAGGCGCAGGTGGCCGATTTCGGCATCGCCGACCTGCTCTACCCCGACGACAAGAAGTACTTCTACAACGAGCTCAAGGTGGGCGCCGGGCACCGCGGGCACAGCGGGAATGCGGGCACTGCGGGCACCGCGGGCACCGCGGGCACTGCGGGCACCGGGGGAATGCGGGGTGACATTGGGGACACGGCAAAATGGCACAAATGGCATCGGCGACGCGGTAAAATGGCGCTGGGGGCAAAGATGGCATTGGGGATAAAGATAAATGGCACAAATGGCATTGAGGACAGATAAATGGCATTGGGGATAAAGATAAATGGTACAAATGGCATTGGGGACAGATAAATGGCACAAATGGCATTGGGGACATGGCAGATGACATTGGGGACACGGCAAAATGGCACTGGGGGCAAAGATGGCATTGGGGATAAAGATAAATGGTACAAATGGCATTGGGGATAAAGATAAATGGCACAAATGGCATTGGGGACAGATAAATGGCATTGGGGACACGGCAAAATGGCGCTGGGGGCAAAGATAAGTGGTACAAATGGCATTGGGGACAGATAAATGGCATTGGGGACAGATAAATGGCATTGGGGACATGGCAGATGGCACTGGGGGCAAAGATAAGTGGTACAAATGGCATTGCCGACGCGGCAAAATGGCGCTGGGGGCAAAGATAAATGGCACAAATGGCATTGGGGACACGGCAAAATGGCACTGGGGACATGGCAAATGGCATTGGGGACAGATAAATGGCATCAGTTTTACCCCAAATGGCATTGGGGACAGATAGATGGCATTGGGGACACGGCAAAATGGCATTGGGGACACAGCAGATGTCATTGGGGCACAGATAAATGGCACTCATGTCACCCTAAATGGCATCCCATTGTCCCCATGTCCCCATGTCCCCGTGTCCCCCATTGTCCCCATGTCCCCATTGTCCCCATGTCCCCCATTGTCCCCATGTCCCCGTGTCCCCTGTCCCGCAGACGCCCATCAAGTGGATGGCGCTGGAGAGTATCCACTTCGGCAAGTACACGCACCAGAGCGACGTCTGGAGCTACGGTGAGCAGCCGCTGTCCCCAGTGTCCCCAGTGTCCCCTGGTGTCCCCTTGTGTCCCTGCTGTCCCCTGCCATACCCCCAGTGTCTCCTGCTGTCCCCTGGTGTCCCCCAGTGTCCCCAATGTCCCCCGCTGTCCCCAGTGTCCCCAGTGTCCCCAATGTCCCCAGTGTCCCCTGGTGTCCCCCGCTGTCCCTTGCTGTGCCCTGGTGTCCCTGGTGTCCCCATGGCTCACGGGCTGTCCCGTGGTGTCCCCATGGCTCACAGGCTGTCCCCTCTGTCCCCTCTGTCCCCTCTGTCCCCTCTGTCCCCGCTGTCCCCAGGGGTGACGCTGTGGGAGATGATGACGTTTGGGGCCGAGCCGTACATCCCTGGTGTCCCCTGCTGTCCCTGGTGTCCCCATGGCTCACGGGCTGTCCCCACTGTCCCCTCTGTCCCCGCTGTCCCCAGGGGTGACGCTGTGGGAGATGATGACCTTCGGGGCCGAGCCCTACTCGGGGATCCGCCCAGCCGAGGTGCCGGACCTGCTGGAGAAGGGCGAGCGGCTCTCGCAGCCGCACATCTGCACCATCGACGTCTACATGGTCATGGTCAAATGTGAGCGCCGCGGTGGCACCGGGGTGTCCCCAGGGGTGTCCCCAGAGCAGGGCAGGGTCCCCAGAGCTGTCCCCAGGGGTGTCCCCAGAGCTGTCCCCAGAACTGTCCTCAGCGCTGTCCCCGTTCCCTTCAGGTGCTGCTGCTGTCCCCAGAGTGGGGAGGGGTCCCCAGAGGTGTCCCCAGAGTGGGGAGGGGTCCCCAGAGCTGTCCCCAGAGTGGGGAGGGGTCCCCAGAGGTGTCCCCAGCCCTGGGCAGGGTTCTGATCCTGTCCTCACCCCTGTCCCCATCCCCAGGGTGGCTCCTGACCGTGTCCCCACCCCTGGGACCCGGCTCCTGCTGTGTCCCTGTCCCCAGAGCCGTGTCCTGGCTGTGTCCCCATCCCCAGGGTGGCTCCTGGCTGTGTCCCCATGCCATGACCGTGTCCCCAGGGCCGTGTCCTGGCTGTGTCCCCACCCCTGGCCATGTCCCCCCGCTGTGACCGTGTCCCCAAGGTCGTGTCCCCAAGGCCGTGTCCCCACCCCTGGCCGTGTCCCCAAGGCCGTGTCCCCGTCCCCCCAGGCTGGATGATCGATGAGAACATCCGTCCCACCTTCAAGGAGTTGGCCAACGAGTTCACCCGCATGGCCCGCGACCCCCCGCGCTACCTGGTCATCAAGGTGAGCCCCCCAAAGTCCCCAGAGCCCCCCAAAGACCCCCAGAGCCCCCCAGAACCCCCCCAACCCCCTGAGAACCCCCCAAGCCCCCCCCAAACCCCATCCCAGATCCCCCAACCCCCCCCAGACCCCTTCCCAGACCCCCCAAGGACCCCCAGACCCCATCCCAGACCCCCCAGACCCCCCAGACCCCACCCCAGACCCCCCAAACTCCATCCCAGACCCCCCAGACCCCATCCCAGACCCCCCAAGGACCCCCAGACCCCATCCCCGCAGGAGAGCGGGGCCGCGCCCCCCGGCGAGCCCCCCACCCTGAGCGAGAAGGAGCTGGAGGAGGTGGAGACGCTGGAGCTGGAGGAGGAGGAGGAGGAGGAGGAAGAGGAGGAGGAGGAGGAGGAGGAAGAGGAGCTGGACGCGGCCTTCGGCCTCGCCGCCCCCGGGCTGTGCCCGCAGCGGCCGCGGGGCAGCAGCTGCGGCCGGGTGAGACCCCCGGGACCCCCGCGGGGGCTTTGGGGGACGGGGGAAAGGGGGAAAGGGGAAAGGGGAAAAGGGGAAAAGGGGGAATTGGGGAATTGGGGGGGAAAAGGGGGGATTGGGGGGATTGGGGCGGAAAAGGGGGGATTGAGGGGGTTGAGGGACTGGGGGAATTGGGGGGATTTGGGGGGATTGGGGGGGGAAAGGGGGGAATTGGGGGGATCGGGGGTATCGGGGGAAAAGGGGGGAAAGGGGGGATTGGGGAATTTGGGGGGATCGGGGGGAATCGAGGATCGGGGGAAAGGGGATCAGGGGGCATTGGGGGGATTGGGGGATTGGAGGGATTGGGGGGATTGGGGGGATTGGGGGGCATAGAGGATCTGGGGAAAGGGGGGATTGAGGGATTTGGGGGATCGGGGGGAATCGAGGATCGGGGGAAAGGGGGAAAGTCCCCTTGGTGCCAGCCCCGCTGTGTCTCCCTGTCCCCTCGGTGTCCCCATGTCCCCTCGGTGCCACCCCCGTGTCCCCGCCTGTCCCCGCAGAGCCCGAGCCTGCTGAGCGCCCCCGCCGGGTACATCCCCATGAACCCGCCGGGCCTGGGCTGCCCCCGGCAGGTACGGGGGGCTCGGGGGGCTCGGGGGGTTCGGGGGTCTGGGGGCTCGGGGGGTTCGGGGGGCTCGGGGGGCTCGGGGGGCTCGGGGGGTTCGGGGGGTTCGGGGGGCTCGGGGGGTTCGAGGGGATCGGGGGTGTTCGGGGGGTTCGGGGGGCTCGGGGGGCTCGGGGGGGATCGGGGGGGATCGGGGGGTTCGGGGGGTTTGGGGGGTTCGGGGGGTTCGGGGGGCTCGGGGGGGATCGGGGGGTTTGGGGGGACTCGGGACAGGTTTGGGGTGTTCCCCCTCACCATCCCCCCGCTGTCCCCAGGCTGGGGGGTCCCAGGGTGGGTTTGGGGTCCCAGGACAGGTTTGGGACCCCAGGGTTGGGGATCCCAGGGCGGGTTCGGGGTCCCGGGGCAGGTTCGGGGTCCCGGGGCGGGTTCGGGGTGTCCCCCCAGCCCGGGGGGTTTCGGGGCAGGTTCGGGGTCCCGGGGTGGGGGATCCCAGGATGGGTTCGGGGTCCCGGGGCGGGTTCAGAGTCTCGGGGCGGGTTCGGGGTCCCGGGGTGGGGGATCCCAGGATGTGTTCGGGGTCTCGGGGCAGGTTCAGAGTCTCGGGGCGGGTTCGGGGTCCCGGGGTGAACTCGGGCTGTCCCCCCAGCCCGGGGGTTCGCGGCCGCCGCGGCGGGACCGGCAGGAGCCGCTGTCCCGGTCGGTGTCGGAGTCCTCCGAGGGTCGCGGCAGCGGTTCGGAGCTGGAACCGGGCCCGGGGGGGGCCCTGACCGGGAGCCTCGGCCGCGGCCGCCGCCGGCGGGGGCACGGCGGGGTCCGGTCCCGGCGGGAGAGCCTCCCCCCGGTGCCCCCGCCGCCCCCCGGCTCCCAGGGCGGCGAGGAGGACCCCAACGGATACGTCACCCCCAACTGCGCCCTCCGCGGTGAGGGGGGTCCTGGGGGGTCCTGCGTGATGGAATGGGGCTGGGGGCTCCCCCTGATCCATGGGGGTCCCTTATGGGGGTCCCATCCCGCTGGAATGGGGCTGGGGGCTCCCTCTGATCCATGGGGGTCCCTTATGGGGGTCCCATCCCGCTGGAATGGGGCTGGGGGTCTTGTCCCATCCGATTAGATCGGGTTTTGGGGCTCCCCCTGATCCATGGGGGTCCTTGTGGGGGTCCCATCCCGCTGGAATGGGGCTGGGGGTTTTGGGGAGGGGTTTCCATCTCATTGGATCGGGTTTTGGGGCTCCCCCTGTCCCTGGGGGTTCTTGGGGGGGTCCCATCCCGCTGGATCAGGGCCGGGGGTCTTGTCCCATCCCATTGGATCGGGTTTTGGGGCTCCCCCTGTCCATGGGGGTCCTTGTTGGGGGTCTCATCCCTGCAGGGTTTGGGAGGTTCCTGTGTCTCCAGGGGGGTCCATCCCCTGTTTTTGGGGCGGGGGTCCCATCCCCTGTTTTTGGGGTGGGGGTCCCATCCCCTATTTTTGGGGCGGGGGTCCCACCCTGCAGATTTTGGGCTGTTGCGTCCCCCCCTCTTTTCACCATCATTTCGGGGCCGCTCTTTCCTTCTTTCGCTCCGCTCCGACCCCAACCGAGCCCCCCAAAAACCCCAAAAACCCCCCTGGGGACCCCTGCCCGCTTTGTGACGCCCCCTCCCCACCCCGGGCAGACCCCGCCGCGGCAGCGGAGGAGGAGGAAGAGGAGGAGGAGGAGGAAGAATACGAATACATGAACCGCCAACGGGGGGGAACCGGGGGACCCCCAAAACCCCGCCCGGCCTCGCTGGAAGAACTCGGCTACGAATACATGGAGGTGAGCCCGGAACCGGGGGGACCCCCGGGAGCGCCCCAAACCCGCGGCTACCGGCGGGAGGATGAGGAGGGCGATGAAGAAAACTACGAATACATGAACGAACAACCGCGGCTCAGCCGCTCGCTGCGCACCGGGGCCGTACCGGGAGCACCGGGACACGACGGCTACACCGAGATGAGGGCGGCGGAGAGCCCCGGGAGCCCCGGGGAGGGCTACGAGGAGATGGAGGCGGTGCCGCGGCCCCGCCGCTGCTCCGGTTGCCGCGGGACCCCCGGGATGAAACCGCTGCGGAGTTTGGAGGCCTCGGACTGCGCCTTCGATAATCCCGATTATTGGCACAGCCGCCTCTTCGCCAAAAGCGATGCCCGCCGGACGTAGGGGACCCCCAAACCGCCCCCTCAGCCCGAGACCCCTCCCCAAATTCGGGGGGTTCGCATCGGATATGAAGGATCCCCCCCAGGTGGGGTTTGAGCGATTTTTTGGCTTCTCCTCGCTTTGATTTTTTATTTTTTTGGGTGGGGAGGGGGCAGCGGAGACCCCCGGGATCCCATCATTGATTCCTCCCCGAGACCCCCAAACCCCCCCCTCAGCCCGAGACCCCTCCCCACATTCGGGGGGTTCGCATCGACTATGAAGGATCCCCCCCAGGTGGGGTTTGAGCAGCTTTTTGGCTTCTCCTCGCTTTGATTTTTTATTTTTTTGGGTTTTTTTAGGGGCGGGGGGTGAGACTCAGCCCGAGACCCCTCCCCAAATTCGGGGGGTTCACATCAGATATGAAGGATCCCCCCAGGTGGGGTTTGAGTGATTTTTTGGCCTCTCCTTGCTTTGATTTCTTATTTTTTGGGTTTTTTTTAGGGGTGGGGGTGAGACTCAGCCCGAGACCCCTCCCCAAATTTGGGGGGTTCACATCGACTATGAAGGATCCCCCCAGGTGGGGTTTGAGTGATTTTTTGGCCTCTCCTCGCTTTGATTTTTTATTTTTTGGGGTTTTTTTAGGGGTGGGGGGTGAGACTGAGCACGCCCAGGTGGGGAGGGGGCAGCGGAGACCCCTCCCCCACCCCAGGATCCCCCTCCCATCTTTGTCTTCCTCCCCCCCCCCCCATTCACTGAAGGTGCTCCCCAAATTTCTGGGGGTCCCTGGGGGGGTCCCTGACCCCACCCGGGGGTGCCGGATGGGATTTCTGAAGGACCCCAGACCCATTTTCAGGTTCCCCATTCCCAGCTGAGTGAAGGTTTTGGGGTGTCCCCCTCCTCTGACGTCACGCGGGATCCCTTTTTGGGGTGTCCCCTTCCTCTGACGTCACCCGGGATCCCTTTTTGGGGTGTCCCCTTCCTCTGACGTCACCCGGGATCCCTTTTTGGGGTGTCCCCCTCCTCTGACGTCACTCGGGATCCCTTTTTGGGGTGTCCCCCTCCCATGACGTCACCCGGGATCCCTTTTTGGGGTGTTTCTCCCGGTTTTTCGGGGGTTTCCCGGTTTTTTTTTGGGGGGGGGGACCCCGTTCGGGGCTCGCCCCCGGTCCCGGGGGGGTCGCGCGTGATGGAAATAAATGAAAAGAAAAGAATTTGAGTCAAAACCTCGGGAGTGACGCGCCCGGGGGGTCTGGACCGGGGACACCGGAGGGGACACCGGGACCGTGCTCCGGGGACAGCGGCAGCCCCCGGTACCGGTACCGGTGTTTGGGGGGGGTGGGTCACGGGGGTCGAGGGGAGCACCGGAGCGGGGTGTCCGGCGGGGTTAGGACCGTGGGGGTGATGCCGGTGGGTGGCTCCGGTGTCACGGTCCGGGAATACCGAGGACCGACAGCGGGGACCGGCCCCGGTGTGGCCGCGGTGCCGGTGCTGGGGTTGGGGAGGTTGAGTGGGACGGGGGTGGCGGGGCTGGGGGTTGTGAGTTGGGAGCGTTGCTGCAGGGTTGAGCCCAGGAGGATGGCGGAGAACCAATGGCGGAGGGAGGAGCAGAACGACCGGTCCCGGTGGCGTCCCGGTACCGAAATTCCGCGCCGCCATCTTCCGCCTACAACCCCCATCACCCCCCGCGCGCCGCTTCCGCTCTCACACCCCACCCCTTCTCGCGAGAGCCGCGCTGCACGCCGGGAGTCGTAGTCCGCAGCGTGAGGTGGGCGCGGCGTAGCACGCACCCTTCCGGGGGGGTGATGGGAGTTGTAGTCCAGGGGGGCGTGGAGGACTGGCGTTCCCAGCGTGCCCCGCGCGGAGCCCGCGCTCTGCCCTGCTCGCGCCTCCGGTCTCGCGGTCCCGGGGCTCCCTCAGCACCGGGCGGGGGGGGGGCGGCTCCAGCAGGCCCGGGGGGGGCACCGGGAGGGCTCGGGGGGGCTCCCACCATGTCGGGAGAGGAGGAGACCACCGAGCTCACCATCGCCGAGGACCTGGTGGTGACCAAGTACAAGATGGGGGGGGACATCGCCAACCGTGAGTGCGGGCCGCGGTCGGTGCCGGCGGGGGGGGGAACGGTGAGGGAGGGGGGAGCGGGCGGGACCGAGCGACCCCCGCCGGTGGGAGACCCCCCGGGTTTGGGGGTCCGGGGCGCTGTTCGGGGGTGGGAACGGGTTGGGACCCCCCCAACACGTGTCCCGGTGTGACCCCCCCGGTGCTCGGGGCTCTCCCGGTGCCGGCGGGGCCCAGCCCCGCGCGGCCGCCGCCGCCGGCACGTGGTACCGCGCCCCACGTGCACCGGCGGCGCGGGGGGAGCGGGGCCGGGCCGGGCCTGCCGCTGCCCCGAACCCTCCCGGTGCCGCTTTGTTCCGCTGTGACCCACACACACGTACCGGGGCTCCTCTCCGGTGCCGGTTGGCGGCGCGGACGGGAGTCCCGGGGAGGGCGGCCCTGGCTGGGTTTGGGGGGTGGGGGCTGTCCCGGGAACGGGGTCCGGTACTGGGAATTGGGGTCCGGTTCTGAGAACGAGATCCTGTCCCGGGAACGGGATCCGGTACTGGGAATGGGGTCCCGAACCGGTCTGGGGGTCCTGTCCCGGGAACGGGGTCCGGTACTGGGAATTGGGGTCCGGTACTGGGAATGGGGTCACGAACCGGGCACGGAGCTCCTGTCCCAGTCCAGGATGTGGATCGTGACCCGGTAACGGGGTCCGGTACCGGGCACGGGGCTCCTGTCCCGGTCCAGGATGTGGATCCTGACCCGGTAACGGGGTCCGGTACCGGGCACGGGGCTCCGGCCGCCTCGCTCCCCTCCCTTTTCCCTTTCCCGGTTATTTTCCCACCCCTTTCCCCGCCGTTCCCGGTGTCCCGGCTCCGGGAAGCCGCCCGGACCGGTTCCGCGGGGCTCCCGGTGTCCCGCCCCGCTTCCTGCTGACTCCAGCGCTTCTTTTGAACCGGAGCCGGTGGCCCGGGAGGGGATTTGGGGATTTGGGAGCCGGGATTCCCTTCGGGCTCCTGGGCGAACTGGAAATTCGGCCGCCTCCCTTCCCGGGGGGAAAGGCAGCTCCACTCCCCAGAGCAAACACCGGCAAAAAACCCTTTTATTAGGGATAAAAATCAGTTTTTTAGGGATAAAAATCAGTTTTTTAGGGATAAAAATCAGTTTTTTTAGGGATAAAAAGTGCCTTAACTCCCTAAAAAACATCGGGAAGGAGGGAGGGATTCCAGGAATGTTCCTGTTCCTCTGATCTCTTGGAATGCTCCGAGGGTTTTGCACCTTTATCTGCTTTTATTTTTATTTTTTTGTTCCTGTTTTTTTTATTCCCCGCCGGCTCTTATCGGGAATGTTATCCTTGCTTTGAAATATTCCCAACTTTCCCGTGGAAAAAGGGGCTGGAATGTGAAGGCCTCGCGCAGGTGACAGGGCCACAGCATTCCCGAGGATTCCTTGGAATCCTGAGGAACTTGGGACAGAGAGGGGAACGGGAGGGGACATTCCAGGATCCCAGGACATTTTGGGGTCCCATCCCAGGACATTTTGGGGTCACATCCCAGGATATTTTGGGGTCACATCCCAGGATATTTTGGGCTTCCATTCCAAAATCCCAGAATATTCTAGGATCCCATTCCAGAATATTTTGAAGTCCCTTTCCAGGATCCCAGAATATTTTGGGGGTCCCTTTCCAGAATCCCAGGATATTTTGGGGGTCCCTTTCCAGAATCCCAGGATATTTTGGGGTCCCATTCCAGAATCCCAGGATATTTTGGGGTCCCATTCCAGAATCCCAGGATATTTTGGGATCCCATCCCAGGACATTTTGGGGTCCCATTCCAGGATCCCAGATATTTTGGGATCCCATTCCAGAATCCCAGGATGTTTTGGGATCCCATCCCAGGATATTTTGGGGACACCTTTTTCCCTAAGAAGGCACGATGCGGGCTGGAATTCCTGGTGGTTTTTTTTTTAATTTTTTTTTTTTTTGGGGCGTGGAGCATTCCCCAAACTTCCTGAGGCTGTGTCAGCACCTGGATCCCTTTGGAAGATTCCTTGGATTCCATGGAATGGCTTTGATGTCTCCCAGTCATTCCCAAACCTGTTCCGGAGGAATTTGGCAGCGTGGCACTCCCTCATCCCAAAAACCATTCCCAAATAAATTAATTCCTGCAGGATTTACGCTTTTCCTGGTGTGGAATTTTGGGAAAACGAGTTGAGGTGTTGGGTTTGGGGATTGTGGATGGGTGGGATGGATTTTTTTGGGAATTTTTGTTGGGAATTCCAGGGGTTCTGCGTGCCGTGGTGGAGGCGGCGGCTCCCGGCGCGTCCGTGCTGTGCCTGTGCGAGAAGGGCGATGCCATGATCATGGAAGAGACGGGGAAAATCTTCAAAAAGGAAAAAGAAATGAAAAAAGGTGAGGAATTTCTCATCTGGGAACGAAAAATTCCGTGTTTTTTTCCGCGATTTAAACTCAAATCTTCCTCCCTGCTGAGCCTCAGTTTCCAGTTTTTATGGATCCATTGGGAAAAGGTGGGTGGAATGGAGCTTTAATCATCCAAAATCCCAAAATTTGAGGTGCTGGAAGGAAGTTTAGGTGGAATATTGGGAAGAAATTCTTCTCTGGGAGGTTCTGGAATGGAATTCCCATCCCAGGATATTTTGGGGATAGGCCAGGTTGGAGCAGCCTGGGATGGGGGAAGGTGTCCCAGGAGGGTGGGATGGAGCTTTAATCATCCAAAATCCCAAATTTTGAGGTGCTGGAAGGAAGTTTAGGTGGAATATTGGGAAGAAATTCCTCTCTGGGAGGTTCTGGAATGGAATTCCCATCCCTGCGAAGTGATCCCATTCCAGGATCCCAGGATATTTTGGGGTTGGAGCAACCTGGGATGGGGAAAGATGTCCCAGGAGGGTGGGATGGAACTCTAAGGACCCCTAAATCCCAAAACCTTCCCCAAATCCATGGTTTTTTCCCCAGGAATCGCCTTCCCCACCAGTATATCCGTCAATAACTGCGTGTGTCACTTCTCCCCGCTCAAGAGCGACCAGGATTACATCCTCAAGGACGGGGATCTGGTCAAAATGTGAGTGCCTGCATCCCATTCCATGGGAATTCCCTCTCCCTTCCCAAATTCCCAACGTTCTTCCTGCTGCCGGGACCTGTCCGACCACCCCACGTTTGTACCACGTTAATTCCTTGTTAATTAACACTTAATAACGAGCCTGGAGGGGCTCCTGGGGCACCATTCCCAGTTTGGCAATCCCAGTTCCCATCACCTTTCCCAGTTTCTCATTCCCAGTTTCTCATTCCCAGTTTCTCATTCCCAGTTTTCCATTCCCGTTTTTCCATTTCCAGTTCCCATTCCCATTCTTATTCCCAGTTCCCATTCCCAGTTCCTATTCCCAGTTTCCCAGTTCCAATCCCCATTCCCACTTTTCCATTCCCACTTTCCCGTTCCCAGTTTTCCAGTTCCAGTTCTGATTCCCAATTCCCAGTTTCCCAATTCCCAGTTTCCCAACTCCCAGTTTCCCATTCCCAATTTCCCTTTCCCAGTTTCCCAGTTCCGATCCCCATTCCCAGTTTCCCATTCCCAGTTTCCCATTCCCAGTTCCCATGCCTAATTTCCCATTCCCAGTTTCCCATTCCCAGTTTCCCATTCCCATTCTTACTCCCAGTTCCATTCCCCATTCTCATCCCCATTCCCGGATTCCCATTCCCAGTTTCCCATTCCCAATTTCCCTTTCCCAGTTTCCATTCCCAGTTTCCCAGTTCCAGTCCCCATTCCCAGTTTTCCATTCCTATCCCAGTTCCCAGTTTCCCATTCCCAGTTCCTGTTCCCATTCTTATTCCCAGTTCCGATCCCCGTTCCCAGTTTTCCCATTCCCAGTTTTCCCATTCCCAGTTTCCCATTCCCAGTTCCTGTTCCCATTCTTATTCCCAGTTCCGATCCCAGTTTCCCAGTTTCCCATTCCCAGTTTTCCATTCCTATCCCAGTTCCCAGTTTCCCATTCCCAGTTTCCCATTCCCATTTTTATTCCCAGTTTCCCATTCCCAGTTTCCCATTCCCAGTTCCCCATTTTCCCACTGTTTTGTTGTGCTGGTGCCTCTGGAATTCCCGGAATTCCCGGAATTTTCCCCTCTCTCTCTCTCTCTCTCCCCGCAGCGATTTGGGCGTGCACGTGGACGGTTTCATCGCCAACGTGGCGCACAGCCTGGTGCTCGGCGCCTCCAAGGTGGGTTTGTCATCGGGGGGTGTCTCCTCGGGGTGCCAGGGAGCTCCTGGATCCTGGTGGCACCAGCCTGGAACCTTTGGATCCATGGTGACACCATCCTGGAGCTCCTGGATCATGGTGGCACCAGCCCGAAATCTCTGGATCCGTGGTGGCACCATCCTGGAGCTCCTGGATCATGGTGGCACCATCCCAAAATCTCTGGATCCATGGTGGCACCAGCCTGGAGCTCCTGGATCCATGGTGGCACCAGCGTGGAGCTCCTGGATCCATGGTGGCACCATCCCGAAATCTCTGGATCCGTGGTGGCACCACCCTGGAGCTCCTGGATCCATGGTGGCACCATCCCAAAATCTCTGGATCATGGTGGCACCATCCTGGAGCTCCTGGATCCTGGTGGCACCATCCCGAAATCTCTGGGATCCATGGTGGTGCCAGTCCTGGAGCTCCTGGATCCATTGTGGCACCATCCCAAAATCTCTGGATCCATGGTGGCACCATCCTGGAGCTCCTGGATCCGTGGTGGCACCATCCCAAAATCTCTGGATCCGTGGTGGCACCATCCCAAAATCTCTGGATCCATGGTGGCACCACCCTGATCCTTGGCAAGGCAGTTTCTGCTTCCCCTTTTTTCCTGCTGGAATTCCCAGGATAAACATTCCCTACCCCAAATCCAGTCCCTGCTTCCCAAAACCAATCCTTGTTTCCTCTTTTTCCTCCTAGAATTCCCTGGATAAACATTCCCTGCTTCCCAAAAATCAGTCCTTTATTTCCCTTTTTTTCCTCCTGGAATTCCCAGGATGAACATTCCCATTTTCCACCCCAAAACCAGTCCTTGCTTCCCAAAAATCAATATTTTTTCCCTTTGTTTCCTCCTGGAATTTCCAGGATGAACATTCCCCTTTTTCCTGCTGGAATTCCACAGAATGAACATTCCCTGCTTCCCAAAAATCAATTTTTTTCCCCCATTTTTCCTCCCGGAATTCCCAGGATGAACATTCCCATTCCCCACCCCAAAACCAATCCTCGCTTCCCACTTTTCCTCCTGGAATTTGCCCAGTCTGACACCTTGGGAATTCCTGAATTCCTCTAAGTTATCCCATCCTCTGGGAATAAATCCCGAGGGGGGAAAAAAACCCCCAAAATCTGGGAAATTTGGGGGAAAAACCGACTTGGGAATGGTTTTACTCCAGTGATTTTGGGGGGAAAAACCCAAAATTCCCCATTGGAATTTCGCCGGACTCATCCCAATGCCTGGAAATCCTCTGGAATTCTTTTGGGGGTGGTTGATGGGGAGGATTTTTCCACCTCCCAGCCAAATCCCAGGGATTGGATTAAATCCCAAACTTTGAATCCTGACCCCTAAACCCTCAGAAATCCCAAATTTCCCAGGAAATCCCAAATTTTTTTCCCAGGAAAATCCCGTGTCCGGCCGCAAAGCCGACGTCATCAAGGCGGCTCACCTGTGTGCCGAGGCCGCCCTGCGCCTGGTGAAACCCGGCAATCAGGTGGGAATTTCGGCCATTTTGGGGAATTTTCGGCTATTTGGGAATTTTGGGCGTCAGCACAATAATTTTGGGAATTCTAGGACCCAACCTGCGGGTTTTTGTGGGGGGGATCTCTGTGGAAAATCGCTTTTTCCCGTTTTTTTATTTTTTTAATTTTTATTATTTTTCAGAGGTGTGGAAGCAGCTGCTGGGTTGGGGTTTTTTCCTAAAATATTTGGTATTTAAGGAAAGCTTGAGGCAGGGATTTTTTTGTCCATAAAATGTTTTTTTTTTGGGTTTATTTATGGGTTTTTTTGTTGTTGTTGTTGGTGTCCCAGAACACGCAAGTGACGGAGGCCTGGAATAAAATCGCCCACGCGTTCCACTGTACGCCCATCGAAGGTGAGGGAAAAAGGGAATTCCAGGGAAAAGGGAATTCCAGGGAAAAGGGAATTCCAGGGAAAAGGGAATTTCAGGAAAAAAAGGATCCAGGGAAAGGGGATAAAGGGAAAAAGGAATTCCAGGGGAAAAGGAAAAAGGGATTCCAGGAAAAAGGGGATTCCAGGGGAAAAAAGATCCAGGAAAAGGAATTCCAGGGAAAAGGGATAAAGGGGGAAAAAGGGAATTCCAGGGGGAAAAGAGAATTCCAGGGGAAAAAGGGAATTCCAGGGAAAAGGGATAAAAGGGAAAAAGGAGTCCAGGAAAAGGGAATTCCAGGGAAAAAAAAAGATCCAGGAAAAGGAATTCCAGAGAAAAGGGATAAAGGGGGGGGAAAAAGAATTCCAGGAAAAGGGGATTTCAGGGAAAAAGGATTCCAGGGAAAAGGGAATTCTAGGAGGGAATTCTAGGGGAAAGGGAATTCCGGGGAAAGGGAATTCCGGGGAAAGGGGATAAAGGGGGAAAAGGGAATTCCAAAAAAAAGGAGATTCCAAGGAAAAGGGATCGGGGGATGGCTGGGAAGGCTCTGGGGTTGCTGAATTGGGATCCTCTCACTGGTTAAATTCCCTGGAATTCCGGGAATTGCTGCTGCCGGGAGTGGGCCGGGAATGCCGGGAATGTTGGGAATGTTGGGAATGTTGGGAATGCCGGGGGCTCTTCCCAGGATCGGCCTCCTGGGAGTGAGGGGTGGGAAAATCCCCCAAAACCCCCCCCCCGGGTCCCGCACGGCCCTGGGGGGCACCGGGGCTCCCAGTACAGACCAGTACAGACCAGTACAGCCCAGTCCAACCCAGTCCAGACCCGTCTAATCCAGTCCGTCCCAGTCTGGCCCAGTCTGTCCCAGTCCATCCCAGTCCATCCCAGTCCATCCCAGTCTGTCCCAGTAACCCCAATCCATCCCAGTAACCCCAGTCCGTCCCAGTCCATCCCAGTCTGTCCCAGTCTGGCCCAGTCTATCCCAGTCTGTCCCAGTAACCCCAGTCCATCCCAGTCCATCCCAGTCCGTTCCAGTAACCCCAGTCCATCCCAGTCCATCCCAGTCCGTTCCAGTAACCCCAGTCCATCCCAGTAAACCCAGTCCATTTCAGTAACCCCAGTCCATCCCGGTCCATCCCAGTCTGGCCCAGTCTATCCCAGTCCATCCCAGTCCATCCCAGTAACCCCAGTCCATTTCAATAACCCCAGTATCCCCAGTCCATCCCAGTAACCCCAATCCATCCCAGTATCCCCAGTCCATCCCAGTAACCCCAGTCTGTCCCAGTATCCCCAGTCCCTCCCAGTCCCTCCCAGTATCCCCAGTAAGCTGTGCCCCCAGGGATGCTGTCCCACCAGTCCCTCCCAGTCCCTCCCAGTGCTCCCAGTATCCCCAGTGCCCCTCCCCGCAGGGATGCTGTCCCACCAGCTGAAGCAGCACGTGATCGACGGGGACAAAACCATCATCCAGAACCCCTCGGACCAGCAGAAGTGAGGGGCAGAAACGGGGGGCAGGGGGCAAAAATTGGGGGTGAAAATGGGGGGCAGGGGGCAAAATGGGGGGGTTGGGGGGTAAAAATGGGGGTAGGGGCAAAAATTGGGGGTAAAAATGGGGGAGTTGGGGTAAAAATGGGGGTAGGGGCAAAAATCAGGGGTAAAAATGGGGGAGTTGGGGTAAAAATGGGGGGCAGGGGCAGAAATGGGGGGTTTGGGGTGTAGAAATGGGGGAGTTGGGGGGTAAAAATGGGGGACAGGGGCAGAAATGGGGGGTTTGGGGGGTAAAAATGGGGGAGTTGGGGTAAAAATGGGGGGCAGGGGCAGAAATTGGGGGGAAAATGGGAGGGTTGGGGCAAAAATGAGGGGGCAGGGGCAAAAATGGGGTCAGGGTGAGAAATGAGGGGTCAGGGGTAAAAATGGGGGAGTTGGGGCAAAAATGGGGTTCAGGGTGAGAAATGAGGATTCAGGGGGAAAATGGGGGGTTTGGGGCAAAAATTGAGGGATTGGGGAAAATTATGGGGAATAGGAGGAAAAAGGGAAAATCAGGATGAGAAACAGGGGCTTTGGAAAGGAAGATTTTTTCCAGGAATATTTTGAGTTTCCAGGAATGCTTCGAATCTCCTGGAAGGTTTTGGGTTTCCTGGAAGGTTCTGAATTTCTAGGAATGTTTTTTTGGGTTTTTTTTTGGCCTTCCTGGAAGCTTTTCCCTTCAGAATTCCCAGATTTTCCTGCCTTCTCCCCCAGGAAGGACCACGAAAAAGCCGAATTCGAGGTGCACGAAGTCTACGCCGTCGACGTCCTGGTCAGCAGCGGCGAGGGAAAGGTCAGCCCAAAATCGAGGAAAATCCCGGGAATTCCCAGGGGCTGGGAGGGCTCCAGATTCTGGGAAACCCCCCAATTCTCACCCCAAAACCCCCATTTCTCACCCCAAACCCCATTTCTCACCTTAACCCCCAATTTCTCACTCTGACTTCTCTTTTTCCCCCTAACTCCCCCATTTTTCCCCAATCCCATTTCTCCCCCAACCCCATTTTTGCCCTGACCCCATTTCTCACCCCAAACCCCCCAAATTCTCACCCCAAACCCCCCCATTTCTCACCCCAAACCCCCCCATTTCTCACCCCAAACCCCCCAAATTCTCACTCAAACCCCCCAAATTCTCATCCCAAGCCTCCCAATTCTCACCCAAAGCCCCCATTTCTCACCCCAAACCTCATTTCTCACCTTAACCCCCAATTTCTCACTCTGACTTTCCCATTTTCCCCCTAACTCCCCTTTTTTTCCCCGATCCCATTTCTCACTCTGACCCCAATTTTTGCCCCAGACCCCATTTCTCCCCCAACCCCTCAATTTTTGCCCCTGACCCCCCATTTTCCCCTGACCCCACTTTTCTCCCAGACCCCATTTTCCCCCAATCCCATTTTCCCCCCGATTCCCCATTTCTCACCGCAGCCTCCGGATTTTTTGGGAATGTTTTGCAGGCCAAGGACGCGGGGCAGAGAACCACGATTTACAAGCGGGACCCCTCCAAGCAGTACGGGCTGAAGATGAAAACCTCGCGCGCCTTCTTCAGCGAGGTGGAGCGGCGCTTCGACACCATGCCCTTCACCCTGCGGTACTGAGCCCCAAATTCGCACCCAAACCCCCGAATTATCACCCAAATCCCCCATTTCTCACCCAAACCCCCCCATTTCTCACCCAAACCCTCAAATTCGCACCCAAACCCCACAAATTCTCACTCAAACCCCACAAATTCTCACCCAAACCCCCCAAATTCTCACCCAAACCCCGCGTTTCTCATCCCAAACCCCCAAATTCGCACCCAAACCCCCCAAATTCTCACCCAAAATCCTCATTTCTCACCCAAAATCCTCATTTCTCACCCAAACCCCTCATTTCTCATCCCAAACCCCCAAATTCTCACCCAGACCCCCCATTTCTCACCCAAATCCCCCATTTCTCACCCAAACCCTCAAATTCTCAACCAACCCCCCCCAAATTCTCACCCCAACCTCCTGTTTTTACCCCTCAAGCCCTGTTTTTGCCCCTGCCCCCGGGATGGGGCTGGAATCGCACCTGGGGTACCTGGAATCACACTTGGGGTACCTGGATGGGGCTGGAATCGCACCTGGGGTACCTGGATGGGGCTGGAATCGCAGGGATTGGAGCCTTTGCCGGGCAGGTGTGCTCAGGTGTTGGCTCAGGTGTGATCCCAGGTGCTCTCAGGTGTGCACTCAGGTGTGCCCAGGTGTACTCGGGTGTGCCCAGGTGCACTTGGGTGTGCACTCAGGTGTGCCCAGGTGCACTCAGGTGTGCCCAGATGCTCTCAGGTGTGCACTCAGGTGCCCTCAGGTGTGCCCAGATGCTCTCAGGTGTGCACTCAGGTGCCCTCAGGTGTGCCCAGGTGCACTCAGGTGTGCCCAGGTGCCCTCAGGTGTGCACTCAGGTGTGCCCAGGTGCGCCCAGGTGTGACGGAGGGCGGTGTCCCGCAGGGCGCTGGAGGACGAGAAGAAGGCGCGCATGGGCGTGGTGGAGTGCGCCAAGCACGAGCTGCTGCAGCCCTTCAACGTGCTCTACGAGAAGGAAGGTGAGACTCACCTGGGACAGGTGGGACACCTGGGGACAGATGGGGACAGGTGACACACCTGGGGACAGGTGTGCAAATGGGGACAGGTGGGACACACGGGGACACCTGGGGACAGGTGACACACCTGGGGACAGGTGACACACCTGGGGACAGGTGGGACACATGGGGACACCTGGGGACAGGTGACACACCTGGGGACAGGTGTGGAAATGGGGACAGGTGACACATCTGGGGACAGGTGGGGACCCCAGGGGACAGGTGAGACCCAGGGGACAGGTCCTGGCAGGGCCATAGCTCTCCCCAGGTCCTGGCAGGGTGGTAGCTCAGGGTCAGTCCCACAGGTCCTGGCAGGACAGTAGCTCAGGGCTCCCCCCAGGTCCTGGCAGGGCGGTAGCTCAGGGTCAGTCCCACAGGTCCTGGCAGGACAGTAGCTCAGGGCTCCCCCCAGGTCCTGGCAGGGCGGTAGCTCAGGGCTCACCCCAGGTCCTGGCAGGGCGGTAGCTCAGGGCTCACCCCAGGTCCTGGCAGGGCGGTAGCTCAGGGTTAACCCCCAGGTCCTGGCAGGGCGGTAGCTCAGGGCTCCCCCCCAGGTCCTGGCAGGGCGGTAGCTCAGGGCTCCCCCCAGGTCCTGGCAGGGCGGTAGCTCAGGGCTCCCCCCCAGGTCCTGGCAGGGCGGTAGCTCAGGGCTCCCCCCAGGTCCTGGCAGGGCGGTAGCTCAGGGTCAGTCCCACAGGTCCTGGCAGGGCGGTAGCTCAGGGCTCCCCCCCCAGGTCCTGGCAGGGCCGTAGCTCCCCCCAGGTCCTGGCAGGGCTGTAGCTCCCCCCAGGTCCTGGCAGGACAGTATCTCAGGGTTAACCCCCGCGTGCCCGCAGGGGAGTTCGTGGCGCAGTTCAAGTTCACGGTGCTGCTGATGCCCAACGGGCCCATGCGGATCACCAGCGGCCCCTTCCAGCCGGAGCTCTACAGATCCCACCTGGACGTGCAGGACGGCGAGCTCAAGGTGGGCCCTCATTAATATTCATTTATGCAAATTAGATGTCCCTGTAAGCATAAAATTAATTAAACTATTCATCAAAAAAAAAAATCAATATTTTATTCGTACCTCTTTGGTGTAATCGTCCCTTGTATTGATTATTAATAGTTAGATTTAAGGTTGGTTCCTCATTAATATTAATCATTCCCAATCAGATTATGCAAATTAGGTGTCCACGTAAGCATAAGATTAATTTGTTTCTGTTCCATATAAAATATTCATGGAGAAAATCAGTATTTTTTTTGTAACTATTACTGCTTTTGTTATTTCCCAATTTCTCTTTTCCAGGCCCTTCTACAAAGCTCCGCCAGCCGCAAGACCCAGAAAAAGAAGAAAAAAAAGGTAAAATTTGGGCAATTTTTCTGTTGGCAATTCCCAAAATTTGAAAATTGGGGTTTTTTTTCATGGGAAAAATCCCTAAAATATTTGGATTTTTCCTCCACAGGCTTCCAAAAACGCTGAAAACGCCACCACGGGGGAGACGGCGGAGGAGAACGAGGCGGGCGATTGAAAATTCTCAAATCGTCCTTTTTTTCCCCCAAAAAAAAAAATTTAAATTTTAAAAAAAATCCCCCCAAAAAAACCCAGAAAAATTCCATCTGGAAACAAAATAATTCGATTTTTTTCAGGCAGTTTGGAATTCCCACAAAATCCAACAGCTCCCGAGGAGGGAGGAATTTTTTGGTCAAAATTGAATTAAAACACCCCAAAAAAGCAGCAAAAAAAAAAAATAGTAGTGAAAATCGCTGTTAAATCTTAAATATTTCCCATATATTGAGAGGTAATTTTGGAATATTCATCCTCGTGCTGCTTTTTTTTCTTAATATTTGTTATTTTTTCCATTTGAAATTATCACCCAAAAAAAGAAAAAATTTAAAAACCAAATTATTCCACCCAGAAAATTGAAATAATTCAGGATTTTGTCTTTTTCATCTTTAAAAATTGGGAAAAAAAATTCAATTTTTATATAAAATTTAAGTTCTTCCTCCCACCATAACCCACCAGGAGCCTTTTTTCTGCCTTTGCCTTGATTTATGGGATTTCACAAAAAAATAAAATTTAAAAAATCGCTATTTTTTAACAAAAACTGGTTTTTAAAAATAATCCAAACCAACATTCCGACCTTGCGGAGTTAAATTCCTTAAAAGCCCGGGGTTGGGTGTTTTTTATCCTTTTTTAATATCCCCGACAGCAAATTCCAATTTTTTCCCCTGTAAACCAGAAAATAATTTAAATTTTTTTTTTTATTTTTTTCCCTCAACATTTTTTGCTATTTTGGGGGGAAAAAATAAAAATAAATTAAATAAAAACCCATTAAAATTCAGAATTTTTCAGGGGAAAAGTGAGGGAAGCGCTGATCCGGGATAAATCCGAGAACCGAGGGGTATCGCTATTTTATAGTCAATTTTTTACATAAAAAAACACAGAAAAAATGAGAAAAAAAACCGATTAAACGCTGAAAAGTTGAATATTTGTGGTTTTTTTTTTCTTTCTTGATACCTCCGGTTTATTTTTCCCACTTTACCCTCAATTTTTTGGGAATTCTGATTTTTTCCCGGGTTTTCTCCGCAAGCCGCGGTTTTTTTCCTCATCGGAATCTGAATTTTCCAGCCCGAAAAAATACAAAAAAAAAAAAAAAATATAAAATAAAAACTCCACACGTGCAAATGTTACCAAAGTCGAATAAAAAAAAGAATAAAGGATGCGATATTGGATTTTATTCCAGGTTTTTTTTTTTTTTAATTAATTCCGTTTTTCTCTGGGGATTTGGGATTGGGGGGTGGAAATGGGGTTTTTGTGGGAAAACATTTTTGAGGGAAAATAGTAATTTTTAAGGAGAAAATACTCAATTTTGAAGGGAAAATAGTAAATTTTGAGGGAAAATGTTCATTTCTGAGGGCAAAACACCCATTTCAGAGGGAAAATAGTAATTTTTGAGGGGAAAATATTCAGTTTTGAGGACAAGATGCTAATTTTTGATAGGAAAATCCTCATTTTTGAGGGAAAACAGTAATTTTTGTGGGGAAAAAAACCACTCATTTTTAAGGAAAAAACACTAATTTTTGAGGGGAAAACTCCCTCACTTTATGAAGAAAAAACGGATTTTGAGGGGAAAATGTAAAATTGATGAGAAGAGCTCATTTTGAGGGGAAAACCCCCTCATTTTGAAGGGAAAAAATCTACATTTTGGGGTAGAATTTTTCCTAATTTTAAGGGAAAAAGCCTATTTTTGAGAAAAAAAAAAAACTTATTTTGAGGGGAAAAAAACCAAATTTTTGAGGGGAAAAAAACCAAATTTTGAGGGGAAAACTCCCTTATTTTGAGGGAAAATAAATGTTGGGGGGGGCGGGGAAATTCGTTTTGAGGTAAACTCCCTGTATTTTGCAGGAGTAAAAATCTCATTGTGAGGGGAAAAAAACTTCTTTTTAAGGGAAAAAAAAAATCTAAACTTTAGATTTGAAAGCAGGAGACAGGAGCAAAAAGCTTTCCTAATCCTCAGCAAGGATTTGAAAACCGCAGAGAGTCACCGGAATTTTATTTTTCTATTTTTTATCTTTCATGCTACAATATAAATATATTTTATCTTTTTACTTGAAAGGAAATTCTCCGGAGAGGCTTGGGTATGCAACAACAATCCCGCTAAATCCCTGGATAAGCGAAAATTGACGAATAAAAAATTAAATTTGTTGTTTTTATTTAATTTATTTAATTGGGGGGGGGGGGGGGGGACCGAACCCCGCGGCGGCGCAAAATGGCGGCCAGCCGCGGGACTACAAGTCCCATGATGCTCCGGCAGCGAGGAACTACAATTCCCGCCGTGCTTCGCGCAGCGGTGGGCGTGGCTTGAGCGCTTCCCTATAAATAGGCCCCACCGGCGGCGCGCGCCCCTCTCGGTGCCGCCATCTTGGTGCCTTCGCCGGTGCCGCCGCCGGCATTCGCCTCCATCCGCCGCCATCCGCCGCTCCCCGCCCGCCGGGACTGAGCGGGGCTCCGCCGCACCGCCATGAGGGCCAAGGTGAGTGGTGGGGGGCGTCGGGGGCGGCGCGGGGGCGGCCGATGGCGTCCCGGTAATGTCCGGGCCTGGATGGGGTCGGGGGGTGAGGCCTGGACAAGCCCCGGGCTGGGGGAGGGGGAGGGGGGTCCCTGGGGGTGTTTTCGATGGGGGGAACTGGGAGGACTGGGAGAGAGAAGCGGTGTGGGACTGGGGGAGCTGGACCAGTTTGGGACTGGGGACAGAGCTAAACCAGTTCGGGACTGGGAGAACCAAACCAGTCCGGGACTGGGGGCACTGGAAGAACCAAACTGGTGTGGGACTGGGGGCACGGAGGGAAATAAACCAGTACGGGACTGGGAGCACAGGGGGCAGTGGTGGGAACTGGGAGCACTGGTGGGCACTGGTTTTTCTGGGGGCACAGCTGGGCACTGGGAGTACTGGTTGTACTGGGGGGCACTGGGGGGCACCGAGGGGAACTGGGGGCACTTGGCACTGGTTGTACTGGTTATACTGGGAGCACTGGGAATGCCGGCTCTGACTCCTCTCTCTTTCTCTCCCGCAGTGGCGTAAGAAGCGAATGCGCAGGTGAGAACCCCCGGTGCCCTCCCGGTGGGCTCCCGGTGCCCTCCCGGTGGGCTCCCGGTGCCCTCCCGGTGGGCTCCCGGTGCCCCCGGTGGGATCCCGGTGCTCCCGGTGGGTTCCCGGTGCCCTCCCGGTGCTCTCCCGGTGCCCCCGGTGGGTTCCCGGTGCTCCCGGTGGGCTCCCGGTGCTCTCCCGGTGCCCCCGGTGGGCTCCCAGTGCTCTCCCGGTGGGTTCCCGGTGCCCTCCCGGTGGGCTCCCGGTGACGCCGCCGCTCTGTCCGCAGGCTGAAGCGCAAGAGGAGGAAGATGAGGCAGAGGTCCAAGTAACGGCCGGGACCGGGGCCACGGCCCGGGGACGCCCCCGGTGCCCTCCCGGTGCCGCCCCGGTGCCCCGGGGCCCGTCCCGTTCTTTGCTTTGCGGCGGCCGCCGTGCCGTGAATAAAAATCGGTTGTTGCTAAAACGGTGTGGGGGCTGTGCCGGTAACCGGGGAGGGGCTGGGGGGGGAATGAACCGGGGATCTCCCGGTAATGGGGGCTGGGGGTGGAGCCGGGAGTCCCCCGGTAAAGGGGCGGGAATGAACCGGGGATCCCCCGGTAGCGGAGCTGGGGGTGGAACCGGGGATCCCCCGGTAACGGGGGCTGGAACGAACCGGGGATCCCCCGGTAAACGGGCTGGGGGTGGAGCCGGGAAATCCCGGTAATGAGGCTGGGGGTCCCCGGTAATGGGGCTGGAACGAGCCGGAGATCCCCCGGTAACGGGGTTGGGGGTGGAGCCGGGGATCCTCCGGTAACGGGACACCTGAGTGGGACCGGGGGTAGGAATTCTCCGGTAACGGGACACCTGAGAGGGACCGGGAATCCTCCGGTAACGGGACACGTGAGCGGGACAAGGGTGGTGATTCCTCCGGTAACGGGACGCGGGAGCGGGGTGAGAACCCCCCCGATAACGGCACCGTGAGCTCGCTCCGACCTCCCCCCGGCACCGGCACCTCCCGGTTCCTTCCGGGATGTCCCGCGCGGGGCGCTGCGCGCGCTCCCGCCGCTGACGTCACGGTGACGCAGTTCCGGCGCGCCGCCCGGTCCCGGCGCCGCGCGGGGGAAGCGGCACCGAGCGGGTCCCGCCCGCCGCCGGCACCGGAGCCGCCGGAGGCCCCGCGGGGAGGCCGCGCCCGCCGGTGAGTGCGGGACCGGGGGGGGCGCCGGGGCTGTCCCGGGGCTCGGTGCCGGTTCGGGGGCTCCCCGGCCGTGCTGCCCCGGTACCGGCTCCGGTGCAGCGCCGGGACCCCGCGGTGGGGGTTCCCGTCGGTCCCTCTGTGCCCGGTGCGGGTGTTCGCCCCCGGTACCGGGAGCGCTTCCAGTCCGTCCCTTCCCCTCTCGGTACCGGGGCCGCTCCCGGTTCCGTCCCTCCCGGTGCCCCGGGGCTGGGTGAATCCCCCCGTTCCCGGTGTCTCCCTCCCTCCCGGTGCCCCGGGCTGGGTGTAGAGCCCTTCCCCGTCACTACCGGGGTCCCTCTCTCCTTCCCGGTGTCCCGGGGGCGGGAGTCCCCCCATTCCCGGTCTCTCCCTCCCTCCCTCCTTCTCTCCCGGTTTCCCGGTGTGGGATTTCCCCCGTTCCCTCTCCCCATTCCCGTTCTCTTCCTCCCTCCCCTGTCCTTCCTTCTCTCCCGGTTCCCCGGGAGTCTCCCTATTCTCTCTCCCCATTCCCTCTCCCCATTCCCTCTCCCTCCTTCTCTCCCGGTTTGCCGGTGTGGGAATCTCCCCGTTCCCTCTCCCCGTTCCCTCTCCCCGTTCCCTCTCCCCATTCCCTCTCCCTCCCTCCCTCTTTCTCTCCCGGTTCCCCGGTGTGGGATTCCCCATTCCCGTTCTCTTCCTCCCTCTTTCTCGGTTCCCCGGTGTGGGATTTCCCCCATTTCCTCTCCCCGTTCCCGTTCTCCCGTCCCTCCCTCACCCGTCCCTCCCTCACCCCGTCCCTCCCTCCCCTCCAGCCATGCCGGACCGCGACAGCCGTGACGGCTACAGCACCGCGCCCCCCGCGGGCTGCGGCATCCCGGGCACGGGCGGCACCGGCGAGGACGCGTCGGGCGGCGGCGACGACGACGACATCTGCCGCGACTTCCTGCGCAACGTCTGCAAGCGCGGCAAGCGCTGCCGCTTCCGCCACCCCGACATCTCCGAGGTCACCAACCTGGGCGTGCGCAAGAACGAGTTCATCTTCTGCCACGACTTCCAGAACAAGGAGTGCGTGCGCCTCACCTGCCGCTTCATCCACGGCTCCAAGGAGGACGAGGACTGCTACAAGAAGACGGGCGAGCTGCCGCCGCGCCTGCGCCACAAAGTGGCCGCCGGGTTGGGTTTGTCGCCCGCCGATCTGCCCAACAGCAAAGAGGAGGTGCCGATCTGCCGGGATTTCCTCAAGGGCGACTGCCAGCGCGGCGCCAAGTGCAAGTTCCAGCACCTGCAGCGGGACTTCGAGCAGGGCCGGCGCTACGAGCCCTACGACGGCCTCTACGAGCCCGACGAGCCGGTGCTGAAGCGGCGGCGCGCCGAGGGGCTCTACGAGAGCTACGAGTACGGCTTCGGCAGCCCGCGCGCCGTGGAGTACCGGCTGCTGGAGGAGGAGAACGCGCTGCTGCGGAAGCGCGTGGAGGACCTCAAGAAGCAGGTGAACAACCTGCTGGCCACCAACGAGGTGCTGCTGGAGCAGAACGCGCAGTTCCGCAACCAGGCCAAGGTGATGACGCTCAGCTCCACGGCGGCCGCCACCGAGCAGACGCTGGCGCCGGCGGTGGGCTCGGTGACCAACTACAACCACGGCATCGCGCAGACGCACACCACGCTCAGCAGCCAGGCCCTGCAGCCGCGCCCCGTCACCCAGCAGGACCTGGTAGCCCCGGCCGGCGCCCAGGCCGCCCCGCCGGCCAACGCCGCCCCGCCGCCGCCGCCGCCGCCGCCCATGAACCCCGAGATCGCGCCGCTGTCGGCGGCGCTGGCGCAGACCATCGCGCAGGGCATGGCGCCGCCGCCCGTGTCCATGGCGCCCGTGGCCGTGTCGGTGGCACCGGTGGCCGTGTCCATGGCGCAGCCGCTCGGCGGCATCACCATGAGCCACGCCACCACGCCCATGGTCACCTACCCCATCGCCTCGCAGAGCATGAGGATAACGGCCATGCCGCACTGACCGCCCGCCGCCGGGGGGACGCGGCCGTTTCTCCGGTGGTTTCGCCGGTAACGGGAGAAACCCCCCCCCCGGTAACGTCGCCGCGGGCAGAGACCGTTGAGCTTGCTCCGACCCCAACACGGACCCGCGGACGTTGTGGGACTCCCTCCCCGGTGCCGGGAGCCCCGGGATGGACAGAGCACCGGGGATGGGGTGGGGGTGGCGGCACCGGGGCTCCCGGTGCGCTGTCGTGTTTTTGGCTATTAAAACAAACAAAAAAAAAGAAAACCCAAAAAAAAAGAAAAAAAAAAGCCCAAACCCACTCGGGCCCGGCTGTCCCGGTAATGCCGGGATGGGCTGGGGAGAGGGGGGGACACCGGAACGGGGAAACCGGGATGGGAATACCGGGACCGGACACCGGGACGGGGCCACGCCCCTCGCCGAGGCCACGCCCACATCGCGATCGGGGCGTGGTCGCTCCGCCCACATGGGCGTGGCCAAAACTTGGCGGTCATTCAGCGAGTGACGCGGGGGGCGTGGCCAGGAGCTGGCTGGCGTCCAATGGGCGGTGCGTGCGTGCGGAGGGGGCGTGTCCCGGGCTGCGCGGCTCAGCCAATCGGCTGCGCGTGCGTGCGCGGGGCGTGGCCGGGGCGGCGGCGGCGGAGCGGGAGCGCACCGGGAGCGCACCGGGAGCGCACCGGGAGCGATGGAGCGGCGCGGCGCGCCCGGCCTGGCGGTTCTGGGCGCTTTGGGCCGGCGGCTGCTCTGGGCTCTGCCCGCTTACGCCGCGGGGCTGCTGGGGCTGGGCGCGGGCGCCGTGGTGCTCGCCCTGGCGCTCTACGCGGGCTGGCGGCGGCGGCGGCGCTCCCGGGAGCGCGGGATGCGCGCGGCCGAGCGGCTGCAGCGCGACGAAGAAGCGGCCGTGCGCGCCGCCGCCGCCGCCGCCGGGCTGGGCGCGGCCCGCGGGGAGCTGCCGGCCTGGGTAAGCGGCGGCTCGGGAGCGCCCCGCAGCGCCGTTATCGCTCCGGGGAAAACCGGGCGGGATCCCCGCACCGGGCACCGCCCCTCCCCTCGGCGGGACTTGCGGGTTTTGGGAAGCGCAGCCGCCCCCGGTGGCACCTCCGGGGCACCGCTCGAGTTCCCCGCACCCCCGGGCGGGTCCCGGTTCCCTGCTCCGCTGCGGGCCCCGCTTGGCGCCCCCGGGCACCCCCGCACCCCCCCCCCGGCTCCCCGCCCCGGCGGGACCCCCGCCGCACCGAGCCCCGCTGGAGTTGTCCCCGTTACCGGGACCCCCGAGGCACCGCACGGTCCCCGGTGCGACCCCCGGGGCTGTGCCGCGCATCCCGCACCGGCCCCGCTGCGGGACCCCCCGGGATCCCCGGGCCGGGTCCCTTCTCTCTGCACCGGGACCCCCGGAGCCCCCCGGGATTCCCGGGCCGGGTCCCTTCTCTCTGCACCGGGACCCCCGGAGCCCCCCGGGCATCACCGGGCTCCTCCCGGTGCCGCTCTCCGCCCGTTCCTCGCGTTTCCCGGTGGGGCGGGGCAGCACCGAGCCCCTCTCGGTGCCGGCGGGAACCCCGGGGCGGGGATCGCCGCCCCACCGGGACCCCCCCACGCTGTCCCCGGGCGCAGTTCCCGCGCTCCGTTGCCCGCAGGGACCGGACGGCCCCGGTACCGCCCGGGCCTTCCGGCAGTGCCGTGACTCACCGGGCCCGGCGGGGCCGTTTCCTGCCCGGCCCGGGGGGGCCGTGGGGCCCCTCCCGCGGTTTGGGGAGGGGCCGGACCCCCTTTCCGGTACTTCCCCCCCGTTTTGGGGTCCGGACCCCCTTTCCCGGTACTTCCCCCCCGTTTTGGGGTCCGGACCCCCTTTCCCGGGATTTCCCCCCCGTTTTGGGGTCCGGACCCCCTTTCCCGGGATTTCCCGCCCCCACTTTGGGGACCCCCGGGAACGGGCGGGTGTTGCGGGGGTGGCAGCGGGAGGTTGGGGAAACTGAGGCACGGGGCCGGGAGGTGCCGCGCCCCCCCGAGCCCCGAACTCAAGACCCCCCCCCCCGTTCCCCCCCCCGTGCCCCCCCTTCCCCCGTTCCCGTTCCCCAGGTCACCTTCCCGGACGTGGAACGGGCGGAATGGCTCAACAAGGTGAGGGGCCCGGGGCTCCGGGGGGGTCCGGGGATGTCCGTGGGTCCGGGGCTCCGGGGCTCCGGAGAGGTCCGGGGGGGTCCGGAGGGGTCTGGGGGTGTCCGTCTGTCCGGCCCCCGCCGCTCCCGCGTTCTTCCCTCCCTCCGCCATCCCTCCCTCCCGTGTCCCACCCGTGTCCGTGTGTCCATGTGTCCATCCCGTGTCCATCCCGTGTCCGTGTGTCCATCACCATGTCCGTGTGTCCAGCCCGTATCCCACCCGTGTCCGTGTGTCCATCCCGTGTCCCACCCGTGTCCATCCCGTGTCCCACCCGTGTCCATCCCGTGTCCATCCCGTGTCCGTGTGTCCATCACCATGTCCGTGTGTCCCTCCCGTGTCCCACCCGTGTCCCACCCGTGTCAGTGTGTCCATCTACGTCCCACCCGTGTCCATCCGTGTCCCACCCGTGTCCTGTCCCACCCGTGTCAGTGTGTCCATCCCGTGTCCGTGTCCCGCCCGTGTCCATCCACGTCCCGCCCGTGTCGTGTCCCACGCGTGTCGGTGTCCCGCAGGCTCTGGCCCAGGCGTGGCCGTTCGTGGGGCAGTTCGTGGGGAAGGTGCTGCAGGACCGGGTGGCTCCGGCCGTGCGCGGCTCCAGCGCCCACCTGCAGAGCTTCGCCTTCACCCGCGTGGACCTGGGGCAGAAGGTGACCCCAATTCACCCCCAATTCACCCCAAATTCACCCCAAATTCACCCCGAATTCACCCCAAATTCACCCCCAATTCACCCCAAATTCACCCCGAATTCACCCCAATTCACCCCAAATTCACCCCCAATTCACCCCAAATTCACCCCAAATTCACCCCGAATTCACCCCAAATTCACCCCCAATTCACCCCAAATTCACCCCAAATTCACCCCAAATTCACCCCAAATTCACCCCCAATTCACCCCGAATTCACCCCAATTCACCCAAATCCCACCCAAAACCCCTGCTCCCCCGGGAGCCCCAAACCCCCCGAAATTCACCCAAAAACCCCCCAAATTCCCCCCAAATTTACCCCAAAACCCCCCAAATTCACCCCAAATTTACCCCAAATCCCCCCAAAAACCCCCGCTCCCCTGGGAGCCCCAAACCCCTCAAAATTCACCCCAAAATCCCCCAAATTCACCCCAAAGTCCCCTCAAAACAACCCCCAAACCCCCCAAAATTCACCCCAAAATCCCCCAAATTCACCCCAAATTTACCCCAAATCCCCCCAAAAACCCCCGCTCCCCCGGGAGCCCCAAACACCCCAAAATTCACCCCAAAATCCCCGCAAAACACCCCCCAAACCCCCCAAATCCCCCCCAGCCCCATAAAAAATCCCACCCTGACCCCCCCAAAATCTTACCCTGACCCCCCCACCCCAAAAATCCCCCCCAAACCCCCCCAAAAAATCCCCCCTGACCCCCCCACCCCAAAAATCCCCCCCCACCCCCCAAAATCCCCCCTGACCCCCCCCCCCCCCGCAGCCCCTCCGCATTTTGGGGGTCCGAGCCCACCCCGGCACCCACAACAAGCAAATCCTGCTGGACCTCAACATCAGGTGCGATTTTTGGGGTTTTTTTTTTTTGGGGGGGGGGTCTCTGCTGCCCCCCATTCTGAGGAGGAATTTGGGGGGGTCTTAATAACACCCCCCAAAAAAATAAATTGAATTTTGCCCCCTCAGTTACGTGGGTGATGTGCAGATCGACGTGGAGGTGAAGAAGTTTTTCTGCAAGGCGGGGGTGAAGGGGGTGCAGGTGAGGGGTTTTGGGGGGATTTGGGGATTTTTTGGGGTTTTTTGGGGGGGTTCCCGGCTGATTTTGGACCCCCCAAAAGCTTCACGGGGTGTTGAGGATCATCCTGGAGCCGCTTCTGGGGGAGGCGCCGATCGTGGGGGCGCTCAGCGTCTTCTTCATCCGCCGGCCGGTGAGTGTGGCACCCCAAAAATGGTGGGGGAACCCCAAAAATTAATGGGAACCCCCCCAAAAAAATTAATGGGAACCCTCTAAAAAAAGGAACGGGAATTGCCTGAAAAAAAGGAACGGGAACACCCGAAAAAAGGAGCAGGAATTACCCAAAAAAGACAGGACACCCCCAAAAAAAAGGGATGGGGACAACACCCCCAAAAAAATAAAGGGATGAGGACCCCACCCCCAAAAAAAGGATCCCAGAACCCCCAAAAAAGACCCCAGAGCTCCCAGTAAACACAGAGGATCCCCCCAAAAAGGACCCCAGACCCCAAAAAAAGGACCCCAACCCCCCAAAAAAGCCCCCAGACCCCACAGAAAAACCCCCAGACCCCCAAAAAAAACCCCCAGACCCCCCAAAAAAAGCCCCAGACCACCCCAGAAAGGCCCCCAGGCCCCCAAAAAAGCCCCTAAAAGGACCCCAGACCCCCCCAAAAAGGACAAATAAGGACCCCAGACACCCCAAAAAAGCCCCCAGACCCCAAAAAAGGACCCCAGACCACCCCAGAAAGGCCCCCAGCCCCCCCAAAAAAGCCCCTAAAAGGACCCCAGACCCCCCAAAAAAGCCCCCAGATCCTCCAAAAAAGCCCCTACAAGGACCCCAAAACCCCCCCCCAAAAAGGACAAAAAAGGACCCCAGACTCCCAAAAAGCTCCCAGACCCCCCCAGAAAAACCCCCAGACCCCCAAAAAAGGACCCCAGACCCCCAAAAAAGGACCCCAGACCACCCCAAAAAGGACAAAAAAGGACTCCAGATCCCCCAAAAAAGGACCCCAGACCACCCCAGAAAGGCCCCCAGAGCCCCTAAAAAAGGACAAATAAGGACCCCAGACCCCAAAAAAGGCCCCCAGACCCCAAAAAATCCCCCAGCCCCCCCAAAAATCCCCCAGCCCCCCTTTTCCCCCCCCATTGCAGACCCTGGACATCAACTGGACGGGGCTGACCAACCTGCTGGACATCCCTGGCCTCAGGTGACCCCCGGGACTTTTGGGGGACCCTCAGGGGAGGCTGAGGATTTTGGGGGACCCCCGCTGACCCCTCGGCCCCCCCAGTTCTCTGTCGGACTCGCTGATCATGGAGAGCATCGCCTCCTGCCTGGTGCTGCCCAACCGGCTGCTGCTGCCGCTGCTGCCCGACCTGCCCGGGGCGGCGCGGCTGCGCTGGCCCCTGCCCCGGGTGGGTCCGGGGGGTCGGCACCCCCTTTTGGGGGTCCCGGCACCCCCTGTTTGGATATTCTGAGCCCCACTTCTTCGTTTCCCCCATATTCGTTTTCTCACCCATTTTCCTCTTCTGACACCCCCTTTTTAGGGGTCCTGACACCCCCTTTTTGGGGATCCTGACACCCCCTTTTTGGGGGTCCCGGCACCCCCTTTTGGGGGGTTCTGGCACCCCCTGTTTGGGTATTCTGAGCCCTTTGTTGTTGCTGTTCTGATTCCCCCCTTTTTCGTTTCCCATATTTTCATTTTCTCCCCCATTTTCCCCTTCTAACCCCCCTTTTTGAGGCTTCTAACCCCCCTTTTTGGGTCTTATGAACCCCCTTCTTAGGGGTCCTGACACCCCCTTTTTGGGGGGTTCTGACACCCCTTTTTGGGGGTTCTGAGCCCCACTTTTTAGTTTCCTCCATATTCGTTTTCTCCCCCGTTTTCCCCTTCTGACACCCCATTTTTGGGGGTCCTGACACCCCCTTTTTGGGGGGTCCCGGCACCCCCTTTTGGGGGGTTCTGGCACCCCCTGTTTGGGTATTCTGAGCCCCCCTTTATCATTTCCCCCATACTCATGTTCTCCCCCATTTTCCCCTTCTGACACCCCATTTTTGGGGCTTATGAACCCCCTTTTTGGGGGTCCTGACACCCCTTTTGGGGCTTCTGATTCCCCCCATTTTCCCCTTTTCCCACCCCCATTTTCTTTTTCTGAACCGCCCCATTTTTGTGGCTTCTGAGCCCCCTTTTTCCCTTCTCCCCCCTTTTTTCCTCCTCTCCCTTCCTTTTCCCCCATTTTCCCCATTTTTCCCCCATTTTCCCCCATTTTCCCCCATTTTTCCCCTTCCCTTTCCCCTTTTCTGCTCCTTTTCCTCTCCCCCATCTCCCTCCTCCACTGACCCCTGGGTGACCCCTGGGTGACCCCTGTGACCCCTGGGTGACCCCTGGAACCCCTGTGACCCCTCAGTGACCCCTGGGACCCCTGGGTGACCCCTTGGTGACCCCAGGGCGTGGTGTGGGTGACCCCTGTGACCCCTGTGACCCCGATGACCCCAGGGCGTGGTGCGGGTGGCCCTGGTGGCCGTGTGACCCCTGTGTGACCCCTGGGTGACCCCTGTGACCCCTGGGTGTCCCCAGGGCGTGGTGCGGGTGGCCCTGGTGGCCGTGTGACCCCTGTGTGACCCCTGGGTGACCCCTGTGACCCCTGGGTGTCCCCAGGGCGTGGTGCGGGTGGCCCTGGTGGCCGTGTCCCCCCCTGGGTGACCCCTGTGACCCCTGTGTGACCCCTGTGACCCCTGTGTGACCCCTGTGACCCCCGATGTCCCCAGGGCGTGGTGCGGGTGGCCCTGGGTGACCCCTTGGTGACCCCTGTGACCCTGTGACCCCAGGGCGTGGTGCGGGTGGCCCTGGTGGCCGTGTGACCCCTGTGACCCCTTGGTGACCCCGATGTCCCCAGGGAGCGGTGCGGGTGGCCCTGGTGGCCGTGTCCCCCCTGGGTGACCCCTGTGACCCCTGGGTGACCCCTGTGACCCCTGTGCCCCCAGGGCGTGGTGCGGGTGGCCCTGGTGGCCGCGCGGGCGCTGCCCAGCAAGGACCGGTTCCTGGGGGGGCTGGTGGCCGGACACTCCGACCCCTACGGCGTCCTGCGCGTGGGGACACAGACGGCCACCAGCCGCGTCATCGGGGACTGCGGGGACCCGCGGTGGGACGAGGTGTACGAGGTCAGACGGACGGATGGACACGGGGATGGACAGGGGATGGACACGAGGATGGACAGATGGACACAGGGATGGACATGGGGACACAGGGATGGACACGGGGATGGACAGAGGGATGGACACAGGGATGGACACAGATGGACACGGGGATGGACACAGGGATGGACAGAGGGACACGGGGACAGGGGATGGACACAGGGATGGACACAGGGATGGACACGGGGATGGACATGGGGATGGACATGGGGACAGGGGATGGACATGGGGATGGACACTGGGATGGACAGACGGACACGGGGATGGACAGAGGGACACGGGGATAGACAGAGGGACACGGATGGACAGATGGACACGGGGACAGGGGATGGACATGGGGATGGACATGGGGACAGGGGATGGACAGACGGACACGAGGATGGACAGAGGGACATGGGGATGGACACAGATGGACACGGGGATGGACACAGGGATGGACAGAGGGACACGGGGATGGACACAGGGACAGGGACACCCCAAACCCCCCGGGTGGGACCCCTAATGGGGCCATGGGGACACCCCAAATCCCCGGGTGCGCCTGTGGGGACAGGGACCCCCCAAATCCCCCCGGGTGGGACATGGGGACCCCCAACGGGGCTCTGGGGACACCCCAAACCCCCGGGTGGGGCTATGGGGACAGGGACCCCCTAAACCCCCCGGGTGGGACCCCAATGGGGCTCTGGGGACCCCCCAAACCCCCGGGTGGGACATGGGGACCCCCAATGGGGCTGTGGGGACACCCCAAACCCCCCGGGTGGGACCCCCAAACCCCCCGGGTGGGACCCCCAACCCCCCCTGCCCCCCCAGTTCATGGTGCACGAGGTGCCGGGCCAGGAGCTGGAGGTGGAACTGTTCGACAAAGACCCCGACAAGGACGATCTCCTGGGCAGGTGAGGCCGTGGGGGGGGGGTCCGCACCCCCAAATTCGGGGGGTCCGCACCCCAAACCCGCCGCCCCCTCCCCAAATTCCGCCGTTCCCCCCCAGGATGAAGCTGGACCTCGGGGAGGTGCTGAAGGCGCGGGCGATGGACGAGGTGGGTGCGGGGTGGGGGGCACGGGGCGGGTTTTTGGGGTGCTGGGGTGGGATTTTGGGGTGCTGGGGATGGGGTGGGGGTCTGGCTGACGCCCCCTCCCCTCTTTTTCGCCCCCAAAGTGGTTCCCGCTGCAGGAGGGGGGGCAGGGCCGGCTCCACCTGCGCCTGGAGTGGCTCTCGCTGCTCCCCGACGCCTCCAAGCTGGATCAGGTGGGTGCCGGCGGAATTTTGGGGTTCGGTTGGGTCGGGAATGGGGGTCCCCCTTCGTCTGACCCCAAAAAATTCGTTCTCAGGTTTTGGAAATGAACCGAAAAATCGCGGCCAACCCCGACCCCCCCTCCTCGGCCATCCTGGTGGTGTACCTGGACAGGGCTGAGGGGCTGCCCGTGAGTTTTGGGGGGTTTTTGGGGGATTTTTGGGGGGTCTCGGGCAGCGCTCTGGGGGGGTTCAGAATTTGGGGACCCCCCCTGACCCCCCAGTTTTGGCGCAGGTGAGGAAAACAGGCAAAGAGCCCAACCCCGTGGTTCAGGTGTCGGTGCAGGACGTGACCAGGGAGAGCAAGGTGGGATTTTGGGGGGTTTTTGGGTTTTTTTGGGGGGGTTTTGGGGTTTTTGGGGGGTCTGATCTCAGCACCCCCCCCCAAGGTGGTCTGCAACACCTCGGCCCCCGTTTGGGAAGACGCTTTTCGGTTCTTCCTGCACGACCCCCGCAACCAGGAGGTGGATTTCCAGGTGAGACCCCCAAAAAAACACCCCAATTCCCCCCAAATTCCCCCAAATCCCCCCAAAAACCCCCCAAAAATTTCCCCAAAATCCCCCCCAAATTCCCTCAAATCCTCCCAAATCTCCTCTAAATCCCCCAAATCCCCCCAAATTCCCCCCAAATCTCCCCTAAATCCCCTCAAATCACCCAAATCCTCCCAAATTCCCCTAAATCCCCCCAAATTCTCCGAAATTCCCCAAAATCCCCCCAAATCCCCCCAAATTCCCCTAAATGCCCCCAAATCTCCCCTAAATCCCCCTGAATTCCCCCAAATCCTCCCCAAATCTCCCCAAAATCCCCTCAAATTCCCCCAAATCCTCCCAAATCCTCCCAAATTCCTCCCAAATCTCCCCTAAATCCCCCAAATCCCCCCAAAATCCCCCCCAAATCTCCCCTAAATCCCCTCAAATCCCCCAAATCCTCCCAAATCCCCCAAATCTCCCCTAAATCCCCCTAAATTCCCCTAAATCCCCCCAAATTCCTCCCAAATCTTCCCAAATTCCCCCAAATCTCCCCAAATTCCCCCCAAATCCCCCCAAATCCCCCCAAATTCCCCCCAAATCCCCCCAAAATCCCCCAAATCCCCCCTATTGTCTCCCCCATTGTCCCCCCATTGCCCCCCCACTGTGTCCCAAATCCCCCTTCGCCCCCCATTTCCCTGGGGGTGCCCGGCGCGGGGTCCCCCCCAAATTTTCGGCCCCAAATGCGTCCCCGCAGGTGAAGGACGACCCCCGGCAGACCCCCCTGGGGTCGCTGTCGCTGCCGCTGTCGCGACTTCTGTCGGCGCCGGGGATGGCCCTGGACGGGCCCTTCCCGCTGCGGGGCGCGGGGCCGGGGGCGCGGCTGCACCTCCAGCTGGAGCTGCGGGTGAGGAGGGGGCGAGGGGAGGGGGTTTTGGGGGGTCTTGGTGACCCCCAACCCATCCCCCCGACCATTGTCCCCCATTTCCCCCCCATTGCCCCCCATTGCCCCCCCATTGTGCCCCCATTGCCCCCCAATTTGCCCACCAATTTCCCCCCCATTGTGCCTCCAGCTGGAGCTGCAGGTGAGGAGGGGTCCCGGAGAGGGGGTCCCGGGGGGGGTTTGGGGGGTCTTGGTGACCCCCACCCCCATTTCCCCTCATTTTCCCCCCATTTTCCCCCCCATTGTCCTCCCATTGCCCCCCAATTTTCCCCCCAATTTTCCCCCCATGGCACCTCCAGCTGAAGCTGCGGGTGAGTAGGGGGCTCCTTGAGGGGTCCCGGGGGGGTTTTGGGGGGTCCTGGTGACCCCCAACCCATCCCCCCGACCATTGTTCCCCAATTTCCCCCACTCCCCCCCATTTTTCCCCCCATTTCCCCCCCATTTCCCCCCCATTGCCCCCCAATTTCCCCCCCATTTTCCCCCCATGGCCCCTCCCGCTGGAGCTGTGGGTGAGGAGGGGGCTCGGGCGGGTCCCGGGGGGTTTTTGGAGGGGATTTTGGGGGGTCCTGGTGACCCCCAGCCCCTCCCCCACCCTCAGGTGTTGTTCCCGGAGCCCCCCGAGGTCCCCCCGGGACAAGCGGAGCCCCCCAAAAGTGACCCCGAGGGACCCCCCCCCACCCCGCGCAGACCGAGCCGGGCCGGGCCCGACCCTCGGATGGGCAGCGAGGTGGGGAGGGGTCCTGGGGGGTCCTGGGGGGTCCTGGGGGGTCCGGGGGGGATTTGGGGGGGATTTGGGGGGGATTTAGGGGGTCCTGGGCGGTCCTGTGGGGGTCCTGGGGGGTCCTGGGGGGGTCCTGGGTGGGTCTGGGGGGGCTTGGGGGGTCCTGGGGGGTCCTGGGGGGTCCTGGGGGGGGTTTGGGGGGGTCCTGGGGGGTCCTGCGGGGGCTTTTGGGGGGTCCTGGGGGTGAGGATGGGGATCCCGGTGCGGTTCGGTGGTTCCGGTGGGATTTGTGGGTCCCGGTGGGGGTTCGGGGGTCCCGGTGGGATTTGGGGGTCCCGGTGGGATTTTGTGGGTCCCGGTGGGGATTTGGGGGGTCCCGGTGGCGGTTCAGGGGTCCCGGTGGGGGTTCAGGGGTCCCGGTGGGGATTTGGGGGTCCCGGTGGGATTTGTGGGTCCCGGTGAGGATGTGAGGGTCCCGGTGGGGTTCGGGGGTCCCGGTGGGATTTTGTGGGTCCCGGTGGCGGTTCGGGGTCCCGGTGGCGGTTCGGGGTCCCGGTGTGGGGGATTTGTGGGTCCCGGTGGCGGTTCGGGGTCCCGGTGGGGTTCAGGGGTCCCGGTGGGGATTTGGGGGTCCCGGTGGGGATTTGGGGGTCCCGGTGGGATTTGGGGGTCCCGGTGGCGGTTCGGGGTCGCGGTGGCGGTTCGGGGGTCCCGGTGGGATTTTGGGGGTTCCCGGTGGGATTTGGGGGTCCCGGGGGGGTCCCGGTGCCCCCCTCACCCCCGGTGCGCAGCGGGTGCTGCGGGTGCGGCTGCTGGCGGCGGAGGCTCTGGCGGCGAAGGACCGGCGGTTGGCGGGGCTGGTCCGGGGCCGCTCCGACCCCTACGCCGCCGTCCGGGCCGGGGGGCGCCGGTTCCGCAGCCGGACCCGGTACCGGGAGCTGAACCCGCGCTGGGACGAGTGCTACGAGGTGAGGGGAACGGGGGTACGCTACCGGGAAACGGGAAACGGGGGTACGGTGCCGGGAAACGGGGGTACGGTACCGGGAAACGGGGAACGGGGGTACGGTACCGGGAAACTGGGGTACGGTACCGGGAAACTGGGGTACGGTACCGGGGGCGGGAACGGGGGTACGGCACCGGGAAACGGGGAACGGGGGTACGGTACCGGGAAACGGGGAACGGGGGTACGGTACCGGGAACTGAGGTACGGTACCGGGAAACTGAGGCACGGTACCGGGAAACGGGGGTACGGTACCGGGGGCGGGAACTGGGGTACGGTACCGGGAAAGTGAGGCACGGTACCGGGAAACCGAGCCACGGTACCGGGGAACTGAGGTACGGTACCGGGGGGCGGGAACGGGGGTACGGTACCGGGAAACTGAGGCACGGGAGGCTCGGGGGGTCCTGGAAGGGGAAACTGAGGCACGGTACCGGGGGGCGGGAACGGGGGTACGGTACCGGGAAACGGAGGCCCCGCAGGCAGAGCGATGGGTCAATAATCGGAATTTTTGGGTTTTTTTGGGTTCAGGTGATCGTGGATGACGTCCCCGGGCAGGACGTGGAGTTCGAGATCTTCGACGAGGACATCGATAAGGACGATTTCCTGGGCCGGTGGGGTTGGGGTTTGGGGGTTTTGGGGGGTTTTGGGGGGTTTTGGGGGGTTTTGGGGGATTTTGGGGGGTTTTTGGGGGGTCTGGAAGGGTTTTGGGGGAAATTTTCGGCGAATTTTTGGGGAATTTTGCCGGGTCCGGCAGGGTTTTGGGGGGGATTTTGGGGGGTTTTGGGGTGGATTTTGGGGCGGTTTTGGGTGGATTTTGGGGCGGTTTTTGTGTGGTTTTTGGGGGGGTTTTGAGGGGTTTTTGGGGGGATTTTGGGGCGGTTTTTGTGTGGTTTTTGGGGGGATTTTGAGGGGATTTTGGGGCGAGTTTTTGGGTGATTTTGGGGGAGTTTTTGGGGTGTTTTTGGGGGTCTCACCCCTGCCCCCCCCCAGGTGCAAGGTGCCCCTGAGCAGAGTCCTGAGCAGCCGCGTGGTGGATGAGGTGGGGGAGGGGTCTCACATTTTGGGGGGGGTCTCAGGGATGGGGGGGTCCCACCAAGGGGGGGGTTTATTAGGGGGGGTCTCACCCCAGAGGTGTTTATTGGGGGGGGGTCTCCTCCGGGGGGGGTTTATTGGGGGGGGGTCTCACCTTTTGGGGGAGTTTATTGGGGGGGGTCTCACTGAGTTTGGGGGTGTCCCAAATGGGGAGGGGTCTCACACAGGGGGTCCCATCAATGGGGAGGGGTCTCCCAAAGTGGGGGGGGGGGGGGGCTCCCGGGGGGGTCTCATCAATGGGTGGGGGTCTCCCCAATGGGCGGGGGTCTCACGGGGGTCCCCCCCAGTGGCTGCCGCTGCAGGACGCCCCCTCGGGACGGCTCCACGTGCGCCTGGAGAGCCTCGAGCCGCGGGACAGCGCCGCGATGCTGCAGCGGGTACGGGCGGGGAGGGTCAAATATTGCCCAAAAATGTCAAATAGTGCCCGGAAAATGTCAAATAGTGCCCGAAAAATGTCAAATAGTGCCCTGAAAACAGCAAATCCGGCCCTAAAAACAGCAAATCCGGCCCTGAAAATGTCAGATAGTGCCCGAAAATGTCAAATAGTGCCCGAAAAATGTCAGATAGTGCCCGAAAAATAACACAAATCCGGGCTAAAAACAGCAAATACTGCCCGAAAATGTCAAATAGTGCCCGAAAAATGTCAGATAGTGCCCTAAAAACAGCAAATCCGGCCCTGAAAATGTCAGATAGTGCCCTAAAAACAGAAAATAGTGCCCGAAAAATGTCAAATATTGCCCTGAAAATGTCAAATAGTGCCCTGAAAACCCAAATCCCGTTACACCCCCGGTGTCCCGGTGCCGTTACACCCCCGGTGCCGTTACCCGCCGGTGTCCCGGTGCCGCAGGTGCTGCACTCCAACCGGCTGCAGCAGCCCGAGCACGGCCCGCGGCTCTCGGCTGCGCTGCTCCGCGTCTTCCTGGCCCGGGCGGCCGAGCTGCCGGTGAGCGGTTACCGGGGGTTACCGGGGGTTACCGGGGGTTACCGGGGGTTACCGGGGGTGGTTACTGGGGGTTACCGGGGTTACCGGGGGTGGTTACCGGGGGTTACCGGGGGTTACCGGGGGTTACCGGGGGTGGTTACCGGGGTTACCGGGGGTTACCGGGGGTCACCGGGCATTACCGGGGGTTACCGGGGTTACCGGGCATTACCGGGGGTTACCGGGGTTACCGGGGGTCACCGGGGGTGGTTACCGGGGGTTACCGGGCGTTACTGGGGGTTACCGGGGGTGGTTACCGGGGGTGGTTACCGGGGGTTACCGGGGGTCCCCAAATGTCACCGGGGGTCCCCAAATGGCCCCGAGGGTCCCAAAATGTCCCCAATGTCCCCAATGTCCCCAATGTCCCCCCAATGTCCCCAATGTCCCCAATGTCCCCAATGTCCCCAATGTCCCCAATGTCCCTGCTGTCCCCAGTGTCCCCGATGTCCCCCCAATGTCCCCCATGTCCCCAATGTCCCCCAAATGTCACCAATGTCCCCAATGTCCCTGCTGTCCCCAGCTCCTTAGGGGTTCCCGCCCCCCCGCCGCCCTCGTCAGTCTGACCGTGCGCGACGTGTCCTTCCGCACGCGGGTGAGGAGGGGGCGCGGGGGGATTTGGGGGGGGGTTGGGGGGGTTTGGGGGGGTTTGGGGGGGCTCGGGGGGTCCCTCACCCCCTCCCCTTCCAGATCTGTTCGGGGGGTGCCTCCCCCTCCCCCCCCCAGACATTTTTTGGGGGGTCCCTCACCCCCTTCCCCAAACCCCAAGCCATTTTTTGGGGGGGGTCTCCCCACCCCCTCCCCCCTCAGACCTTTTTTGGGGGATCCCTCACCCCCTCCCCCCTCCCCAGATTTGTTTGGGGGGTCCCTCACCCCCTTCCCCAAACCCCAAACCATTTTTGCGGGGGGTCTCCCCACCCCCTCTGTCCCCAGACCTTTTTCTGGGGGTCCCCCCCCCCCCAGACCATTTTTGGGGGGGGTCTCACCCCCTCCCCTCCCCCCCCCCCAGACCTGCGCCCCCTCCCCCGAGCCGGTGTGGGATGAAGGTTTCTCCTTCCTCATCCTCAACCCGCACGAGGAAACGCTGGAGCTGCAGGTGGGGGGGGGCACCCCGGGGTGCGGGGGGCACCTTTGGGTGCTGGGGGGGGTCCCACCTTTGGGTGCCAGGGTGGGGGTCTCACCTTTGCGGGTGTCAGGGTGGGGGTCTCAGTTTTGGGGGGTGTCAGGGTGGGGGTCTCATTTTGGGGTGTCAGGGTGGGGGTCTCAGTTTTGGGGGGTGTCAGGGTGGGGGTCTCATTTTGGGGTGCCAGGGTGGGGGTCTCACTTTGGGGGTCTCACTTTGGGGTCTCACTTAGGGGGTCTCACTCTGGGGTCTCACTTTGGGGTCTCACTCTGGGGTCTCACTTTGGGGTCTCACTCTGGGGGTCTCAGTTTGGGGGTCCCACTCTGGGGGTCTCACTTTGGGGTCTCCCCCGGGGGTCTCACTCTGGGGGTCTGACTTTGGGGGTCTCAGTTTTGGGGGTCTCACTCTGGGGGTCTCACTTTGAGGGTCTCACTTTGGGGTCTCACTTTGGGGGTCTCACTTTGGGGTCTCACTTTGGGGTCTCACTCTGGGTTCTCCCCCGGGGGTCTCACTCTGGGGGTGCCGGGGGGGGTCTCACTCTGGGGTCTCACTTTGGGGGTCCCACTTTGGGGTCTCACTCTGGGGTCTCACTCTGGGGGTCCCACTTTGGGGTCTCACTCTGGGGGTCTCACTTTGGGGGGTCTCACTTTGGGGTCTCACTTTGGGGTCTCACTCTGGGGGTCTCACTTTGGGGTCTCACTTTGGGGTCTCACTCTGGGGGTCCCGGGCAGGGGTCTCACTTTGGGGTCTCACTCTGGGGGTCTCACTTTGGGGGTGTCAGGGGGGGGGTCTCACTTTGGGGGTCTCACTCTGGGGGTCCCGGGCGGGGGTCTCACTTTGGGGGTCTCACTTCGGGGTCTCACTTTGGGGGTCTCACTCTGGGGGTCTCACTTTGGGGGTCTCCCTTTGGGGGTCTCACCTTTGGGGGTCTCACTCTGGGGGTGCCGGGGAAGGGTCTCACCTTTGGGGTCTCCCCCGGGGGTCTCACTTTGGGGTCTCACTCTGGGGGTCTCACTCTGGGGTCTCACTTTGGGGGTCTCACTTTGGGGGTGCCAGGGGGGTCTCAGTTTGGGGGTCTCACCTTTGGGGTCTCACTCTGGGGTCTCACTCTGGGGTCTCACTTTGGGGGTCTCACTTTGGGGGTCTCACTCCGGGGGTCTCACTCTGGGGTCTCACTTTGGGGTCTCACTTTGGGGGTCTCACTCTGGGGGTCTCACTTTGGGGTGTACCGGGGGGTCTCACTTTGGGGTCTCACTCTGGGGGTGCCGGGGGGGGTCTCACTTTGGGGGTCTCACTCTGGGGTCTCCCTTTGGGGGTCTGACTTTGGGGGTCTCACTTTGGGGTCTCCCCCGGGGGTCTCACTTTGGGGGTCTGACTTTGGGGGTCTCACTCTGGGGGTACCAGGGGGGTCTCACTTTGGGGGTCTCACTCTGGGGGTCCCAGGAGGGTCTCACTTTGGGGTCTCACCTTTGGGGTCTCCCCGGTCCCGCAGGTGCAGGACGAGGCCGGCCCCGCTCTCGGCGCGCTCCTCCTGCCGCTGGCGCCGCTCCTGGCCCGGGCCGGGCTCGGCTCGGACGGGTGGGAGCCCCTGAGCGGGGGGGGGCGGCTGCTGCTGCGGGCACAGCTCGGGGTGAGATGGGGGACCCCAAAACCCGCGGGGGGACCCCAAAACACGCGGGGGGACCCCAAAACCCGCGGGGAGACCCCGTGATCACCCCAAAACCCGCGGGGGGACCCCAAAACCCGCGGGGGGACTCCAAAACACGCGGGGGGACCCCAAAACCCGCGGGGAGCCCCCATGGTCACCCCAAAACCTGCTGGGACCCCTCCGTGATCACCCCAAAACCCGCGGGGAGCCTCGAGGATCACCCCAAAACCCGCGGGGAGCCCCCAATGGGCACCCGAAAACCCGCGGGGACCCTCGAGGATAACCCCAAAACCCGCTGGGACTTCCCGTGATCACCCCAAAACCCGCGGGGACCCACGAGGATCACCCCAAAACCCACGGGGTGACCCCAAAACCTGCGGGGAGTCCCCAATGGTCACCCCAAAACCCGCGGGGAGCCCCGAGGATCACCCCAAAACCCGCGGGGACCCTCCGTGATCACCCCAAAACCCGCGGGGAGCCCCGGGGATCACCCCAAAACCCGCGGAGACACCCCAATGGTCACCCCAAAACACGCGGGGAGCCACGAGTATCACCCCAAAACCCGCGAGGAGCCCCGAGGATCACCCCAAAACCCGCGGGGTGACCCCAAAACCCGCGGGGAGTCCCCATGGTCACCCCAAAACCCGCGGGGACACCCCAAAACCCGCGGGGACCCCCCTGGTGACCCCAAAACCCGCGTTAGGTGCTGGTGCCGCAGGAGTTGGAGCAGAGGGCGGCGGGGGAGGAGGAGGAAGGTGAGGATGAGGATGAGGATGATGAAGGTGACGGTGAAGATGAAGGTCGAGCACCGGGGGGGCTCCGCCGCCGCCGCCCCCCCGCGGACAGGTGAGAAATTCCCGCGGGTTTGGGGCTTTTTGGGGATTTTTGGAGGGTTTTGGGGTTTTTTTGGTGGGTTTTTGAGGTTTTTTTGGGGGGTTTTGGGTTTGGTTTTTTATGGTTTTTGTGGTTTTTTGGGTTTTTTTTGTGGGGTTTTTTTGGGTTTTCTGGGGGTTTTGGGGCTTTTTGGGTTTTTTTTGGGATTTTGGGGGGTTTTTTGTGGTTTTTTTTGTGGTTTTTGGGGGGTTTTTGGGGTTTTTTTGGGGGGGGTTTGGGTTTGGTTTTTTATGGTTTTTGTGGGTTTTGGGGGGGTGTTGTGGGGTTTTTTGGGTTTTCTGGGGGTTTTGGGGCTTTTGGGGTTTTTTTTGGTTTTGGGGGGGGGTTTGGTGGTTTTTTGGGGTTTTTTTTTGGGGTTTTTTGGGGGGTTTTATGGTGGTTTTTTTGGGTTTTTTTTTTTTTTTTGGGGGGGGGGGTTTTTTTGTGTGTGTTTTTTGTGGGTTTTTTTTTGGTTTTTTTGTGGTTTTTTTGGAGGTTTTTTTGTGGTTTCTTGGGGTTTTTTGTGGGGTTTTTTTGTGGTTTTTTGTGGTTTTTTTGTGGTTTTTTGTGCTTTTTGGGGTTATTTCGTTTTGTTTTATTTTTTGGTGTTTTTTTCTGTTTTTTGGGGGTTTCTAACACTCCGCCCCTCTCCCCCCCAGCCCCCCCGAGCCCACCGCGGGTCCCCGGCTGCGCCTCTCGCTGTGGCACCACCGGGAGCAGCGCAAACTCGTGGCCATCGTGCACGGCTGCAGGTGAGCCGCACTTTGGGGGTCCCCCAGAAGGATCCCCCAAATTTAAACCCCCCGGGGTGACCCCAAACCCCTCCCCAGAGAGCTGCGGGCGCCCCCCAAGGAGCTGCCGGACCCGTACGTGTCGCTGCTGCTGCTGCCCGAGCGCAGCAAGAGGAGAACGGGGGTGCAGAAACGGACCCTGAACCCCGACTTTGATGAGAGGTGACTTGGGGGGTCCCCCCCGGTTTTTGGGGGTTTTTTTCGGGGGTTTTTTTGGGGGTTTTTTGGGGTCCCAGCCCGGCTCGGTGTGCGCAGGTTCGAGTGGGAGCTGCCCACGGAGGAGGCGGCGCAGCGCAGGTTGGAGGTGACGGTGAAATCCACTCTGTCCTTCGTCACGCGTGAAAAGGAGGCGCTGGGCAAGGTTGGGGGGGTCCCGGGGGGCGTGGGGAGGGGTTTGGGGGGTCCCGGGGGACGTGGGGAGGGGGTTTGGGGGGTTTTGGGGGGTCCCGGGGGGCGTGGGGAGGGGTTTGGGGGGTCCCGAGGGGCGTGGGGAGGGGGTTTGGGGGGTTTGGGGGGTCCCGGGGGGCGTGGGGAGGGGTTTGGGGGGTCCCGGGGGGCGTGAGGAGGGGGTTTGGGGGGTCCCGGGGGGCGTGGGAGGGGTTTGGGGGTTTGGGGGGTCCCGGGGGGCGTGGGGAGGGGGTTTGGGGGGTTTGGGGGGTGTGGGGAGGGGTTTGGGGGGTCCCGGGGGACGTGGGGAGGGGTTTGGGGGTCCCGGGGGGCGTGGGGAGGGGGTTTGGGGGGTCCCGGGGGGCGTGGGGAGGGGGTTTGGGGGGTCCCGGGGGACGTGGGGAGGGGGTTTGGGGGGTTTTGGGGGGTTTTGGGGAGGGGTTTGGGGGTTTTGGGGGGTTTTGGGGGGTTTTGGGGGTTTTGGGGGGGTCTCGCTGAGGTTTTGGGGTTTTCTCCCCCCCCCGCAGTTGCAGTTGGATTTGGCGCGGGTGGATCTGAGCGAGGGGGAACCGCGGTGGTGAGTGGGGAGGGGGCGGGATTTGGGGTGGGGGTTTGGGGGGTTTTGGGGGGTCTGTGGGGCTGGAGGGGTCTGTAGGGTTGGGGGGTCTGTGGGGTTTGGGGGGTCTGTGGGGTTTGGGGAGGGGGTCTGTGGGGTTTGGGGGGTCTGTGGGGTTTGGGGTCTGTGGGGTTTGGGGGGGGTCTGTGGGGTTTGAGGGGGTCTGTGGGGTTTGGGTGGTCTGTGGGGTTTGGGGTGTCTGTGGTGTTTGGGGGGATGTGGGGTTTGGGGGGATATGGGGTTTGGGGGGATTTGGGGTTTTGGGGGTCTGTGGGGTTTGGGGGGTCTGTGGGGTTTGGGGGGTCTGTGGGGTTTGGGGGGTTTGGGGTCTGTGGGTTTTGGGGTGGGGGTTTGGGGGGTCTGTGGGGTTTGGGGGTCTGTGGGGTTTGGGGGGTCTCTGGGGTTTGGGGGGTCTGTGGGGTCGGACCCCCCTCATTCCCCCCCATCCAGGTACGAGCTGCAGGACGAGCGGAGCCTCCCCTAAATTTGGGGGTCCCCCCCCCAATTCCCACGGGGGTCCCGGGACCCCCCCCAAAAAAACCAAAGCCGGGCCGGGCCCCCCCCGCGCCCCCCCAAACTGTGCCGGACCGCGTGCCTTGAGACCCCCTCCCCAAAACCGGGGGGAGACCCCCCAAAAACCCCCCCAAAACCGGGGGGAACCCCCCCAAACCGGGGGTCGCTTGTTCGAGCTGCTGCTGCCACCGCCGGGATGTCCCCGAGATGTCCCCAAAAGGTGCCACCACCGGGATCTCCCCAAAATGTCACCGGGACATCCCCGGATGTCACCGGGATGTCACCGCCACGCCGCTGCCGTGATGCCACCGCCGTGCCACCCCCGGGATGTCCCCGAGATGTCCCCGGGCTGTCCCCGGGTGTCACCGGGATGTCCCCGAGTGTCACCGGGTGTCCCCGAGTGTCCCCGGGTGTCCCCGGGCTGTCCCCGAGTGTCCCCGAGTGCCACCGGGATGTCCCCAAGATGTCCCCGAGTGTCACCGGGATGTCCCCGAGTGTCACCGGGATGTCCCCGGGCTGTCCCCGCCGTGCCGCCCCCGCCCCGCTGCCACCCCCGGGCTGTCCCCGTCCCCCCGCGCGAATAAAACACGGAGGACACGGCCGTGGTGGCCTCACGTGGCCTCGTGGGTGGCGCTGTCCCCTCCTGTCACACCCACGGGTGTCCCCCGTGGGGGTGGTGGGTGGTCCTTGGGGTGTCCCCTGTGGGTGTCCCCCCAATGTGATGTCACCCGTGGGTGTCCCCGCCTGATGTCCCCCGTGGGTGGGTCCCGGGCGTTGCCCCCCGTGGGTGGGGGTGTCCCCCTCGGTTTGGGGTGTCCCCGTGGGTGGGTGGGGGTGTCCCCTCGGTTTGGGGTGTCCCCCGTGGGTGGGGCTGTCACCCGTGGGTGGGTGGGGGTGTCCCCTCGGTTTGGGGTGTCCCCCGTGGATGGGGGTGTCCCTGTGGGGGGTGGGGGTGTCCCCCGTGGGTGGGGGTGTCCCCGTGGGGGGTGGGGCTGTCACCCGTGGGTGGGGGGTGGCCGCTCCGTGTCCTTCTATAGCCAAAACTTTCCCCGCGGGAAAAGGGGGCGTGTCCCCGCCTGGCCCCGCCCCCTCTCATGAATAATTCATCGCCCTCATTACCGCCGTGACGCAGCCGCGCGGTGACGCCCGAACGCGCAGGAACGGACGGGAGCGGCCGCCGCCATGGTGGGCACCGGGAGCACCGGGATGGGCACCGGGATGGGCACCGGGATGGGCACCGGGATGGGCACCGGGACCGGGAGCGGCGCGGGGGATGCGCGGGCGGAGGGACCGGGGCGAGGGTCGCACCGGGGCGGGGGTCGCACCGGGGGGAAGTTGTGGCGGGAGGCACCGGGAGCACCGGGATGGGCACCGGGATGGGCACTGGGATGGGCACCGGGAGCACCGGGAGCGGGAGCGGCGCGGGGGATGCGCGGGCGGAGGGGCCGGGGCGGGGGTCGCACCGGGAGGCACCGGGAGCACCGGGCGGGCACCGGGAGCACCGGGCGGGCACCGGGCGCGGGCGGCCGCTCCATCGGCGGGGGATGGCGCCGCCGGTGCCCGCCCGGTGCTCCCGGTGCCTCCCGGTGCCCGCCCGGTGCCCATCCCGGTGCCCGCTGACCGCCGCGCTCTCCCCGCAGTGCGACTTCTCGGAGGAGCAGACCGCGGGTGAGTGACCGGCACCGGGCACCGGGCACCGGGAGCGGAGCCCCCCCAAAGTCGGGGCACGGCGAAGGGACCCCCCCGGCCCGGCCCCGCCGCTCCCGGTGCTTCCTGCGCGGCCTCGGGCGGGGCCTTTCCCGGGACAAAGTCCGGCCCGGGCGGGGCCGTTCGTACCGGGGGATGGGGGCTGCGGGACCGGGACGGGAACGGGGACGGGAACCGGGACCGAGAACCGGGACCGGGGGGGGTTCGGGCCCCTCTTGGCCAATTTGCCCTTATTTGGGCATGGCGCGCGCGGCCGCGCATTCCTGCGGGGCGGGGCCGCGGGTTCCGGTGCGCTCCCGGTGCCCCGGGACCCGCCCGGGCTCCTCCCGGTGCCCCGGGACCCGCCGGGCTCCTCCGCGATCCAGCGGCACCGGCAGCATCCCCGAGGGCGGGGGCCCGACCTGCATCCCGGCTGGCGTCGGGTTCCACCGGGAAACCGGATCGCACCGGGAAACCGGATCCCACCGGGAACCGGATCGCACCGGGAACCGGATTCCACCGGGAAACCGGATCCCACCGGGAAACCGGATCCCACCGGGGAGCGAAACCCGACCCGCGGCCGCAGAGGGAAGGGGGGGGTCTGAAGGAGTCCGGGGTCCCGGGGATGCGGCGCGGGGGTCCCGGAGGTGCTGAGTACCGGGGGTGGTCCCGGTGTCCCGGGGGTGGTCCCGGTGTCCCGGGGGTCCCGGCGGTGCTGGCTCGGTGGTCCCGGTGCTCTGGCGGTGCCGGTGGCCCGGTGGTCACGGCACTGCTGAGATTGAGGGAGGGTCCCGGGTGTGTTTGAAGTGGTCCCGGTGCCGGTGCCACGGGGCAGGTCCCGGTGGTCCCATATTGACCCGGGGGGCTCCCGGTGACCCCGTGCTGACCTGGGAGGTCCTTCACTGATCGAGGGGCTCCCGGTGCCCCCTCACTGATCCCGGTGCCCCCTCACCGATCCCGGGGTTCCCTCACTGACCCCGGTGGTCCCTCACCGATCCCGGGGGACTCCCAGTGCCCCCTCACCGATCCCGGTGGTCCCTCACCGACCCCGGTGCCCCCTCACCGATCCCGGTGGTCCCTCACCGATCCCGGGGGGCTCCTGGTGCCCCCTCACCGATCCCGGTGCCCCCTCATTGATCCCGGTGGTCCCTCACTGATCCCGATGGTCCCGGTGCCCCCTCACCGGTCCCGGGGGGCTCCCGGTGCCCCCTCACCGATCCCGGTGGTCCCAGTGCCCCCTCACCGATCCCGGTGGTCCCGGTGCCCCCTCACCGGTGCCGGTGCCCCCTCACCGATCCCGGTGGTCCCTCACGGTCCCGGTGGTCCCTCACCGATCCCGGTGCCCCCTCACTGGTGCCGGTGCCCCCTCACCGACCCCGGGGGGCTCCCGGTGCCCCCTCACCGATCCTGGTGGTCCCGGTGCCCCCTGACGGTGCCGGTGCCCCCTCACCGATCCCGGTGGTCCCGGTGCCCCCTTTACCGGTGCCGGTGCCCCCTCACCGGTGGTCCCGGTGCCCCCTCACGGGTCCCGGTGCCCGGCAGAGTTCAAGGAGGCGTTCCAGCTCTTTGACCGCACGGGGGACGGGAAGATCCTGTACAGCCAGTGCGGGGACGTGATGCGGGCGCTGGGCCAGAACCCCACCAACGCCGAGGTGATGAAGGTGCTGGGCAACCCCAAAAGCGATGGTGAGTTTTGGGTGGGGGTCCCCCCATTTCCCACCCCCCAAAACCCCCCAAAACCCCCCAAACCCCCCAAACCCCCCGGTGGGTGACGCCGGTGTCCCGCAGAGATGAACGTGAAGACGCTGAGCTTCGAGCAGTTCCTGCCCATGATGCAGACCATCGCCAAGAACAAGGACCAGGGCTGCTTCGAGGACTACGTGGAGGGGCTGAGGGTCTTCGACAAGGAGGGCAACGGCACCGTCATGGGGGCCGAGATCCGCCACGTCCTGGTCACGCTGGGTGAGCCCCCAGACCCCCGACAGCCCCCAGACCCCTGACAGCCCCCTGACCCACCCTGACCCACCCTGACAGCCCCCAGACCCCTCTGACAGCCCCCAGGCTCACCCTGGGTGAGCCCCCAGACCCACCCCGACAGCCCCCAGATCCCCCTGACAGCCCCCAGACCCACCCTGGGTGAGCCCCCAGACCCACCCTGACCCACCGACAGCCCCAGACCCCTTTTGCCATCCCCTGACCCCCTTTGCCATCCCCTAACCCCCCCTCTGCCATCCCACAGACCCCTCTAACAGCCCCCAGACCCACCCTGACAGCCCCAAACCCACCCTGACAGCCCCCAGACCCCTCTGACAGCCCCCAGACCCCCTTTGCCATCCCCCAATCCCCCCCTCTGCCAGCCCCCAGGGACCCCCGGGATGTCCCCCCAGACCCCCGGGATGTCCCCCCAGCCCCCCAGGGACCCCCAGAATGTCACCTCAGCCCCCCAGAGTGTCCCCTCAGCCCCCCAGAGTGTCCCCCCAGCCCCCCGGGGACCCCCAGCGTGTCCCCTCAGCCCCCCGGGGACCCCCAGCGTGTCCCCCCAGCCCCTCAGCGTGTCCCGCCAGCCCCCCAGGGACCTCTGGAGTGTCCCCCCAGACCCCCAGAATGTCCCCCCAGCCCCCCAGAGTGTCCCCCCAGTGTCCCCCCAGCCCCCCGGGGACCCCCAGCGTGTCCCCCCAGTGTCCCCCCAGCCCCCGGGGTGACGCAGGGCTGTCCCCAGGTGAGAAGATGACGGAGGAGGAGGTGGAGCAGCTGGTGGCCGGCCACGAGGACAGCAACGGCTGCATCAACTACGAAGGTGAGGCCCGGGGGTCCCGGGGGTCCCGGGGGGGGTCCCGGGGGGGGTCCCGGGGGGGGTCCCGGGGGGTCACCCGCGGCCCCACGCCCCTCCCTGACCATCACGTCTCGTTCCTTCCCCCCAGCCTTTGTGCGACACATCTTGTCAGGGTGACGCCGCAGGGGTAACGCCTCCCCCCCCTCGCCCCCTCCTCAGTTATTTCCAGTTTTTGGTTTTTTTGGTTTTTTTCCATTCCTTCTTTTTTCTTCCTGCCCTGCTGTCTTTTTTTTTTTTTTTTAATATATATTTTTTTAATTAAAAAAAAAAAAAGGCCGCCTGGTCCTGGTTGATGCTCTCGCCCCCCCCTTGGTGCAGCCCCCCGAGCCCCGCATGCCCCTCTGCATGGAGCCCCCCCTGCGTGCCAGGGTTGGTTTTGGGGAGGGGGCTGCAGGAGCCCCCCGGTGCCAGCGGGGCTGTCGGCTCCTCCCTGCGCTCTTCAGCCGTTTCACTTTTGGTTTTCCTGCCTCTCTCCGGGATTTTGGGGTGGGGGGCCGGCAGACCCCTCCTCACCCCCCCATTTCCTCTTTTCTCTCTGCAGAGCTCGTCCGGATGGTGCTGAGCGGCTGAAGACCCCTCCCCCAAAATCATTGTGTGTTCCCCCTCCCCAAAATCATTCTCTGTCCCCTCCTCACTCGATTTTGTGCCTTTTTCCCTCATTTTCCTGTCACCGCCACCACATCCCCAAAGCCCCCCAAAGCCCCCCCACTTCAGCCCCACCGGCTAAATTATTGCTCCACAGCATCCAAATAATCCAAATAAATTCTGGGAATGGTCGTTGTGCCCCCCACCTCGTGTGTGTGTCCCCCCAAATCCCACCTCGGACAGACCCAGCACCACCAGGCCGCTTCTTCCCGCCCCGGGGACTCGGAATTTTCGTTTTTATTGGTTTTTTAAAAAAAGAAACACCAACAGAAAAAAAAAACAAACAAACCAAAAAAGGGATGAGGAGGAAGAGGAGGAGGAGGAGGAGGAGGGGAAGGAGGTGGAGGGGGGTTTTTTGGGGAGGGGGAAATGCCCGTGTGCCAGGTGGGATCGGAGCTGTCTCATAAATAACCGGGGGGAGCAGCGGCCCGGCCCCCCCGGGAGACCGACACTTAAATAATAAAATTTGGGACAATCATAAAAAAATACCAAAGCTGTGGGAGGAGGAGGAGGAGGAGGAGGAGGAGGAGGAGGAGGAGGAGGAGGAGGAGGAGGAGGAGGAGGAGGAGGAGGAGGGGAGGGGGTGATGGTGGGGGCGGGAGGGGTCGGGCCGGGGGGCGGCGGTGCCGGGCCGGGGCTCACTGGGTGGGGGGCACGGGGGTGGCCGCGCTGGGGGTGGGCGCGATGGGGTCCGGCGGCATGGGGGGGCCTTGGTCTGTGGGGAGAAAACACACAAAAAAACGGGGTGTGGGTGTGGGTGGGGGGGGCACGGGCGAGCGCGCTGCTGCTGCCCCCTCCCCTCTATGCGCCCACCCCCCAAATCACCAGAATTCCCCCCCATTTCTCACCTGCCAGGCTGGGAAGGAGGTTTCCCTGCACGGCGGCCACGATGGCGGGGCTGTGCGCGGCGGCCGAGCCCCCCGGCGGCGGCGGCGGGGCCGGGTGGGAGTTGGGGGGCAGCCCCCCCACCCCCGGCATGCTGCTGGCCAGGGCCCCATGCGGCGGGAGCGGGGCCGGGGGCGCGGGGAAGGGGTCGCACGGGGGCTGAGCCATGCTGGGGGGCACGGGGGGCACGGGCGGCACGAAGGGCACGGCGGCATTACCGGGCACGGCGGGGTGGGCGCTGCCGCTGCTGCTGCCGGTGATGCTGCCGGTGCTGCCGGTGATGCTGCCGGTGATGCTGCCGGTGCTGCCGGTGCTGCCGCCGCCGAGCGGCCCCGCCAGGCTCTGAGAGGGCGGCGGCGGCGGCGGCTGCTGCCCGGGGAACGGCGCCGGGGCTGCGGGAGAGCGGAGGGAACGTGAGACCCCCGCCCCGTAATAGGGCACCCCCTGGAATTGGGGCTGCAGACACAGGAGAGACCCCCGCCCTTATCCCCACTCAATGTGGGGGCTCCGGGAGAGGGGAGAGAACTTGAGACCCCCGCCCCTAACCAGGCTCTACTCTGTGTGGGGAGAGTGCTTGAGACCCCCACCCTATTCCCACTCAATGTGGGGGCTGTGGGGACAGCACAGGTGAGACCCCCACCCTCAGCCCTGAGCAGCAATGACAGACCCCAGTGTGAGACCCCCACCCACCCCTCGGAACTGGGGCTGAAACCTGACCTGTGAGACCCCCACCCACACCCCCAGAGCACCGGGGCTGCAGGGAGAGGGTGTCAGTGACAGACCCCCACCCCCTGTGAGACCCCCGCTCACACCCCCAGCCCTTGGCAGCAGGTACAGCACCAGTGACAGACCCCAACACCGAGACCCCAACACCGAGACCCCCCCTCACTGAGCACCGGGGACAGACCCCAACAGCGAGACCCCTCCTCACCCCAACACTGAGACCCCCTCTCAATGAGCACCAGTGACAGACCCCAATGTGAGACCCCCCCTCATTGAGCACCGGGGACAGACCCCAACACCGAGACCCCCTCTCAATGAGCACTGGGGACTGCACCAGTGAGACCCCAACACCGAGACCCCCCCTCACCCCAAAACCGAGACCCCCCCTCACCCTGAGCACCGGGGACAGACCCCAACACTGAGACCCCCCCCCTCACCCCAAAACCGAGACCCCCCCTCATTGAGCACTGGGGACAGACCCCAACACCGAGACCCCTCTCACTGAGCACCGGGTACAGCACCACCGAGACCCCCACCCCCAAACCCTTTGGCCACCACCCCCCACAGACCCCTGAGCCCCCCTGAGCCCCCCAGCCCCCCACTGACCGTGCGGGACCGCCGGGGCTCCCGGGGGCGGCGGGGGCGCCCCGGGCAGGGGCTGCCCCGGGGGCTCGGGCAGCGGGTGGGCGGCGGGGGCCAGGGGGGCGGCGGCGGGCAGGGGCTGTGCCCCGGGGGGCAGCGGGGGCTGCTGCTGCTGCTGCTGCTGCTGCAGGTGCTGGAAGTGCTGCTGCCGCGCCCGCATCTCCGCGTACTTGAGCTGCTCCATGTGGAAGGCCTGGCGGTCGGCCAGCAGCTGCTGCCGCTGGTATTCCAGCTGCAGGAGACAGCAAAAAGGGGTTTAAATCACGGGGGTTTGGGGTTAACAGCAAAACGAGCTTAGCAGGCCCTGGGAAAATAAATACCTTTAGCAGATGGGGAACTAGTACTGCACTATGTGGCTAGTACGTGATAATTGATATAACTGTTAGATGGGACGATTGTTTAGTAATTAAATATAATTAGTTTAATCAGAAAGAATGTGAAATCATGTGAATCAGAAAGAATGTGAAATCATGTGAATCAGAAAGAATGTGAATCAGAAGAATCAGAAATCATGTGAAACTGTGGTCGTGGACCTAAGAGAGATCACGATAAACTCATGTCAATGACTTTATCGTGATAAATACAATAGGTAATACAACAGAACAATGTCAGTTTAATAATTAATGTGTAAGTTATGTAAGGATAGAGTATAAAATACTCTATTTTATATCAGCTCGAAAGCCGTGTCGGAGTCAGATCTGGGTTTGTTTGTTTGTACCCCGACTCCCAGAGCTCTCAATGAAAGCACTGCACGGAATCACGTCCCGTGATTATGTGTGAACCCGAACGCTGACACAGGGACACCGAGGAGGGCTTGGAGGGGCACCCAGGGGTGGGCACGAGCACCCAGGGGTGGGCACGGGCACCCAGGGGTGGGCCCGAGCACCCAGGGGTGGGCCCGAGCACCCAGGGGTGGGCACGAGCGGCTGCCGCCCTCCCGGGGCACTCACGGCCTCGCGCTCGCGGTCCATGATGGTCTCCAGCTCCTCGAAGTGCCGCAGTTTGATCTCCAGCTTCTTCATCTGCGTCTCCACCAGCAGCGCCACCAGGGACTTGATCTTGCGCTCCTCCACGGCCGCCAGGTGCTGCCAGGACGGTGGGCGGGGGTCAGAGATCACATCTGGAGTGTCCCCACCTGCTCCAGCCCCAACCTCACGGTGGTCAGGGGTCAGACATCACACCTGGAGTGTCCCACCTGCTCCAGCCCAGCCCCTCGCCCCGGCTCACCTTGGCCTTGACGGCGGCGGCGGCCAGCGCGGCGGCGGCGGCCGTGGACAGGTTCCCCTCGCCGATGTCGCGCTCCACCTTGGCCTTGCGCTCGGCCTCGGGCTCTGGCAGCTCCTTGGGCGCCTCGTCCGGCCCCTCCTTCAGCTCCTTGTCCTTCTCGGGCTCCCCTGCGGGCAGGTGGGGCCGTGTCAGCAGCGCCTGGGGGGCTCAGGGTGCCCCCAGCCCCGCCGTGCCCCCTCACCTGCGCTGTCACCGTCACCCTTGTCGGGCTCCTTCTCGCCCTCCACCTCCTTCCCCTTCTCCTCCTCCTTCTTGGGGGTGTCTCCGGCCTTCTCCTTGGCCTCCTCCTCGGCAGTGCCATCCCGGGGCTCCTGGGGAAGAACCACCCCCGTGGGCACCCGAATCCCACCCCGTCTGTCCCCCCCAGACCCCCGGGCCCCGTTTTACCTTCGCCTCCTTCTTCTCCTCGGCCGGCTGCGCCTCTGCCCGCGCCTCCTCTGCCCCGCTCTCCTCTGGGGGACACAAACGCAGCTCAGACCCCGCTGCCGTGCCCCCCAGAGCCCCCCAGAGCCCCCCAGAGCCCCCCCAGCCCCTCTGGCCCCTCTGACCGATGCGCTCGGGCTCGTCCGAGGCGGTGCCGGCGATGCCGCTGCTCTCCAGCCCGAAGGCAGGGTCGGCCTTGCCTGTCACCTTGGCCGCCTCCTCCACCTTGCGCACATGGGCCTCCACCAGCGCCGTGGGCACCTCCTCCTTCATCTTGGAGAATTCCTCTGCGGGCACAGTTCCTCAGCAGGAGCCCCTCGGAGCCCACCCTGCGTCCCCCCGGCCCCGCACGTCCCGTGGGGGGCTCGGCCCGGCTGCTCCTGGCTGGCTACGGAATGTTCTGGAGGGCTCATCCCATCCCCTTGGCAGCTGCTGCGTGTCCCCAGAGGAATCTCCACAGGATTTGGTTGTCTCCCCTTGTTCCTCATCCCTCTCCCCATCAGACTGACCCCAGTTCCCTGTAGGACATCCTAAAGGATCCAGCCCTTCTGCCTCTTGCAGCATTCCCATTTCCCATTTCCCATTTCCCATTTCCCATTTCCCATTTCCCATTTCCCTATAGGACTCAGCCCTTCTCCCTGTCACAGCTTTCCCATTTTCCTACAGGGCTCATCCCTCTCCCCACATTCCTCATCCCATCTCCTGTAGGACTGATCCTGTAGGACATCCTGTAGGATTCAGCCCTTCTCCCTATCACAGTTTTCCTATTTCCCTATAGGAACCCCTACATATTCCTCCCCACATTCCTCATCCCATCTCCTGCAGGACTGACCCCATCTCCCCCTCTCCATCAGACTCATCCCACCCCACCGCAGGATTCCCTGCAGAACTCACCCCGTGCTCCTACAGGACTTGCCCCTCTCCCTGTAAGACTTGTCCTGTCTCCCTATGGAATCCCCTACAGGACTCCTCCCGTTCCCTCACAGAACTCCCCATAAACCCCTCAAAAAGCTCTTTCCATCCTCCTACAGGAATCTTTACAGAATTCATCCCTCTCCCCAAAGAACATGTTTCTCTTCCTTTAACACTCATTATTCTATTTCCCTGCAGGACTCCCACCAGAACAGATCCCATCCTCCTACAGAATCCCCTATGGGATTTGTCCTCTTCCCATGAAATTCATCCTGTCCCTACAGAATCCCCTATGGGATTTGTCCCTCATCCCATGAAACTCATCCTGTCCCTACAGAACTCCCCATAGGACTCATCCATTCTCCCACAGGGCTCCCCACAGTCCATCCCTCTCCCCACAGTCCCCTATAGGATTCATTCCTCCTCTCCTCTCCCTACAGGACTCACCCGCTCCCCACAGTTCCTGTCCGCTCTCCCCACAGGATTCATTCTTCTCCCATAGTCCCCATCCCCTCTCCCCCATCCCCATCCCCAATTCCCCATCCCCTCTCCCACATCCCCATCCCCTCCCCCCCATCCCCCCCAGCCCCCTGCCCGCCCCTGCTCACCCAGAG